CTGCCCCATGCCGCCGGCATTGCTCCTTCGAATATGACGGAGTTGAAGAGCTTCTAAGGGATTCTCAGTACCGGAGTTCCACCCGTTTTCAGAAGCTCTGATGTGATCCCGTCCTCGCCTGGTGCCTTGTTGTTCTTATCGTATAGGCTGATGTTCGGAATATCCTCGGTATAGTGTCGGGTGAGTTTAGCGATTAGTGACCGATGCATATAGCTGACCATAAAACCTCTCGATTTCACCCATAACTTCAGCATTTTTTGACGCCACACTACCGTCTTCCGCCTTCGGCAGCTGTGTTTACCCAATAGACATGCCCCTAGCGAACACTTTGGAGCCTTCCATATTTGTCTATTGAGCTGCCGATGCGCTTTAGCATCGGCAGAGGTCTGGAGTACCATAGCACGTCGTTCTGCCATGAGTTTGAGGGTGTGATCGGTAAGCTTCTGCGGTCTGTCTTTTCGGCAAGGTCTAAAAAACTTTAACCCAACCGCATGGACAGTTTCTACGAACCTGTTGCTAATCTCGTCTACTGACTCTCAATTCTCCAGGGACTCAAAACGATTCGATAGCTCGATGTGAAAGCTCTCGGAATAATTGATATGTGCATCTAAAGGTGCACATATGGATCTTTCCAACTTTACATTGATATTCAATGTGCCTCAGGCCAGTCGGTGATCGCTGCCGGATTTTACTTTTTGGATCACAGAGACATCATTGAACTGTCGCTTTGTGGTCATGATGAAGTCGATCTCATTTTTTGTTTAACCGTCCGGGCTCATCCAGGTCCATTTCCTGTGAGACGGCTTCTGTAATAAGGAGGTCATCGCAAAGAGGTCCTCCTTCTCCAGGAAGTCAGCCAGTCTCTGTGGTTCCATTGCGCATACCCAAATTGCTCCACTCTCAGTCGTTATCGCCTCGAGTTCCCAGTTTCGCGTTGAAGTCCCCCATAACAACGTTGAAGTAGGTTTTATTAGTATGTATGGCCGTACTAATGTCCTCATACATAACCTCTACTTCCTCATCTGGGTCTGTCGAGGTCGGTGCATAAACCTGAATAACCTTCAACGAGTATCTATTGGATACTCTGAGTATCAGGTACGCCACCCTGCTCGACACACTTTCGATGGTAAGAATGTTGTTGACGAGGGACCTGTGGACGAGGAACCCGACGCCACCTTGGGACAGTTGATCGCCCTCCCGGTAGTAGAATAGGTTGCCGGATCTTAGGGTTATCGTGTCCTCGCCCTCTCGTCGGGCTTCTGACAACCTAACAATACTCCAGTGCAACCTACCCAGTACCTCTTCCAGCTTCATAATCTTCTCGTCTGTCCTCAAAGTGCGAACATTGTGTGTTACCAGGGCCAGTCGTTGTCGGGGACGGTAGCCTTTTCTCAAACTCCAGGGATTCTTAGCACCCCGTGTCCCGCCGTTACCCTAAACGCTACCACGGTAGCCAGGAACGGCGGGATTGCCGGAGACTGGGGGCCTGGTATCATCTGAGCAGTCCATAAGGGGGGTCCATATTTGCCAATACTCGCCACGCTTGACAGGCGGGTTGCCGAGCGTAGTTAGGTCACCAATAATTTTACAGAATGGTGCTCCCTATTCCTCGGTGTCTGGTCGCAGTTTTAGGACGTACCCGGTTGTCATGTGTATGTGAAATTGTATGTTTGTAACCACGACACAGGAAAAAATCCTACAGTAGGGCAACGTTTTTTATTAAAAAGAACATGATACAATTTTTTTTATTTCATATCATGAGATAATAATATTTTAGATAAAATCATACTTATTAGGGACCTCAACCTAATTTTCATTTAATAATAATATGTATATATATGAATCTAATATGTATATTTGGATGCAAATAATTTTCATTTATTTGCATCCAAATATACATACTATAAGTACACGCATGAGTTGAGCATTTTTGAGTTTGATGCCCGGTTTCCGAAAGCCCGATCAATGTTAAAATCAACTAACTAGGTGTCAAATCTCTTGACAAGTCATCTGATTGGTTGTTGATAATTCAGTCAACCAATCAAATGACTTGACAAGAGATTAAATTGATTTTAAAATTGATCGGCCTTTCGGAAACCGGTTGTTAGTGTCAATTCTGAGTTTGGGAAAACCATCATTTCTTGTTTCTATTTTATATTATTTATCAAATGTCAATGCTGTTTGGAAAAAACGTAACGTACGGAGAGATAGACAAATACGGCGAAATCAATAACGGCTCCGTTTTTCTGCATTTGGGTACGGAATCTTAAAAAGGTTTCCTATTCGGAAACCTATTTGGAAATTATAAGTAGGTACGGTAGTTACGAAAGTTGTGTTTATCTTAGAAACACATTTGATAGTGGTGAATTAATAACTAAAAAGGTATTTTTTTTTTCTAAACTGGGAGTATTCATTTTTATACTTACGGAAAGTCCCGTTTAGGAACTGGCTTGAAGAGATGCGCCTCCATCCATTGATCATTGACGAACTTAGTCATGTAGTTGCGAATGCCATCGGGAAGAATGACCACCACTTTTTGATGTGGTCCCAAATTATGCTCCTTAGCAGCCTGTACTGCTGCATATGTTATCGCTCCACTGCTGCCCCCTGAAAATATATATAAGTTATACAAATATCATGTTGCCAGATTGACAAGAAACTGATTAGGCAGGTAATCTACTAATTTCTTAAACACATTGTGCCATGAGATCTTGTTAGTATGAATCGCTATTTAAGAAAGTATTATTTAATTTATTTTGAATTTAATTTCTAAACGTATATTCTTACCGCAAAGCAATCCTTCCTTCCGAATTAATTCCCTGGACATATTAAATGATTCGTAATCATTTGGCTTAACAACTTGATCAATAACATGTTTATCCAAAACTTCTGGGACAAAGTCTCCGCCGATTCCTTCCACCTGTAAATTACACATTACTATACTATATTATCTCTACTCCTACGACTTGTATGAACTTGAAAGTAGGTTATTTGAATTGTATCAGTCTATTGATTTTATACAATTACGATCACGATATATTTTTATACGTTTCTTAGGTTTTAGCCAGGTACTTTAAAGGTGTCGTGCAAAAGTATTATTGGGACATTTTCGAACTTTAAACAACTCAAATTTTATTTTAAATTAATAATAAACTTACGAAATAAGGCAATTGCGGGCCATCTTCGAAAATGATTGAGCCGTAAGGGTCCGCAGTGACCACAATGCAGTTAGGACACGCCTCCTTGAGCTTGCTACCCGTGCCCGTGACCGTCCCTCCGGTGCCGGTGCCCATCACAAACATGTCCACAGATCCGAGGGCATCAAGTATTTCCACTGCCGTGTGCTCGTGGTGTGTCAAAGAATTGTACTTGTTTGAATACTAAAATAAAATATTTTTTTTTCAAATGGAATTTGTCTCTACGTTTTAAATTGTTAGTGATAATTATGGTTCGTAAAAAATATGTAGACCTAGCTTTTACCCGCGGCTTTGTTCTCGTGGAGTAGTGACGTCGTGCTACTGAACCGATTTCTGTGAAATTTGGTACATACCTACATAGTTTGGAAGTCGAGAAAGGACATAGGATAGTTTTTTTAAGTGATAACGGCAAACGAGAAGAGGGATTACCTGATGGTAAGCATGGTCACCAGCTACAACAGAGGAGTAATGAGTGTGTTGCCTAACTTTTGGGGATAAGGGATTTGGATATTTAGGGATTGCGGAGGGATTGGGGGAAGAATTGGGCCTCCGGTAACCTAACTTACACGGCGAAACACAACGCTGTGGTTGTTTCACGCCGGGTTTATGTGAAGCCGTGGTATCACTCCGGTCGAGCCGACCTATTGGTGCCGAAGCATGGCTCTCCCACGCTTAATTTATACCAAAACTTTGCAGGAAGTCACTATCCCACGTGAATGAAGTCGCTGGCAAAAGCTAGTTTAGTTATAAGTTGCGCTTGTGGTGTTTATCTTTAGGTTAGTGTTGCATTATTGCTTTTGTATTAAATATTTTTTAAGTATATTATTAGTGTTATTATTCGTTGGTGAACCGAATAAATAAATAATTATAAATTTAAAATTTAGAAAACCCCAGACTAAAAATCTAATATTCCTTTAAAAAGTAATAATTAAAAGAAAGCGTGGCGTTGGGGACCGATCCATACATTTTATTATCAACTACATATTTCTATTTTATCGGGGGTCTAATTTATTTTGTAATTATACTTTTTATATCATTTTCCCTCGATTATGTCATCAACATTCCCTTTCAGTGCGCTTTTATTTGAGATCCCACTCGAGTATATTTGCAGACCTTCGGTTACCTTTCCCCACTTACCCCCCATAACTTCTAAACGGCACAACCGATTTTCGTCAAACTATATGTCTAAGAAAGTCAAATGTCAAATAAATTCACCACCTAGCACCTAGCTTCACTGACGAACAGACTGACAGACTACTATTCTATTTTGACGTTTCAAAAGTACCTATTTATGGTTTAGTTGAGAAAAAAAAAATCTATCTTTATCTTTATCTTTAAAGAACACTCGCACGTAAGTCACCTTTAATACAAAAAAAAAAACTAAATTGAAATCGCTTCACCCGTTCAGGCTCCAGGATGCCACAGACAGACAGACAGACACGTCAAACTTATAACACACACTATGCTCGATTTTATATTGGAAGGTTCCGAACGAGTCATAGTGATATGGTTGTCAATTGACACAACACGTGAATAATTTACCTGGTTCAAACAAAAGGCATCGGGGTCTTCTTCCAGTATCTTTTTGGTGACTGATATATAACTGTCGGGATCATGGTGACGGACATTGGATGGAGTTTGGATAATCTCAGCACCGAGCAAGTTCTGCGTACTCATTTTCTCATCTGAGTTCTTGTCAGGAGTAACGATGGTGCATTTATATCCTAAAAATATTATTCATTAAGTTTGTGTTGTGATTGTAATGACTACAAAAAATCATAGACAAGTTTATTACATCCTTACCTTTAACTGCAGCTGCGAGAGCCAATCCGATGCCAGTATTCCCAGAAGTGGGCTCAACGAATCTGGTAACACCAGGTTTTACCAGGCCTGCATGTTCCGCTTCTTGGATCATCGTATGTGCAATACGGTCTTTGATCGAACCACCTGGATTGAAGAACTCGCATTTCACGTCTAGAACCAAAATATTATTTGTGAAGTTTCTTGATATTTGAAACGTAAAAGTTGATACTTATTTAAGTATTTTATAACAGCGTGCCCGGCCCTCGGTTGCGAAAGAGATTCCTTCCATTTTTCCATGCGATCGCGCCGGAGCTAATTCTGCCCCGCACTAATCTGAGGTCTATAGGAGTTGACCAAAAGAATCCTGTGTTTTGTAAAGATACGACTTAATATATTTGGATCGGATCCATTCACTTATTGTGTATAATGCCAATGTGTGTATTATGTGTAATGTTAATTTGCGAAAAAAGCGTTGAGTAATATAATCAACTTTGTGACGACAAAGATAAAGTTATATCATATTACCTACAAGACCAGTGTATACCTATGTATGTCACTGATGTCTAGCTACATTTATCGATTGAAAGCAGATAGCAAATATAAATATTGCTATCTATCCTCTGATTCGATGTGATTTAGGTAGGTAGGTAGGTACAAACACTGGAATAACATCGAAACTACTTCTATCTGAATCAACGGGTAACAGTTGATCCATAATATTTCTAATATGTACACTAAAATCGAGTTACTTCAAGGATAACATTGGTTAAAGGTATTTTTAGGTAAGGTCCCCCTTCATATTGACTTATAAACATACTAGCTTCCGCCCGCGGCTTCGCCCATGTGGTATGTTAATAAAAAGTTGCCTATATGTCGTATTCCGGAGTGTATTCCATGCCTGTGCTAAATTTCATCCAGATCCGTCTAGCCGTTTTGGCGTGATTGAGTAACAAACATCCAAACATCGTAACTTTCGCATTTATAATATTAGTAAGAGTAAGATGTAGTAAGGTCACAAAAAGAAATACACAAAATCAATAATCTTTTTGATTTATGTAAACACGATAAAGCTTGATTTATTTTAATCTGGTCATACTAGCACTACTACCACTGACTCAACTTCTCAAGGAAACTGATTTTAAATAGAAATCTACTGTTTTAAATTTTAGTATACCTACCAAAATATTTATAATTCTAACCATTTGAAAAAGCTTGGTAAGTTTCGATAAAGGGGTTGGTATTTTCCAATTCTCCTGTCCATTTTCCTAAAATGTTGTTTCAACAAACCGTCTCCTGACTACAGCGAACACAGCATAAACTGTAGAATAAAATTATCGGAGTCGGTCAAGCATGCGTGATGCCATGACCAAGAGAAATAAAAAAACATTTTTATTTAAATAGGTATGTATATATGTAGATAGGTACCTAAGAATTTACGACGATACATTGTAATAGTATACGTTATACTGTATAACTAAATAAGCAGCTAAGGCACAAAGTACTTACACATTTCACATTGTAATCCATGGTCTTTTGGTATGTGATTTAGTTTCACCAGCGGCGTGTGTCCGATAATCTCCAGGACGTTGTTGTATAATAGTTTTCCACTGAAAAATATTTTGAAAGTAATTGTAGTTTGGTTAAACGGTTGCTTTATACTTTCAGATTTTCTACAAAACTTTAGCCACAAACAAATGCAGTATTTCTATGTTGATTTTATTTCACCCTCTTATTGTTAGGTAAATAGGTAACTAGTAAACAGCTTTTAACTTATGAAGAATTTAATGTAACAGCGAAGATGATATTTTTTTATTAAAGGAAGAATGAGGGAATATGTGAGTGTGTTTTGCTGAGTATTTTTTCCAGTTTCGATTATATCTACGTAAGGCAGTTCTGTTTAATTAGGCTACCGTAATCCTTGCAGTCAATGTTAAATATTATCATAATCGATTACGATAAATACACTGGTAGGTAGGTAGAACGCATAATTTTCTGAAATAATGTAAGGTTTTGTATGTTCGAAAATGCACACAATAATATTATCAGGGGAAAATTACAATATTCCTTATTAAAAAACTAGTTTTGCTTCTTGTATTATGTATACAAATTGGATGTATAAGATAAACTGAAGGATAAGTAATAAATGAAAGAATTACAGCTAAGTAAGTAGCAACAGTTTTTTTGTAAATAGTTTTAAAAGAAAAGAAAAGTCTATGAAATTTCCCTTTTCTATTCATCGATGCAATCAATGCATCTTTGCCAACGCATTGCATCGCTTATTTATCTTGAAGAAGAAGAAGATCAGAAGAAGCAGCTTGACGGAAGGTTACAAATTTATCAAAGGCATTATGTTTCATTTTAGAAAAAATAAATCTTTTAGTTTAAATTAAATTGATTTAAAACTCAAATTGACAGCCAAAAATATTGTATTATTTGAAATAGTAGCTTGTAATTTACGGTAAAGTGGCAATTTCAAATGTTATTCTACTATAAAGTTTACAGGATGAATAAAATTTGTAATTCACCTGTACGTACCTATTATTATTAAAATCTTAAAAGGAGAATTTTCAAGCCAAAAGTTTTAGTGAAATAACCCAATAATAAGTTTCCAATCAGTCGAACGAGTTTACAAAAAATAAAATAATTACAAAAGAAAATCTATTCTCAATACTTATGAATGGACTTTAAAAAGCTTTTTTGGAAGATAATGAGTTTTAAATAAACTTACCGTTCATTATGGGCGACGTTCATTTTGAAAATCCAAGTTCGTTATTTTTTTATATTTTAGAATCACTGCAAGCACTTGGTGGTTGCAAGTTTATAAATAGGACTTATAAAGGCGAGCGTGCACGATTCAATTTATAGCATTATTTATGTTCGATATGTAATGTATTTTTTTATCACAAATCATAACGGCGATAATTGTGTTTCTTATCGTCAAGATCAATGTATACATCAATGTATCGCAGTATGTATACGACACCTATTAACTTTGATTTATTAATTTAATTTAGAAAATATTTAACAGATGAAAATCAATCCATGCACTAGTAATGAAGACTGGTACAACTTTGACTAATGACAATGCAAAGGAATCGTGTAGTTAACACTTTTTACGTAACAGTATATATGGTCACACGGTCAGGTGTCAAATAAATTCTTATATCACGTGATCTTGCGAACTAAGCTATACAGCGTGCGATCATGACGATCATCGTATGTCGATTAAGTATAATGACTTACTAATTACACATATATATTGTGGTAGAGTATGGTACATGCTACCTTATACCATAGGAAGTCCTCCGTCGATGTGCGTTGTAAACAATCGGATAAAATTACCATAAATATGTAGGTAATGTTTAAAACAATAAATTTTATATATGATCTGTGGCCTTCGTAACGGTCATCAAAGATACGTATTGAAAATTTTCTAGGTACCAAGTACCTATTGAATGTTAGTTAATTTTTCACGTGAAAACTATTGAATGGATTTTGATAAAATTTGGCAGTGAGAGAGACCACGAGCACGATTTCATCTAAGAAAACGGGCGAATTCGCTGGCAGAAGATGTTAAAATATATTAAACCGAGAATATTTGATATTTTTACTTCAGTTGTTTAAGTGTGGGAGAGCCAAGCTTCGGCACGAATGGGTCGGCTCGATCGGAGTGGTAAAAAAACATGCGTGTAAATCGTAAAACCATAAATAAAGCTCGAAATCACAAAATAAAGTAGGCACCTACGTTGCGTAAAATTGAGCTTCACTGTATCTATATGTCGCGTACGCCTCAAAGAGCCAATAAACTACCACAGACGGGGCCCTATAGGGTTGATGTTCAGCCGGGGTTGCGGAGAAAGCGCAATGAGGCACCGCGACCTCGGCCCAGAGCAGGAGAAGGAACAGGGGGGTTTTTAGTCAGTAAGAGTCTGACACTCCCTCCCGCCCAGCCCTGGGCGGGAGAAGTCATTTGATGATTTTCCCCTCACAAAAACAAACTATCTATATGTAAGTAGGTCAGGTATGTATAATCGAGGACGAAAAGAACCAACCTCAAGAATAATTCACAATCCTTTATTACACTTTACTTTGTACTTACCAAAAGTAAAAAATCAAATAGAACGTTTACGGTTCAAGGTGCTATCTTTAAGAGATGCAAATAAATAATAATATTTCATTTCAGCCCATTACAAAATAATTTATCTAACGGGAGCACAAGTAACACAAACCACACTAAAGAATAAAGTTCTGGTTCCCAAATTCTATAACTGACACCTCAACAGGTAAGAAAGAATGGCTCTGAATCTTGGACACTAGTTACAGTTCTGAAGCACAAGTCTAAAGGACCTGCTGCATTACATTTCCCCAATCAAATCACCATAGATCTCAGAACGTTTCCTATGGTTCAAAGAGAAAAAATACTTTGAGAGAAATGGTTCTATAAAGCGTATATAATAATTTTATCATCAGCAGTTAAATATTATTTTTCATGGTAGTGTCTAGAAAATAACTATTTGTACAGATTGAAGTATCTACGTATGACAAGAGATAAGCCTGTTTGTATCAAGTCAATGAATATTGTACTTACTTATCTACGGTGGGCAGACTGTGCTGTAGACGTACCTAAAGTTTGAGTACGGAGTAGATAGGTAAACTATTTTTTACCTATATTTTAGATTATTTACTAAAATTCTCTTATATGGGCCTACTTACATACTATAAATTGGAATAGAAAAACGGCAGAACACAACATTGGCCTTCCTCGTGAAACAACCAACCACAGCCTTGTGTTTCATCATGTGAGTGAGGTTACCAGAGGCCCAATCCTTCCTCTCCTCCCATCCCTGTCCAATCCTTTAATATCCGAAATACGCAACCCCACGCCGGCAACGCGATTAACCCGTTTGGTGTAGCGGATGTCGGCGCGTGTCCTTTACCATCGGGTAGTCCACCTGCGAGTTTGCCAAACTACTTTATTAAAAAAAAATGCGAAGCCAGTCAGTCCTGCTGTGCTAGATTAAAAATCTCAAATTCCATCTTGAAGTTGCAGTAAAACCAGGGTGCTCGGTATTTGTGAATAAATTGACCTATATTGATCATATATTCATATCGATTCAAATTATTTTTGTACATTATTTGTACCACGGGGATAGAATCAAAATTTAGGGTTTCCCCCATGGTCAGCCTGCTTGCAGCGACTTGCATCCAGTTTACCTTGTAAGTTATATAATGTACATTGTAAAGTAATTTTGCAACTGTTTGGGGAAAAACTGGCGTGACGTGAATATAAGAAGATTAGATAAAGTTTAATCGCATACAGTAAGCTAACCTTACCGCCGAGATTTTATTATAGTATCGCCTGGAACTAAGATCAATTATGGATTTCTGGAGCATTCCGCCTGGAAAGGGTCATCCAAAAAGTTAGGAACCTTTTTAGGCGAATTCGAATACTTCATGTCACCTTTACTTACTATAGGAGGTAATCTTGGGAACCTCCGATCGGATTGCCAAAATTTTTTCACTGGTAGATACCTACAATGTTCCTGAGTGCTATAGGCTATAAATAATACTTGATTTGCCTATTTGCAGAGTTGTTAGATACTAAATATAAAAAATATATCGATCACTACAGATTTAGATTGAATACTTGTTAACCGAAAATGCGACCAAAATGGTGGATATATAGAAGAAGCTTCAACGGTTAGACTTTCAAAGTAATAATAAATACAGGGTGTAAAAAGACACTGAACGAGGCCGTTAACTACGCATACTGCAGTTCTAAGTAGCTTTACGCTAAAATTATCACTGGGAAGCGACTTTTATTTTTAGGTATCAAAAAAAATAATAATTTTATTGCGCGCAATGTAAAGCAAACGGGCTTCGTGTCATTGTGTGCGTAGGTTCACAGCTTAGCATTAAAACGCTGTGATAAGTACGTAGGTCGACGTTTTACTTCGCAACAACAAAACAATTCTGTAAAACAAAAATCCTGCTGAGATGCACGATGTTTTTTGTGCGGGTCTGCATTTATTTATTACGTACATTACTGTTCGTAACTTCAAATGAGTAATTTATTTAGAAAAATCGAAAATTAAAGTAATGTTTGTTTGGAAAAAAGTTTTGTAATAATACTTAGAATTCGATTGCGCAAAAAAAATATATTTAAAAATGCATCTTTGACCTTCAATATCTCGAGAACACGTGGAGTCCCAGCTATAGTCTTAAAGAAAAAAAAATGATCCAAATAATGGGAAGAATACGTGGCTTTCGGTTTCGTTAAGTGTCTTTTTACACCCTGTATATTGTAAAAGCAAATTAACTTATTTTCTTAATTTTTCTAGATTACCAGGATTTGATAAATATCGTGACTTCGTGACCAATAAAAGTTTAAGGAAGTAATATCGAAGATTATATTCTGCTGATAAGATTAAGCTTATGTAATGTATTAATGATAATCGTCATAATAAACAGATGACGTCACTATGTCGCATGGCGTAGTGGTTGCACATTGTACATCTGCTGATTTAATAGCAAACATACATACAAACTTTAGCGTTTATGATATGAAGGAGTGTTAGATTCAATTTATTTTTCTATTTAAATTCATTATGAATAAATCAGCTAGGCGAAGTCCTCAGCAAGTAGTTTATAGTACTTACCAGTACCTATTTGAAGATTGTTTTGACCACAAATGAATAAATATGTAATTAAATTATTTTTTTTCATTACTTCCTGCATTTATAATGCGATTCCTGTTTTTTTATTTTCATTCATTTAAAGCTAGCCTCAGTAATTTGGTTACTTGACTACACATCGACGTGACATCGCTTCACCATCATAACAAGAGTGGTTGGGTGGTCATTGCTAGGATCTAGATTTAAAAGACAAGAGATGCACAAGTCTGAGCCTATGTGTTTTCATGGTCGTTGGAACATGCTGCCTCCTTGTGGGTACTGAATTAGGTCAGAATTCGGCGTTGAATGGACCATGAAGTACCTAGTCCTCATCCTAAACAGCCAGTGGATCTTTACAAGACATTTCCAACGTTTGAGTTCCTAATTGCAACAATCAGGACTGCATTTTAGCTGCTCTTACTTAGTGGCTTTATTTAAAGAGGTAAAACGCTTCCTCCCAGATGTTGTATTCGGGGATCATCCCATTCATGGCCCTCAACAAAGTCACTGTATGTGTGCAAATTTGAGTCGGCAGCCGGCCGCCTTCTTCCCAAAATGAGGGTCATTTCCATATGCATGATCGGCTATCTTGCTTAGCGAAAAAAATTGGCAAGCTGTTCCCTCCTTTTGCGAAGCACTCACACTTGCAAAGAGTAGGCGAAATACGTGTTTAAAAGATCGTCGTCTTCACGCCACAACTGTCGCAGAGAGAGACCATCTCTGTCCAACACGGATCTGATCAGAATCAGACACGAGCGTGTGGCGTCCCGCGTCCCGCACACAATTTAAAGAGCCATCAGACCACCTAACGTAGGGCCTACTAGGGCCGATTTCCAATAGGCGTTACGTAGCGTGCGTACGTTTAGTAATAAAGCATTTTAAATAAATAAAAATTTATTTATTTCAATATTATTTTGGAAATATTACAGTAAAGGTTGACATATTAATTTATCGTTTTGGAAGATTCGAAAATGTAGTCAAGAACATCATCACCTGTCACCACTTTGCTTGGAGTGCAGAATGCTGGAACAAATACGAAGCAAATTAAGAACAATGGTGCGTGAACATACATACAAAGCTTGATTAATCACGTTACAGTGTTAGCATTTGCAATGGATCTTTCGCAAAAGACGATTTGCTTAAAAATATCCAGATTAGCGTCTTATATGCGTCTTTTGTTCACGAAACTTACCTTCTTTAATACACATTCAGAGATTTTTTAAATTAAGGCCAATTAAATTGTTTGTTTTTTGTAACTACCATGAGGTATATATAATAATACTAAAATCGCGCTTAACGCGCAAACCACGCTTGATTTTTTCCTTGAGCTTTTGTCAATTTTGTCTAAATATTCTCAGAAAGAACATATTAAGTACTCGGAAAAAGTCACATTGGTTTTTGACAGGTTTCGCACCCTTGAGGAGCAACTCTTAGCCTCCGAGCCATTACGACACTGTGATGAGGTATTTTTTTTTACAACTCACCACTATTATGGGGATCTTTTGTCACGATGACCACATACGGAGTGATGTCCAATACACGGGAAAGGAGACCAATGGTAGTGTCCTCAGGTATATTGTCTGCTAGTGTGTAGACATGCTTGTCTAGATGGTCAGTCACCACATCCTGGAAGTCATACTCTTCAGAGACCTGGCCTGGTAACTTAGTGGGGTTTGTCGCTCTGTTCCGAAGACTGTCTTTTGACACAGCTCCTACGTAATGTCTGAAAGAAATAGGGAAGAAACTTTAAATATCGAAAAAAAACATTTCTCGCCTAGGCAATTTATAGTTTGGTAAATAAGCAATAATCAAAACCTGATGGATAGATGACTAGTGCATAAACGTATAGTCCATTCATAACAGACAAACGTATCGGTTGATGATGATCGATGTCATGAAGATTTTTGAAGGGTCAATAATCAAATGGCGAGCGTGGACAGGGCGCAACTCCGGAAGTTCCTATATGCTGCTTTTAATTTATAGGTCATACGGTTTTTTTGTTCTGATCTTAGTTTATAAAGTATTTGATGATTGCAGCAAATTGTTCTCATATATTGTAGTATAGTTACCCGTTATCATCGACAATGACAGCAATGTTGACGTTGGTCTCGTTCATAGCTTCCAAGACCTGATGACACGTGCTTTTTGACGTCATTTTAGGATATTCACGATTCAAGTTCAAATCACTGACGGGCTTTGTCCACCACCTGAGTTTAAAAAGAATAATTTGTTACGAAGTTAAATGCAAGACTTTTACCGGCACGAATGATGAAGGAAATAATTGAAACTAATTACTCGATTTTAAAATTGATTTGACTTAAACTTCGACTGATGTAAATACATATTACATTACTTACTTCATGGTATGTTGAGGAGGCTCCAGAAACCGATGTGCTTCCATCCACTGGTCGCTGACGAACTTAGACATATAGTTCCTGATACCATCGGGCAGGATGACCACAACTCGCTTGCCGTGGCCAATATTTAGAGATTTTGCAGCTTTGAATGCTGCACACACGGCCGCTCCGCTACTACCACCTGGTAATATAGGCATGTATTTTATTGGTTAACTGCCTAATCAAAGTAACCGAAAGGGACAATTGTCCTTGAACACATTACAATTAAAATAGATACATAATTACCACATAATAATCCCTCCTTTTTGGACAATTCCCGAGCCATCAAAAACGATTCTTTATCGGTAACTACCTCGACGTGATCGACAAGTGACTTGTCTAGAATAATTGGTGCCTCGGATCCTCCGATACCTTCAACCTATAAAAATGCCATATTTGTGTAACTTCGTCGATATATTTATTGAAATAAGCATAGAGAGCAATAAGTAATTTCCACTTTAGTGGCATTGGCATATGATAACGATTCGGTTGATTATCTTCTTCTGATTGTTTTTATCTATATATTACCAAAAACGGATGAGGATTTCCGTCCTTGTTTATCATGACAGAACCATCGGGCTCAGCTGCGACTAACTTGTAGTCTGGGTTGACTTCCTTCAGTTTGCTGCCCACGCCAGACAAAGTGCCTCCGCTGCCAGCTCCCAGTACCAAAACGTCTACGCTTCCTAGAGCTGCCACAATTTCTTCTCCTGTATTCTCATAGTGAGCTCTCGGATTAATTTCGTTATCAACTGAAATAGAATATTGAAACGTTAAGTGTTTACTAATAATTTTTTATTGGTTGCCACCGTTGGCACCGACAAAATGTATTTTCAGACACATCAGATCTAGACCCGGTCCATACTGAGTTATTGATAAACAAAACCGCATACAATTTATATCCTTGTGTTTTTTTTTATAAACGCGAAAATTTAGGTATATCGGTAGATTGATGTTTTATTTTATTTTTTCACGTTGATAGAACTGAATGGAATATGATGAAAATTGGAACAGACAATGATTAGTCTGAAAAAACATGGGTGTATCTCTATGTTACCTAACTTTAGGGCGATTATTATGGTTTATTGGAAACTGAATTAGTTCTTACTTGGTTCAAAATCACTACTGTGTCCGGGTTATCATCCTTCAATTGACGAGCAATGGCTGTCTCAAGGGCCCCATTCTTAGTCTGAATCACTTCGGCTCCCAACAAACGCATCGTATTTACTTTTTCCGAGGAGTTTTTATCTTGTGTTACAATAATACATTTATTTCCTAGAAAGAAATAGGTACGTCACTTAATAAATCACTTTTTAAATATAGTTTGATTAGATTTTATCTGATTGTTCGAGGTTGTTTAGGTACTTATTTTTCATTTTCAGAATTATATATTATGGTACTCAAGGTCTTTACCCATCAAAGTAGCATTCAATGCAATTCCGATGCCTGTGTTTCCTGATGTAACTTCGACAAACTCTGTTTGATCATGTACAGCACCATCCTTTCGTGCATCCTGCATCATGGCTAACGCAATTCTGTCCTTAATAGAACCTCCTGGGTTCATGAACTCACATTTCGCATCTGATAGAAGAAAATATACTTTTTTGTTAATGTCGATATTTTGTTGCTGATTAGGGTACATAAGATAAAAAAGCAGTATTTTTTTAAAATATCGTATTAAAAATATGAATCCCGTGTTTAAGGTTAAATTATAGAACAACAAAAATTCACATTAGCTTACAATGAGAACGCTATGCTATAAAAGGGCAGGTTTATCGAAATATCGAAAGATTACGTGTCACGTTACTTATTAAGCGTGAACGGATTGGCATTTACAATTAACGGTAATGCTATGAGGAAGGTACATACAAACTTCACATTTAACTCCATGTTCTAATGGCAACCTGTTCAGTTTGACAAGAGGCGTGTTGCCCACTAACTCCAGAACACTATTATACGCCTTACAGGCCGTCTTGTTGCTGAAATATTAAGTAATTAGTTAACACATTCAGTGCCCCCGACGCGTATGTGCGTGCGAGGAAACGCACATACGCGTCGGGGGCACTGAATGTGTTAAACGATTGACTTTATAACACATAATTTAAAACTAGTTGCAGTTGGTAAAGTTCGAAAAGCACACAAAATTCTACTTTTCTTTTGTTTGCGTATTTTGAACGACAAGATTGTTGTTGAAGATTAGATGGTTTATGTAAAGAAAAATCTCAATAATTATAACACAAAAGGAGACAGTTCTGGTTATGATAAACCCTTTTTAGATATTGTGAAAACTCTAAAGTGGGCCCACTGCTATATCGTGAAACAAAGTAGGTTTCTCTTGTATTTCGATCTACAAGCTTAGCTAAAGAACAATTATATTTGGAGGTTTTAAAATTGCTTTGAGTTTGACTTTGTTGAAAACAGGTATGTGGAAAGAAGTTGTAACGTCTCTGATGTTGCGGTTGTCCATGGGCTTACCATAAAAAATGTAATTAAATCATTTTTCCTGTCTTTACTTCCTGTGTAAATTAATAGTTGTGTATATTTTCTAAAGTAGTTAGTTAACATGAAAACTTACCTTGATACACCATCTTCATTCTGCGGGGGTTTTTCGTCGCGCCTTCGGAAGCTCACCAAGTTACTCGTATTCCTTACCATTTTAAATGATATACAATTATTGAAATTTGCAGAAAAGCTGGGTTTGGTGGAGGACTGGATCTTATTACCAAATGATGATGCTTGTACCTGGCTCACTTATTTTATAGACTGGTCACTATCGGTAGAGGATCCAATGACGTAAAGGGAAACTGTACGATTAATCATTGCGAGTAGGTACTATTTTCTTGCTGTAGTTTCCTCTAGTATGACGTGCACCTTTGAATGGCTCTGAGGTTGTATACAACAAAGTAAGAACCTTCTTGGAACTTTTTCCTTAGTTTTTTTTTTCTTTTTATATTCTCAAAGTTAATAAAATAAACCGTGGAGTCCCGGAAGATTACGTGCCCGCTCCTGGTGCATGAGTATGTGGTTTCGAAATCTTGCAAGTACCAATGTGACTTGTTTCGTGTTATGTGTTCTTTCTAAGATTATTTAGACACATCTGATATACGGTGAAGGAAACCATCGAGAGGTAAACTGGACTTAAAATTTCTAATTTTAAGTTTGAAGTCGGCAATCCGCTTTAAGCAAGCGTGGTGGTAAATTAACCTTCTCCGTGTCGGAAGAGGCAGTGGGCACTAATAGGCTGATGATGATGATGATGATGAATCAATTTTATTAAGGAATTGTAATCTTGCACCTAGCAATTAAAAGGAACTATTATTATTCTACTTAGGAACTAACTGAAGTAAATTGAAACAACATAAAAACTAAATTTGTTTATTCTAGAAATGGTAAACTCAACGTTGACACTTCCAAAGGTAATACATAATTATATAAAATACTTAATTCTAAATAAATCTATTATTTACATCGCAGTTAAAAGTTAGTAAAGTGGCTAATTTTCCATTTCCTTCATAGGAATTGGAATAAGCGTTACGAGAGAAAGTTCACGAATAGTCTTAAGAAACGAACACATTCACACATTTTATCATATTCCTGAATGCTTGGTTCTCCATCAATCGCTACTGTTTGCCGCCAGCACTTGAGATCACACTATAACAGAATTCATATCTTGATTTGGCACTTGGTGATAAGAGAGAGTGTTTATGATCTGGGCCGAACACTGAAACGCTACTCGATTTTAAGTAACTCTAATGAATGTTATGCTGTCTTCATAATTTACTGTCTTTTTTTTAAAAGAAAGAGGTTTTTTTTTAAAATGCTACTTTAAAATTGAGTGGCATTTGTGCACAAGTCGCACTGGCAGTTAGAGCGTCTCAAAACCTAGGTTCACTTGTCACTTTATTGTACTATTTCACTGGTCACCTACAGTTGAGTTAGCGGACTCCTGCTTGGCAGCATAGTTCTCGTATAGAAAGTTCCAGAACTTTACTCTCTTCGCTTCGGGATCCGACTGTACGGTGAAGTTGCCGTTGATGTCGAGATAGCTAACATGTTCAGTGTTGTTGACTTGAGGCCAGGTGAAGTCGACTACAGATTCGTAGTCCACACTCGGCGTTGGGTTCCTAAAATGATACATTTATTTTTGAAAAATACATTAAAAGTAATCTGAGACGAGACATAAATGTACTTTAGTTTAATTCGGGTAGTGGATTCAAGAGAGAAGCTCATTACCGCGAGCGCTCTTAACACATGAATCAATTCATTGTTATTGTTATTAATTTACAATCAAAGAAAAATCGTGACGCAACAATCTTAATCACACGTAAGATTTAATACCAGATTTCTTTGGTACCTAATTAGATATTATCATCATCCTCTATCGTGAGTATCAGTATTCTTGCAGTGGTCCTATTACTTAATAACAATCCATCATGGAACCAACAGATAACAATTACGTTTATCTGCAGTTATCTAATCGTTCAGTCAGCAATGGCCAAGTGAGTATTTGTACAGAAACATAATACGACGTAGTAATAGTCTCTAGAAAGTGGTTACTTGCGGATGCAAATGGTCACTTTCTATACTAAAATTATATCATAGTATCCATAACAAGTCCATTATCGTTTAGTGATTCTTACCCGGTTTTGGCGAAGTTCGTCCACATTTGTACCATGCGCCGTGAGACAGCCAGCTCGGGGGAGTCATCATCCAATCTGTAGTTAAGTCTTGAGAAATAGAACAGGTATCCCATCTCGTCGCCATGGCAGGCGCCGGCGTGCGTGATACCTAGCATACGCTTGAAGAGTCCCAGGGCTCCGTCGAAAGCGAATCGGTACAAGTACGTAGGACTCGTCCGATTACTCTCTACCTGCTGGCGGACTGTCTCCAGAACAGGTCGGAGGAACATTACATCTGTGAATAACTGAGCACAAAAAACATTTTACTGAGCGTCATGGCAATGCAGAAATAAAAGTAGTTAATAATATATTTCAATGAAGAAAACCAGTCTGATATAAAAATGTGAGGCAAATAGGTAAACATCAGATCGTTAACAATTCCACTTTGTACATCGACTTAGAGGAATCAGGACACCTATGCCTTTGCATATCTACAACCAACCATATATTAGTACCTAACCCTATACACGTAAGAAAATAAAGATTGATTCATAAAGAGGCAAGAAGCTTTCTTATGATAGCCATATCTTCGTACCAAAGACGTCATTTGTATCTTAATAGCTTTGCCGTTGTAGTCTCTGACTTGAATACTGTTCTTTTATATACTATTTATTTTCATTTTACCTCCCTACCTAACTATAAGTATTCATTAATTATCTTAAGCTTCAAAAATAGTGATGTAATCTTACGTCAATAAGGCTGTCAATATTTCTATTGTCGATCGGCTTCTGTTGGAAGTAGAATGCTCTGATTGAGTCTGATATCTTGTCGACGATGGTATCATTATGCCCTAACAGCTCCGGCGGCACCACGCGACGGAATTCCTGCTCCAGCTCGCTCAGCAACTTCGGGTAACGCTGGAGACCTGGAAGATTATGTATAAATTACATTTTACTAAATAATTTATTTGTAAGATTGTAAAACATATTTTTATATTTTTAAACAGTAGGTAGCGACGGGATTTCTTGCTCGTTCTTTCCAATTCGAATTTAAATTTTGGAACGAACACTATCTTCATTGGTGAACAGACGAAAGGGAAAATAATTAAGAACTATTATTCTATTTTTGAGTTTCAAAATCTGTATGTTGTTTATTAGAAATAAATGTTTTGGATTTTGACTTTGATAACGCTATAATAGTCATAATCAGGATAATAGTTTACTTTTATGGAATAGAAGTTATAGAAGATAACGAGATAATTCACCTAATGATGAGGGATGGACGCCGTTTATATTTGTTTGTATCGGTAAAATTAAGTAAAACATTACCAACTAGCTTTTCCCCGCACCTTTGATCGCGTGGAATAGTGACTTCCTGCGGAGAATTGGTTAAAAACTATCCTATGTCCTTTCCCGAGTTCCAAACTATATCTGTACCAAATTTCTCACAAATAGGTTGAGTAGTTTAGGCGTGAAGAAAAGACAGACTAACAGACAGAGTTACTTTCGCATTAATAATATTAGTTTAGATAGACGCGTCCAATGCTCCGTCAAACGTCCAGTACTGGGTAGCCAATTAAAAAGTTAAGAACCTCTTCGTAGAACTAATATCACAAGCATTTTTCTAATGTATTTTTTTCAGTCTGAATAAAAACAAACAAAGGGGTATTTAGCACTTCTCTATCATAAATCTAATAAAATACATGCAAGTAGTCTGACTAATATCAATATTTGACAATGAATAATGCAGATAATAAATTCGATAATTTTAATCAAGGTTTTCCTCCTTGCAATTATTGTTGATTTATTTGATTTATCAGAATGTGTATTTAGTTGGTTTGTTGTCTGCTATGAAATCGATGTGGTTCATACTCTTAAAACTTCTTTACTTTTCATCATCTTATTACCTACTTGTTAAGCATACATAACCATAACCATTGTTGACATTCTGTACATTTCCGTTTATGTATTGCGTTTATGTGTAAAATCATCAAATAAATAAAAGTACATCTATATATATCAGCAAATCTTGACCATACTCACTACATCGTAAATGCCATTTTAACCTTGACTGAGTGCAATTATAATTCAATTTTAAATAAATCCTTATTCTAACATAAGCTCTTTAATAAAAAAAATATTTTGCTGTCCAATCATTGTTCTTTTATTTCATTACCAACCTACGTCACTAGCAATGACACTAAAGGTGTCAAATAAAAAGAAAACGAAGGTTCGAATTTCGAACACGGTGTTGTAACGTAAACGTCGAGAAGGATATTGTTATAGTAATGTTATTGTCGTGAGAAAGTGGCACAGAGTGAATATGATCGCATGTGTTACTTTATTATGTAAATACGAGTAACGAAACGACCCGGTCCAACTGCGGTCGCATGCTCGTTGCCGGTTACTTTGGACACTGTTAGAACATTATGTAACGTTTTACATCATCGCAATAACTATATGTTTTTTCACTCAATTTTAACTACCAATGTTAAATCACTTGTCAATATTACGTGTTCCACTTTTTCAAATTAATAGTGTAGTAATTAATAAGCTACGTAGGTGCCTTAAATCCTTGGATATTCTAGAATTATTTACGATTGATGTCATCATTCTTTTCAGAAGCCAGCAAGGATTGTTTGCGTAATTTCTAAAAGGTGTTACTTGATAAAGTTAAAGTTTTCATTTTATTTAACTATCGTTTAGTTCGTCTAGGCAACATGAGGTGACGTAGCTTGACCACCAACCAATGTCAACTTCACTTACTAAATTCATATTTTGGTTAAAAAATTGCCAATTGAATCACTGTATCCTGGTAGACGCAATGCGGTCGAACAAACAAAACCTACTTACGTAGATCCATCTCGAATATAAAGTCACACAACAATTGATGAGTCGTGAATATTCTAGGGAAATGTCTGTCGCAAGTGACCTTTCGTTGCGAAATGTGGGGAATATGAGTCACAGGGAAATTAGAGTCATAGAAAATTGGAGACAGCTCCGTATAAAGACGAGGGCATGATGACATAACCCCATCTACGTGACTTGTGATTCGTGTGAACAAACAGTTTGCAATATTTATCTCCTTTTTACATGATATTGAATAACTTCACCTATATTGGTGGGCAGATAATATGTTAAATTCGAGATTTCATTGAAATGTGAATCTATGATATATATTAATATTATAAAGCTGTAGAGTTTGTTTGTTTGTTTGAACGCGCTAATCTCCGGAAGTACTGCTTCGAATTGAACAATTGTTCAATTCGAAGCTTTTGTGTTCGGTATTCCATTTATCGAGGAAGGCTATTGGCTATTAAACATATACGATCAAATGAAGCCGAGCAGCGGGTGTAACCGCGAGAGGTATACAATTTACAGTTGTGTTATCACAACTATTTAGGTATTATGAAAATCGTTATTTATCTAATGAAAAATGATATAATATTAAAACATATACTGAGATGTTGTTATTATATATCTTATACTTAGTAGAGTTATTTGAAGAAATAATGAATTTTCGACCGAGCCGTTCTGTTTTTAGTAAGAGACTTGAAAATCTCGTTAGCTTAATGATCGTTATATGATACATACGACTAATGAGTATGAGGTCTTAATTTTTTTTTGTAGAAGTATAGATCGTCGAATTGCTTAGAGTGAGTGTCAGACTGTTACTGACTAAAAAAACACCCTGTTCTTTCTACCACGGTCCGGAGCTGCTGCACATTATTCCGCTTCCTCCTGCAAATCCGTCTGAATGACGTCTAGAGCTTTTTTTGTCAGTGGAAAATCAGAACACTTCTCAGTGTGGGGTGCGTCTGTGTCTCATCCGCCCAGGGTAAGGCGAGAGGGAGTGACGTCTGGAGTTGGATTTACAATTAAGATAATGCTGTATTTTGAACGGAATACGATGCAAGATAAAAAATACGTACGTATACAAGGTCGTTTTAGTTGAATGATCATGAGACTAAATCTTCTCATGTATGTAGCTAGGGGAGATAAGATTTATTTTCAAGTGTCTCTCTATTTCCGTTACGTTATCATTCAAATGTATCTAGATGGCCTTCATCTTACGTAAGGCATTATGCCGATGTCAATGTAGAAAAATATAATCACAAATAGAGTGCCCTGTAGATGTGCCATGTAAACGTATCTATCTTTTACTTCCTGCTGTTATCCTAATTACTTTTTCTTTGACCTTTCGCACAACCTTTAAGTTATCTTTTGTCACAATTATTCTTAAAATCTAATCAAATTCAATACCTACTTTTTTGAAACATCAAATCGACAGTCACTTAAAATTTTTAAACATTCTTTGTTAACTGTAACTGAGAATGCAAAAATATAAATAACGTACATAGTAATATTGCAATGTGTCGCAAAAGCGGTGAGCGTACAGGATTTGTGAAGGGCCCGGAGTGCTGTTCCGTTCGCCTGACTTGCAAAATGTCGCCAAGGATTTATAAAGCCTGTTAGTCTACGTACTATTTAAACTATTAAGTATATATAGGAAAATTGCTTTTGGTTAATGTTTAACTGCTAACATATTTTTAAGGCGTGTGCTTGCATCAATCGCGATTTCGTAGTACTTTGGGGAATTCGTGTTGAAACTCTTAATTAGTAGGTTATTAAACTCGTAATATATTATTATAGAGTGCATATTCCCTAATACGGGGGGGGAGGTATCAATAAAATAGTATGATAATTTAAATATACTCATTATTAGATGGAGTGGGTGAGTTTACAATGGCAGCGAGAACCTATCAAAGTGTTATTTGTAGGTTAAAAATAATTGGATAATAGAAACAGACATCAGTATAAGTATATAGATAACTATATATATAACTTAACTATATAACTAAGATACATGTACGATAAGATATGTAACTGGGGTAACTAGATAACTACCTAACAAGTTTTTAAATACGTATCTCTGAGTTTTCCAATTTCATTACCAACAGGGTAATCCCACAATTAACCAGGAAATATAATTTTCCTGACAAAGAGACAGATTCTCTGAAAAGCCAAAGTATTTTATATTAATTTGTCTTTATACTGGAAAAAAACAATAGTTTATTATTTCCTTACAGGCACTTGTGAACGCCGAACAAAGCTTAAAGATAATAAGTTATAGACTGTCGGTCACTCCTACTAGTGAAGCTATTTGCTCGTTCCAAAGCAGGACTCGGAAGATTAAATATTTAAAAGTTGGAACCTTTAAAATTTGAAGGGAAACTGTGTAAAGTACTTATGAGAAGAAAAAAATAATTATGGTGTGATGCTTTTCTCGACTTTTCTACGACATAAGATTATTTTAGCATTTTGACGATTGTACAGTATTTGCAAACTCTTTTTTTTCTTTGTGACTCGCTAGTTCACGCAATGAAGAAAAGGGGAACTACGTAATACGAACTACGCGTTACGAACTACACGCTACGAACTACGCGTTACGAACTACGTGTTACGAACTACGTGTTACGAACTACGAGTCACGTACAACGCATTACGAACTACGCGCTACGAACTACATGCTACGAACTATCAGTTACGCTACAAACTGAAGAAAAAACTACGAACTACGCGCTACCAGTAACGGTTGCTGTATTTCTCAGTAACTAAGTGTAAAATTAGAACTTGCAACATGACATTTTTTTTCTGAATCAGCAGCATCCCTTTTAAATAAAATAGATTAGATAAATAGGTCAACACATTGAGTTTCCAGGTTGTATGTATAAGGACTATGTTTAGATAATATTATGTTCTCGTAATTCAATTAGGTATTATTATGTTGTTTGTTTACCTAGTCGGGTCCATGTAGACCACAGTAGCTGTGATTAATTATTTATTTATGTACCTACATACATATGTTCCATAGTTGCCGACGCAATCATCCGTAACACTACTTGTAGGTCAATTTGTTGCTAATTTCAGTTTTACCTTCCTATAACTTAGTCAATATATATGACTTTATTATGGTTTACTTAATCACACTTTATATAATACCAGCTTATGCGGGTGGCTTTACCCTCATCTCTAGAATAAAAAGTAACGATTGTAGGTTATTTTTGTTTGTGAAAACATTCGAATCCATCAGAATATCAGTAGTTATGTGGGTAAGACTAACAAACAAACTTACAAACTTTCGAATTTATAATATCAATAGGTGGGACTGTTTTAGGTCGTACTAATCTACTATTTACGATATTTGGAACGAAATTTTGAAATATGCCCAATTTGCAATAGTCATAAGTGATCATCAACACGGGACCCGTGATATAACCTAGTTGACTAAAATGCTATTTTATGTACCATTTTCTTAAGAAAATCGTCTTAAAAAAGCTATAATAAACCAAAAAACTTACGTCGAAACAGTATAATGCCTTCCTGTGCGTTGTATCCAGTTAGGAAGGGAACGTCAGCGCCAGGTAGAGTTTCCTTGGGAGGCTTGGTAAGGAATGCATCAGGTCCTTCGGGTTCCAATGTAGGTAAGAAGGGCAGTGCCACGGTACTCTGCAGGTCAGCAGACTTGCCCGGGGCGCTTGACAATCGAGCCCCCGCTTTGACGAGCAACTCGCTTGGCGTCGCACGAAGGTAACCTAAACAAGAATATTTTTCTAGAAGTTTCTTTGAGAACGGAATAAACAGTTATGCTAGTTGTTAACTTGAGGTATCGGTTTTAGGTAACCGGCTATTTCTAATTAAGTGAGACTACTTTTGTTAGTGTTTGATTTTGCTTCGATTAACTGTGTAACTCAAACCATCGCGTACACGACCTAATTCTATCCTGGGCTGACTAAAGTACTGTAGTATATCATTTTCCTCTTACGATATTCTCAGTTATTTAATTGTGCTTTATATTAATGGAAACTCGTCTCACGTAACATAACAATTGGACCTTTAATTTTATCATTGCAGCGTCAAATACTTGCCCAACAGTTCAGCGGTGTTGTTGGTGTCGATGCCCAACTCTCTACCCAGTTCGAAGGCGCGTGCGCGAGGTTCGTGCGCAAGTGCCCAAGGAGCCAACGCCACACCGCTTTGCGCAATGGCACCATGGAACAAGCCCTGCCAAAAATAACAAGTTCTTGAAACAAAAAGTGTCTCCAAAACCGATTTAGAATAATAATTTTTATACAATTTATTTTTGCGTGTAGCATAGACAAACATATGAGTGCATGCAACACTTATGAAATATGACACACAAGTTGAAACCTAAATAAAATAACAGATACTTACTAATATTGTGACATTCTAACAATATTACATTTACATACAAATTTATTTCAAAATCTAGTTTTATTTGTTCGACGTCTAATATATTTATTTGTTAAAAGGACAGAACGTAAAACATATAAATGATTTGATAAGGTATCAAGTTGTTCGTGTATATTCTATCAATAAAATAAACATAAGAAAAAGGGCAAATACCTTTTCAATGAGACAAGAACATATTTATTAGTCACTGGAACGCTTTACTTATTTGCTTAGAAACCACGTTTTCCTCAATGACTATGTAATTACATACAAAGGCATATAAGAAGTTAATCGTATTATAAATGCATTCCTATTTCCATAGAACCTATATTTAATACTTTATTGTCGTTACAAGCATTGACGCAATCTCTACCCACAGCCGATAGCATGACCTACCTACATAAGGTTGAATGTCACTAGCACGTTATAAAATCTTCAAGGTCGAGTTTTGTTTATCTATACATATGTTATGGTGAAAGTTTATGCGAAAAGATAGCTATGCGTGTTTGTAAATCTCAAGCAAAAACCGACCATAACGCAAATAATTCTAAATCTTAGGTAGCATTAGGAATTTCGTTGGAAATTTTAATTATCCATATTAGGTGTCCCATTTCGCTTTTAGAAGTTAAAAAAATCTATGATAAGTTGTTTATGTCTGGTCATTTAGTTTTAATGTTCGCAGATTTAAGAATATTCTAAGAGGAATACTCGATTCTTTACCTAAATATTTGTATTAATATGGTCGGCTTTTCAACTAACGTTATCATTATTTACAACTAGTGAGTGTTTTAAAAAATAATTGTTTCAGTTTTACTCATTTGTTAATTCTATTATTCTTATATTCTATTAGTTACACATACGTATTAATATATGTACCCAGAATAAATAGATAAAGAAGTTAATTAAAACTATTATGAGTATTATGTCACTTAACTGTCGGCGATATTACATCATTGGAATTTTGCCTTTAGGTTTAGATCACAAACATGTTTACTTTTATTAGCGTGTAGGTTAATAACATTATGCAAGATTTCTAGAAGTTCTCGGGTAGGTAGGCTTAGGTACCTAATTACAGAAAAATAATACATGGATGATAATTTATCTGGGTCGTTATCAACATTCATTTAAGGAATATATTTTTTTGGCATAGCCTCTAACAAACTTTGACTTTAACAATGAAACCAACAAAATAAATACATATATGGCACGGTTCGAAGTTTCAATCCTTCAGTAGGTTCAGGATTTAAGTGGACAAACCTGTGAGGCGGGTGACAACATGTGTAGATGCACGGAGGCAGCCCCCGCTGACTCGCCGAAGATGGTGATGCGTGCCGGGTCACCGCCAAACGCCTCAATGTTGTCCCGCACCCATTTCAGAGCCATCACTTGGTCCTTTACAAACAAACATAAATATGAATGAAATAATGAACATTCTTTATTGTACCTACACCAAAATAATAAAACACAGGCTTCATAATAATACACACACCACAATGATAAGTCTTACGGCTCCTCGTACGCCTTCCAAAGGTCCGGGACCCTGTGGTTCCGTGAATAGAAAGAAATACAGGAAACAACAAACACAAAAGACAGTACAATTAGCGGTCTTATCGCTAAAAAGCAATTTCTTCCAGACAGCCTTTGGATGGAGTTTTACTGTAGGCGACTTTAAGGCACATGATATACATAAGATTATGAACCTTTCCTTGAAGGAAGAGGTAGAGGCTACTGTTGAGTTGTATGTGCTATAAGAGTTAGAATAGAATATTTCTGAGAGTTAAGACAGTGAACAAGCCATAAAATAATTTTACTGACCCTAGAATCTAAATATTTTGTAGCTCATCGCAACGTGATCGCGGGCCACGTGTGGCTGACTCGAGCGTGAACGCCGACAAGCAGTACTATACGTCATCGCCCACGAAACAACTGTGCAACGGCCTAATCGCTTTCATTCACGTTACCTAACCACGATCTTGATGTTGTAAACAATTAGCGAACTAATCATTGTCCGATATCAATCTAATACAGAGATTTGGCCACTCTGTTATCTTTAGTTCGCTTCATTCTGATATAATTATAGGCTGTTAATGGCACCACGATTACAATGCTTTTGCAATAACATTACAGGTACTTCGTTCCTATTAACAATAATATCGCAATGATCAACCTTAAAGTAATCGAAGTTAGCGCAAATATGTTTAATATATTTCGTAATAATATTAAAGATACATAATAAAATTGAACGCGCTAGTACAACTTGCGTCAAAAATGTTGCGAACTTGGCCAGAATGCGTAAAACCATGACGATAGTTACAATACAAATATATAGTAATACAAATATTGCCATGTTAAGTGAAACATTGTGATACATATTTAAATGTAGGTTATGAGCTGATTATACGTGTCGTGTAGATATTTCAATACATTCACAATGTACGTAGGTATATCGATCAATAACGAGTGTGTACCTGCAACGATCATAAATGCAAACCACCCGCTGAGTACTTGCGCAAAAATTAGTGAACCAACTTCAAAGGCGTTAGTAAAGACATTGCATTGTGAAAAGACATGAAACTATAAACAACCACATTTAGCCTCGCACGAAGACTACGAAAATCTACGTGTGAAGAATTCAAACAAAAATGTGTCAGTTTTGTTCTATCTAGTTCGGTTTTGTAGCTACATGATGAGCACGTAGTTGTTAGTTTTAAATTCAGGCAATCATGTGTTTATAATGTCAAAAACCTGATATTTAGGTAATTGTTGGATGCATCGGTACTAGGAGAGCATAGCTAATACGTATATAAAGGGTGGATTTGTTCACACTTGCCTTTAATATCCGTTAAGAACGTTACAAGTTAAGTAACGTTTCCACTTAACTTGAAATAGACTAATTGAACGGTTATGTAAAAGAAAAAGGTTAAAAAAATACTCAAGAGTACCTTCAGGCCCATATTTCCAGAAACTTCTTCGTTCTCAAGGCTCAAGAATCCAAGTGCACCAAGCCTATAATTGAGCGTGACCAGTACTACTCCTGCACCGACGAGATGGTCTGGCCCGTACAGGAATGCGTTACCGGAGCCCATAGCGAAGGCACCTCCGTGGATCCAGACCATTACTGCTAACTTTGGATTGTACCTGTTGAAAGACATAGAAATAAACAATTGAATTATAATTATACGGCGTGATAACGTAAGCATCGATCAGACACGACACGATTCACCGTGCCGCGCGTGGATTGGGGGGTATGATCGTTGTTAGGCCCTAAGCCGGACGATCGAAAATGCCCGACGCCTAAGTCCTTAAGACTCTAAGTCCCGATAAATCGTGTCGTCTGATCGCGGTTAACTATAACAAAGCGTTTTGAGCTCTCTTGTAGAGTGCCATTCTAGGAAACATAATGAGATATTGAAAGGCTATTGAGGTCAATTTCGGTTCCAAAAGTGGGCACTGAACTACCGCTAACCTTAAGGTACCGTTCGGTAAGTCATAAATCATATTTTATTGAAAATATTTTAACAAAAGTTCTTAAGTGGTATTGTATTGCCATGCCTTAAGCGAATGTAACGATCATACGTAGGTACTAAGGGTGACAAAAATGCATGGAGAGCTTAAGGTCGACTATTGACTGACAGGTTTTGCATAACGCTACCATTGATAACTAGATGGCGCTGCTTTTAAATGAATATAAACCTGCAAAGCTTGAATACTTTATACTGCAGAGGCACACAATAAGGTTTTTAATGGTTAAAATAATAATTAAGAAATAATAATATATTTATATCCAAATACACATAAATTATGTTAATTTCCTCATTTCCGAGGACTTAATATAGCGCCATCTAAGTCAAGTCAAGCAAACCAATTAAAAGATGGCGTCAATAATTAATAATAGACAACAATAAAAGTTATAAACTAACCCGCATTTTCGACGTCATAAAAAATGCGATCGGTAGCTCGGAGGAATAAGAATGATTGAATAATGAAGTCGAAGGGCACCGGTTTAATTCCGGATTATCATATTTAAATTCAGGTATAACAATGGTTTTTTTATATTTTTTATATAAAATCAATATTAATAATATATAAATAAAATATTTGACGTTTAATATTTATAAAAGATAACAAAAATAAATAAATATATTATTTTAGAATAAAATTATATTAATAAATATATATAAATAACTTTTATAATATGTGCTAATTATTAATGTAAAAATAACATATTTTTCTAAGTAGCTAAGTAGTTTAAGTTTAATTCTCATAAAGGATAACAAATAAAACTATTTTAGTGACATTATAATTTCAGACATTTATTTCTTAAAACATAATATTTATTTCTTTCTTAAATAGTGTATACCCTGACCTAATAACTTTTCATTTAACTGACACATTATTTAATACACCTTTTATAAGATTAATAAGTATTTTAAATCAAAATTGTGTTGTGCTAGTCATTTATTAAGTAGTTAGTTTTAAACACAATGTTATAATACGATTCTATATAATATGCAACCTTACTTCTGCAACTATTTTACCTCCACATAAAATTTAATTTAAGTATTGACTAAAGTGATTCATTTTGTGCATCATGTTATGACAAAGGCTCATAGCTTAAGTATTCGTTCCAGAACAAGGAAGAAATTGAAGCTAGACCTTAAATCAATAACATTTCTAAGACCGGGATATAGCATTCATTAGATATGGGACGAATTGTTTATAGTAATTAATAAATAAATAATTTATTATTTTGCAATCAATAGCATCTGTAGATATTAATATTGCTTTTATATTTATTTCTCATATTTAGTAAAACATTAAAATCATTACTGTAAGTAAATAACAGTTGCTGGTTATAAAGTAGTCAACAAATTTATCCTACTAACACTAAGTTTGAACATTAATCCATTAAATTAATTATAGCTACCCCGGTCTTGTAATTGCTTAATCTTATAGTCAACAATATCTTTTCTTCTAAGAACTAGTGTAGCCACCATTTTTATTGATCCTATTTCTCTTATCTCGCTGGCCAAGGAATAATCCGTATGTCTGATTGCTGACTAAACACTTGCACAATTTATGGATCACATAGGATAATTGTCCTGCACGAACGTTATCACTAGCACATCTTCATGACGTCTTTCAGCACATCTATGTATAGTTTTCACTGTTTGCATCACTGAAGATGACAATGCTCCAGTAATTTTCCTCATAACCTTGCCCCATAAGTTGAAGCTGGTCTGACTCAATATCACGTCTTCTGCCAGATCCACTACGGTGCTCCAATGAACCATCTTCTTGAAACAGCTTTAGATATCCATAAAGTGGCAGTCTTTACCTGTAAGGGACGTGTATTATTATTATTTTCATGTATCGATAACCATGGATAATAAAATAAATAACGAACGGTCATTTTAAAAGAATACTTACGTTTAAGCCAGTTTCTCTCGAAATTTCAGTATAATTTAAGCTTTGATTATGCAATGCTATTATTTTGGCCCTCGTAGCCATATCAATATTTGAACGCAAACTCATGATAAAAATAAATATTAAAAACTTGTTAAGCAAATCGTAACTGAACTCACTCAAAGATAGTAAAGAATGTTATGATTGAACAAAAAGGTTTAATTTTTATACAGTTAATATTAAATTACCCTCAACTGTTTTGAGATTTATGATCGGGTTATAGTTGCTAAACAACTTCAATATAATAAAGAGTAGGATAATTTCAATACATTTCAAGGTTACGTAATGGCCTAATGGCTAGTGGCATTGGTAAATTTTATGCTACCGAGTTCGAATCCTGGTTATTGCTTGCTTTGCTTTAAAAAGGTTTTGACTATCGTAGGATTAATTTGTGTAATTTATTTAGTTAATAGCTTTGTATGTGATAAAAACTATAAATGTATATTTTTCAATACCACCAGTATACTAGCGCCATCTATGTCATCCAAGGTATATTATTAAGGCGATGAAACGCCGTACAAACGATTTTGATTTGGAATCCTCCATGCACTTATGACACTGATAGTACCTTAAAAGTCCGATTACTTAATAACCGTGAATCTTTTAGTTTCATTAATCAGCAGATAACGCGAGGTTAAAAGTCGCGACTGCTTCGGTAATATCTTTTTATATGATCGTTTCCATTAGGTTTCTATTTACCAATAGGGATATAACATCGAATCCAATAATGGACTTTATTTAGATTTCGACTACGCCAGTAAGCATTTGGTTTGTTTAAAACTGCGTTTAGTTTTTAATATACCTAAATAGTTACTTTTGAATAATGATGGTAGCAATATTTACGGTGGCTAGTTTACCTGACATATTAATACATTTAAACGATATAAGGTTTATTTCGTATATAACAAAGGGTATCAATTTGATTGGGGGTCTGATTGCAATGCAAAAGGACATGAAGGGACAGTATTAAAAACCTGCAGCCAATTTTAGCCGAATAACGTAAATACACGCATTCTCGACAAACTAATGTCATTCCTCAAAATATTATCTTATAATAGTGTTATCTATCTGGAAAGCAGCAAGACTATCTTAAACACCCTAGTAAAATTTGAGAGCCAAGCTCTTTGTTTAGTGGTGAGCATTTTAACACAACACTGAATATACCGAAAATATGTTTCAACCTTTAAAGGATGCCTTACCCAGACATTTTATCAGGGAGTGCCGGAGTGTACACGTTGAGGAAGAGACAGTCTTCGTCTCCTTTGTAGGTGTCGAAGAGCATAAACCGATGAGGGCACACTGCGCCTTCCTCCAGCGCGTCCCGTATTCCCGACCATGGCTCCAAAGGGGCAGGTGGCCGGAACCTTAACGACCCTCGAGGCGGTTGAGCATACCTTGAATAATGATTTACATAAATTACTCTGTGACAAGTTGCTTTATATGTAGAGTAGAGGTCAAAAATGCATTGCATTGCACTCTACCAATTTTAAAATGACCAAACTATCTTTGTAGAATAGAGTCAATGGTTGAGAACTGCTTTGATGTATATAATCTAAATTATTGAATAAACTGGCTGTGAACCATTGAACTTTTAATACAAAGAAATTTTAGTCAATTTAAAATTGGTAGAGTGTTATTGCATTTTTGACCCCTGACTGTACATATATTAGTTGTGCTTGGTGAAGAAATCTATTATTCTTTTTTAATAATGAATATTGCAAAAGATAAGATGGAGTGCAAAAAAAGTGTAACGGAAATTCATGATATCGATGTTTATTTGCAAGAATTTTTCGCTACCATCTTGCTTGGTTGTGAGCGTCAGTTATAATCACCGGAATGGAAATAATTATTTACAAAGAGCAATACAATGCAACGAGCTTGATGTTGGTAGCTTACTCTTACAAGTCCACTGAAAGTGTATTTGTCAATGGACAAGGACAAATCTTAATGCAGTATTGTTGACGAAAGTTACAGAGCTTTCATTAATTAAATAGATAAAAAAATATACAGTATCCTAATAATTGAATTCCATACCTTATGCCCTTAAAGCTATAGTATGGCGTTTGAGCAGTGGTCCTAGTGACGAGCTTGCGGCCACGCAGAGCCCCGAGTTGCGTGAACACAATGGGTCCGCCGCCGACGCGCATGCGGTCTACCAGTGCATGCACCAGCCGAGCCGCGCGCGCAGGTACCGCTTGCAGCCGACGTAACGCGTGCTTCAGACCCACTGACTCGCTGACCGTACTTGAGAGGCGGCGCCATGCTCCCGTCACCTGGTAAAATAAAAAAAGGTTTTATTTAAAAGTTCCTTCTAAGGTAACCGTGCTATGTAGAAAAGATGAAATACAGAAACAAACTCAGAGGTCCGTCTCTTTTAAGGGCCAAAAACTAATTAAACTAGCCCAAAAACCAGTAACAATCAATCATCGTTCCTTGAAATTAAATCTAAATACTGAAAAAACTCATAAAAAAATTAATTAGGTGTGATTGTCACACGCATGAGATCTTATCCGCTGTAAGCTCAGTAAATAATTATTTCCCTTATACAATGACTATAATTTTCACACTCGTTACTGCGTGTTAAAACATGTTTCAATAATTGTTCGCTATGTTTACTGACACTTTACGTAAATACATGGTTTAGTGACAGAAAGACAGACCTCACGCAAGCTGTTTAAGATGGCTGTCAGCGCTGACATCACACGCAACGAAGTATACTACCATAAATTAATTATATTACATAAAAAACGTAACAGCATCATTGTTTCATATTAAGTATTAACTCTTATTTTCAAGAATAAAAGATAAATATCATCGTATCTCCTCGCCAGCTGGTCTAAAGGTGTAGGTGCAGTGCATGCATATGACGCATCCACATTTCGCCACTTTTGTTATTACTTTAATATTTTCTGAACCTACTTTCCTTTTTGTTATTTAGGTTGAGAGACCGGATTCGTCATTTTCCACATCTCATCTGCCCTTTACAGCTAAATCCGAAATTTCGAAACATTACTATCTGTAAGTGGATCGGTATTACTGCAACTGCAGCAGCCACGAAAACAAATTCACGATCCACGAATACTAAAAAAACAGGAATATAACGTAAGTATAGAATGTTCTTATTATTTTAGATATTTAGTCTTTCCCGAAGACATCTACAATATGACAGAGAAACAGTATTCAGTTCTTTCATAATAAGAACGTGTGTTTGTAATATTTCAATGCTTTTTATAACTTATACCTACATTATGTACTACATGCAATGTATGTAAATGCAATTCAAACATGTCATTGCTATAACAAATGTTAAAGTGTTGTTGAACAAATATTAAATAAGCAATTAGATTAATTAGGTACAACATATTATAATAAAAAATAGGTACAACATAATTGGAAAACTCAATGATCGCTTAATGAAACGTAAGAGGATACGCGTAACGAATAAATTACTTCGTTTCCTTCCCTATGGGTTGGTAATTACAAAAACAATTAGTAACTAGAATCTGTGGAACGTTCATTCATATTTATTTTTCCAAAACATTAAAACTGTCATAGGCTCAAGGACCGCGGCGGCCTCCAACCACGCTCTAAATATTGCATTAACAGCACTTGGCATTATTTAGCTGGTAACACAGAATACCATGCGTAAGAAAGACATGACCATTAAAACATATTTAATTAAGTTCCGGTAACGTTGCAAAGAGTATTTATTATTAAAATTGTTCTTTTATTTTGATTTTTAATTATCTGACAAAAGTTCTGTTTGTAATTGGAGAGATCTACGTCTGGAAAACTGACTAATAATCATGGTCATGATGAAACGTACGTTTTGTTTGATATACTACTGCAATGTTTATTGCGACTTCGTCGAAATTATTCTCAGGACTCAACCTACACCTCAGCCAGATTTAATCTAAATAAGTTCAGCAGTTCTTGCATAACAAACACACATCCATACCTATGTGTTTTTATTCATGGTTATGGCTACGTTACAAACCTAGTTTCCTTCCGCTAACCTCATTTCTCGAAGCTTCGAATATTATAACAATGAACTCAAAAGTTTGGAAACAAATGTATAAACAAAGTTAAGTATACTTTCGCATAGCAGATCTGAAGCAGATGAATAAATATGAAAAAGTTCAGTACTTTCAAGTTTAAAAATTATTCGTCTATACTTTTTTACAAATTCAGTTGTAATGAAGGTCAATCAAAACTAACTATACCGTTGGGTTCCCAATTAAAGAAGAGGTTGATATTTTATACCTTGCAACATTAAGTTACAGCTCAATTTGTTACCCAATAATATGCCTATGCGAATGTCATCGTTCAAAATTCAATAGAACATTCATTCAAAAACTCAAAGACATCTTTGCGTAATGCTAATGGCGATGGCCATTATACGAATAAAATAGAATTTGAACATTATTATTGCTTATATGAATAAATAGATGACACAAGCATAATTTTGAACCTACTCAAGTAACAATCAAATAATAAGTAGTTTTTGTTAAGGTATCAAGGTTACAACATAAGTGCTGGATATGCTCCAAGATCGATTTCCAAGGTCGACAATTCTGCCTTACATGCAGGCACTTAGAGATTCACTGCTGGTATGGAAAGCTGTTGCAAAAACCTTTCAAACACGGCCTCACAGAATATCGGCGTGAAACAACGCCAGCTGAATGAGAGACCGGAGGAAAAATCTTTCCCTTCCTCCTATTGCCAATACCTGAATCCCCAAACCTCAAATCGCTAACAACCTACAAAAGGCTGGCAATATACTTATGTTCAGGTGGTCCATGGGCTGGGCTGGTTTTTATCACCAGGCAATCAGTCTGCCCGGGTACTGATATATCTACCTAAACAATTTCTCGCACTTGAATCACAAAAGAAACCCAGGACCTGTTCATCAATCGCACATGACCCTGTCTACAGTGATTGATGATAGTGTTTGGTGTCAAGGATTTATATATAAATAAAAATAATCATGTAAGTAGGTACAGTAACTAGGGGATTTATATGCAGACTGAAGTTAAGAACATATTTTTTCGATGGTCGTTACACCAAGTTGCAGTACGCAAACCAGTTTTTGTATCGTGATATTTATAGGCTAATTATTCTTACAATATGACAACACATTTGTTTGGGTGCATATCTTGCTGCAATGTTTACCAAAAAACCTTTTTTTAAACTAATTTCTTAATTCCTGGGGTATGAAATTAAAAAAAAATGTACAATTCTACACACAAGCTCCCAGGCCAGAAAGATTCTAAAATTCTCAAATGCAGAAATATATATTACATTTATCACCATAAAATTTGAATTGGTCTATGGTGTATGCAGTTGCCGCTACGTTATAGACACTGTCATTGGTAAACGGCTAGTGATAGTTGATATTACACGTATAATGTAGCTAATAAGTAAGTTGGGTGTTTCGATTTAGAAATTCCGAATAGGTTGCATACTTAGGTAAAATCGCATCCGGTTTAGAAATAGCATTATGTATATCTACATATATATATGTATCTACTTACTAACTAGTAGTAATCACAGATTAAGTAATACTGTGTATGTTTACGGAAAACATGTCCATTTACAGATTAGTCTAGAACAAAAGTAATTTAAACTGATTAAAGCAAGAAAATTATTTTCATAGTCATCATACAACATGACACTAAATTTGCTAATATACATATACAGGACAATGTACAGTCAGGGGTCGAAAATACAATTGCACTCTACCAATTTTAAAATGACCAAAATATCTTTATAGAATGGAGTCAATTATTGAGGACTGCTTTAATTTATAGCATAGAATCTAAATTATTGAATAAACTGGCTGTAAACCATTGACCCCTGACTGTACATACCCGTACAAGTATACAACCTTCTTGTAGTAACTAGTAGAGTAAAATAATGGATACTTTAAATTTGTATTAGCTAAAAGAAAATCGATTTATATTTTAAACAAGAATTACCATCGTTACACATGGGATGCCTCGCCCGAGGGCAGACGACCAACATTGACTTTCGTATAATATTCCAATAAAACCTCATGGATATGGCCGGACAGCGCAACGTTGCGAAAATGCAACTGCAAAACGATTCCTTAACGATACCTTTCTGATTGTATGTTAATGTTATTGCCCTCTGAGCAATTTATTTATTAATAAACAGTCTAGACCTTAACGTTATCGTGAACGTGTTGTACTTGGATATTTCACGCAGTGTTTTTTTAAACAAGGCTTTGTAACCTTTAGTGTTTTTTTAGACTTTATTTGGTAATCATGGTAATTGTGGGTAAAACAAAACTATGATGGTCGAAATGTTTTCGAGTGGACATTTTTAGTCCTCACTAAACGTACTGTCGTGGTTATTATAGAAATTAGGAATTCTAGACGTAAGTTTCTAATTGAATAAGACATTATTGGTGAAACAGTTTGAAATATTTCTACCGTACCTACATCTCTACACTGAGTAGACTGATAAAAAAATGGTCAAAATGTTCAGTAACGACGTGTAAACTTTTATACATTAGCAATATATACATTAGTAAATAAATAAATAAGCAATATTACGAAAACTAGGTCTTGGACTCAATTGAACTTAAAATTATAGGAAGTCATTATTATAAAATGAGATATATCATCAATTGAGTTACCTAGTCTATCGGCAGCGCTGAGATTAACCTAATACTTATAGTATTGCAGTCACCCAGTGGAATGTACATTAGCCCAGTATTACAGAAAACTCTAGAAAACCTATGATTAAGAACGTATCGCGGTTTATCTGTTTCTGAAAAACTATATCAGTTCAAAAAATAATAGCTTTATGTTATTGATATCCGGCTGTCTAATGTATGCTTATTTACCTACTAAGTTCAACTGCGATTATGCCCGGATGTTTAAGAGAAAAATTGTGACATAGCTATGATTCTTCCAACTGCTATTCATACTCATTTGCTACTGGTTGTTCAAAAACAAGGAACAACTCAAAAATATTTGGAGTAAATACTATTTTAAAGATTATTGAGAAGTAGATCTGGAGCAGGGGAAGTAAAGGGCGGTCATAAGTCAATAAGAGTCCTACACCCCCTATAGTCCCAGGGCAAGACAATAACTTTGACAATTTAAAAACAATCTAATTAATCTTCGAGCCGTATGACCAACGTTATGTGTATATTTATATCACCCGCGCCCAGAGAACATTTATGTACTATTCTTATGAGGCGTTTCTATTAGCCACGAACAATACGTTCCAAATTTAAAATTTTAAAGGTAACGTCAAGTTACATCACTGTGCGCTGTTTAGGTATAATGTGGACCGTATGAATGCGGCACAGTTCTCGTTACCTCACGTATTTATTGTTTAGGACGTTCCCTGGATGATAGCGCAACGCTTTGTTGTAATTACACGTGCTTAGAGTAAAAAATGCTACATTTCTATTGCAGAGCAAGGTTGCACATGAAATCGTAAGCCCTTTGTGAATAAGATTAGATAAGTGTGTTGTAATAGTGAGATCTTTTCGGTTGAAGTAATTTTAACGTTGTGTAAATATGCATACTCTACACCGTGGCTCGTGGCCTCTTTAAAAAACCTTTTTTTAGCAACTATAACATATAGAATGTTCCCAATGGGCCTAAGTAAATGATTGATAATATTTGTTTTACTCTTTTTAGGAGTAAGGTCTTTATTGTAATATATACTTAATGTCAATATAACAAATGTATGTAATCGTTGCTCTATATAGCAACAACCAATGAAAATTCATAATAATTATAATACAGAGAAGATTTACAGTTCCACATTTAAATAAAATATTGTTCCACTATATTACTTACTTAAATCTATTACGTGATAGTTGTTACATCATATTCTATTTTCGTCGTAATATGTTAGAATCGCAAGTACCTTATTATTTTTATCTTTAAGTAGGTTTAATTAATGAATCGTGCAGATTATGAAGTATGAAAAAGTTCAGTTCGATTGTTCGAATATTAGAGTTCGAGTAAAATCCAATACATTAAACCGAACCCCAGATAGGCCTATGTACTTACGTAGTGTTAAGTTAATGTATTGGATTTTACCCCTATAACGCTGTGGAAAAGTCCAAGCGTTCCAAGCTTGCGAATTAAGCAAGTCACACAATTAGGTGAGTTTACCCTACTGGATGTACAAAACAATTAAATAAATAAAAAAACCCGATATATACGTTATAAAAAAACTGGTTAAAAGTGGATGTGCAATGATTTGTGTGTTGTTTTATAACATGTGCTATGTAATAAATAATGTGAACCACCGACCTTCATAGAGTTGAGACTGGTAGCAGCGTTGGCGACGACATCGCCCAGGGTGGCTGGAGGCAGAGCGTCGCTGCGCAGCACAAGGGCGCATGTGCAAAGCACCACGGCGCGCCACCAGCGCACACGCATCTTTGTGACCGTCTCTATTCACTCACCACTTTCAGTTCCCACCAGTAAAGTACTTGTAACTGACAGTTTCTTACACAATTGCCTATCGAAGCATTGTCACATAACTTTTTAGACTTTTATTTCACTGATTAAATCCCTTTTTGTATCCTAGAGGGTATAAAAACAATATATTAGTAAACGTTCAAATAATTAGTAAACATTATTGTTTTTGCTTTCATTAATAATAAATCTACCTCATAAATATGACCATGGGCATGAATGATGATGAAAGTTTACAAAGATCGTATGGTAATTCGTGCTCTCTAGTTTTTTTGAAACTTAAACTCAATGTTTCTGCCTAACTATTGTATGAAACAAAGGCATGAGTTCTCTGTATAAATTGTCCACACAAATCATTCGACGCGTAAATCACTAATTTAACTTCAGTGCAGTTAATCTTCTCTTGTCTACAGCCTTACGAAATTCAGTATTTTAACAACAGAATTACAACTGACATTACACAAGTCTGTAATGAAGAGCAATGAGCATTAACCAAACAAACTTAACTTTATTTCTTGTACAATGGCAATGATTTACCGCTTCAATAAATCTCTGGAGAAACTATCAACCTTTGGCAAAGGCAACTCCAATTAGTTCAATCGCTGTTTGATTTTATGCGCTGTCATCGGTTTGTGTAAAGATATGAATTCCAATAGGCGTCAAGTTATTCATATAAAAAATGATATTTATGTGTAGGTATTTTATTTATTCCAGATTGCTCTGTCGTTCAACTTAGTGAATTTATATCAACTGTATGTAATCAGTTATCGTCTCATCTATGCTTTGTTTACTAGTTATTACAATAGCGACTATGACCAGTGATTGAAGCCTCGTTTACTCGGCAAGTTGACTAGCACATAGCTCCGCCCGCACCGAGCCGAGCGCGACGTTCCCGATATTATTCAACCTGCACTTTCACTCACTACTTACTACAAGTACAATGAGCCATGCACTTCTTAGTTACAGACTCAAAAATAATTGAATTTAATTTGTTTGCTTGCAAGCATTAGTATCTAGATATATTTTTATGTAGGATGTTGGGTTTTCGGATTCCAATCAATTTATTTTATATAATTTATTAATGTTTTTGTTACTGGCAGGCAAATTATGTAATTAAACAATATAATGTTACATCACCTTTTAACTGTAACCGAAGGACTTAAATATTTTTGTGTAATAACGAGGAAGTGGGAAATACAATTCTCGTCTTGAAACCTATTATATCGTAAATAACATTACCTACCCTTTTTCCTGAATAGGGCAATTAATTATTATTATTTTCAAGTAGAATAAGGTGCCAATATTAAATCTGATAAAATAATTACTTGTCCAGTTAACAAAACGGTAACTAACTTAACCAGACACTAACGTAGGTATCCTTCGTACAAAAGACATCAACGACATTGAATTTTAGAAATAGATTTATTACAGTATTCGCTATGAGACACATGCTCAGAAATTAGTATTTGTAAATTATTTAAGTTTATACAACTTAAATAAAATATTATTACCATCAATCATTTTACGTTCATTTGAACAACAACTTGCGTCCATACTTCTTCATATTCTTCCTTAAAGGAACTGAAGAACTTCAAACTAGTTGAGAGAGTAAAGATTCTATTTTTACTATATAAAGGAGAAAACCCTATCAATATATAAGACTGTACTGCCACACAAGCAACAATACGATAACACAAGGAAAAGAGGTAATAATAAGTACCCAGAAATAAGATCAGAACCCCGGAACAGTGTTACGCAACGGTCGGCGAGTGTACGCTGCACACTGTACCTAGTTATTTCTGAAGTTACATCACTAGAGAACAACATCCCTAAATGTAGGAAGTAGATGTTATTGCGGCGAAGTGAAGGTGGACCGGCAACGTCGGTTACTGGCGACCGCTCGCCTTGTGATACAAACTATTTGGTGGTGAAAACTGAAAAGCACAACCTAATGTTTGCCTATTTTTTCTAGGTTGTAAAAAGGAATCAGCAGACTACCTATTATTTTTGTATAAAATTTTGTTATTACTCCAAATCTTAAAAGTTAATTTTCGACATAAATTACTCGGGACTCTTCAAAGAGGGATCCTACCGCTAAGGGCTGCGAAAACCAAACTCGCTCGCACCCTTGTTTTCCCCATATTTCTGCACGCTGCTAAACATAGATACTGCGAGAAATAGTAAATTGGAAAGGGGAAGAAAGACGCCCTAAAGATGACGCCCTGGAGAATACTGTACGTTGACACAGTTCTGAACGAAAGTCTTGATTCTCGGCTCGGTAGGTCACTTATACGATAAAAAGACCAAATAAAGTCCGTAGTCGATGGTTCACTGAACGAACGCGGTAGGATAACCTCGAGCAGGGACAAATGGCATAAAAACGTGAGGAGCAAACAGGGGGCCACCTACTTCTCTACTCTTACATGATAACCACGATATCACTGTAGAGAGTGAACCAATTAGAAGAAGCTGGTTGACGTAAGCTAGTACTAAGTATCATAATTATAAAAGTCATAAATCATGACTATCTGCTAAGTGCACGCTCTGCGACAACTTCCCTGAGACACGAGCAACAAGCGTAAAGAACTATCACATCTCCTTATTATCCAACATACATTGTTCCTATATAATTATCTAGTCATGATACGGTTCAAATATTCTAAGTAGGTACCTACATGTTAATGTTCTCGTAACTTTATCATACCTACGTAATACCAGCTGATTTGAGATTACAATATATATAATGCTGGCTGGTTACTTTGCTTCCCTGAGGTGATAAGGACCATGATTGGTTAACACTGTTACGTTACACCGTTAGATTATCAAAACGAATGAACGCCATTTTCTGGAAACTGCATTTTACTTGATACTGATAATACAACAATGAGGATGTTTGTAAGCTCCTTTGTACTTACTTTTGTTTGTTTCGTTTATTTTTAGAGGTAAATATTTAAGTTTTTAGATTTATTTTATTTCAGCATTAGATGATGTTTATCATTGATATACCAATAATTTGCAATTGGCCGATTTATGGCCGCTATCTTGCACGCTTTTATACCCAACCTTTTTACTAAGCCCTTAAAGATATGAATGTTTAATCCTTCGTGGAACACAAAGTCTGGCAAAGAATTCCGCTCCTTAGCGGTATATACATACATAGATACATGCATACACAACTTCACGCCTTTTAACCCCCAAAAGGCCACAGGCGAACGACCACCACACATAAACACCACCTCGTTCGCAGAAGAATTTCTGCTCTGAGCCGCCCTTGGGCGGATTAAGCTTATTGCCATATCCCAAACTACCTACTAAGAAATTCTCAAAAGCCTGAAATACTTGAATTACATTTTGCTCGGCCCATGCACCGTCTCTAGGACGGGGGTCCTGTACACTATCAGACAAATAATTTTATACCTACGTAGCTAATGATAGGATTAGCTAATGATTGCTTACCATCAGCTAATCCGTATGCAGTATGTCTGTGCATTCATGTCACATAAAAAATATGTGTATACAACCATGGGTTGCTTAGTGTACCTTTTGTAATTAAAGTTTTGGAGATTGTGAGTACTTAACCGGCCGGCCTGGAGCCGAAGAAGAAACAGGTTGTTTTTATAGTCAGTAAGAGGCTGATACTCCCTCTCTCTAGTCATTTGATGATTTTCTCCCTCAAGGAACAAAACATCAGATATTTTTGTCATTAACAAATTTTACAATCGGTAGCAGTAAACTTAGCCCAGTCGACTTACCCTTCATATGACCACGGCACGGCTTATAATTATTACAGAAAAATGAGAATGTGGGAACATTTAGATACACAAATTAACAAAACTTCAAAATGTACATTTTTCAATGACATAAACTTGAAATCTTCTTAAAAATGCAGAAAGAATTGACGTAATTCCTGAAGCGGAAATTTCATGCGAACTCGCGGGCAATAGGTTTGTATTGTAATAAAGCGTTTATACTTTATTTGCATAGATTGCATTATGATAAACACAGCTGACCGTCTGTTGTGGGTGTGAGTCAGACGAGTGGCCAAACACGTGGTTTCCAAATACTTATTCTTTCACAGTCGAGTAACGTATGAAGCAGAATACCGTTTTTATGGCACATACTTCATGTAAAGTAAATATGTATGTAATTATCAAATTAGCTACACTTTATTGAAGTTGTCATTTTGTTTGTCTCCATCTACGAGACATTGACAGCATTAAAAACAATAAAAAATACTACAATAGTGTCAACAAAGAATATGGAATAATATGGCTGCGCACTGTAATCTGAAGCCGGTACAACACAGTTTACATTTCTAACAAATAACTGTAATTATCGGTTTCAACCCCTTAATCTCTCTTTGTCATAAACAGAATGCGTAGATATTAGATAATTATGTAGATATTTATTATTTCTCAGTAAAACTTTTATTTAAAGCATTCGTAAATTGAGTATTGATTGGTTAATGCTCACGCTTCAAGCAGTACAGATTGTAATATAATTACGAATGCTTAAATATGTATCAGTTTGCAGACATTCCACAATTCTACTATTGCAGCGACCTAAAACCTAATATAAAAACCATTTAGGCAATAAAATAAGATGATTACCCAACAGTAATTACCTAAATGGTTAATGTGCTCAAATGCGGAAATGTCGTTGAAACGGGACACACTTAAAAAGTCTTAAACACAACACAACAAAACTGGAATATACGATACAACGTACAGTAAACGGTTGTGTACAAAAGTACGAACTGTTTATACGAAATAGTAGGCTATGCGTTGGTAAAATTTCGTCAATATTCGATAGAGGTGAATGCGCGCGCGTCACTCAGGCCCGTTCACTTTACTGGTCGCGTCGGCGTTCGTAAGCCGTAACAGGCTTGAGAACTATTACCCAACATCCACCACCACCGCAGACATCAGATATCCGAGGATCAATGTTATCCAATACATATGTAGGTATCAATATTTTTGGGCAGTGCGAGATCCTGCAAGTAGGTCATGTAATATTAAAGAGGTGCGTGTAAAGTTTCTGACCGAATTACATAACTAACAACACACGAAATACCTAAACCTTAGAGTCCTCAGGTCCTAAAGTACTAAGGCACATATTCAAGCCCTACGATACACTGCGGCCCCGCCAGGGTAGGCCTATAAAGTGACAGGCTCTTACTGACTAAAAAGCACGCCGTTTCTCAAGTACTTGTTCCAAACTTCCTTCCACTGGATCCAAAATAGATACCTATCGAAGCTTCCGTGTCACGTCAGGCAAAAGGTAAAGACGGAGACTCAAAGAGGGACTTTTTACACTGCCGAAGCCGCTGGGAGAAGGAAATAAGTAATCATTTTGTAGGTTCCAGAAGTATTTAAAATATAGCCAGTGGAATTATTGTAATAAAAAATTCTACATACACACAAATAATGTATGTCATCACGTCCAAAAGGGTGAGTAGATACACACATATCCATATCCATACACTCATAGTCACATCACATCACATCAAATCATCTATAACTGTCCACTGCTGAGCAAATGCCTCTTCTCACATGGAGAAGGTTTGAGAGTTAATCACCACGCTTGCTCAATGCGGGTTGGCGATTTCAAACTTATAATTAGAAATTATAAGTCCAAGTTTCCTCACAAATAATCATAGAGAATACATATAAATTATAAATTTAAAATTTTAAAAACTACCGACATAAATTCTAATAAGTATTCATTTTGTCGGGGGCTAATTTTTTTTATTTTATACTTTTTATATGTATTTTATATAATTTTCTCCCGATTAAGTCATCAACATTCCCTTTCGGCGTCGGGGGTTATAAAAGTTACATTGGTACTTGCCCGGTTTCAAACCCTTATTGCATGAGAAGCGGGCGCCTTAACCTCCGGGCCAACACGACTTTACCCACAGTCATTCTTCACAAATTCTGTTCTGGAATTAATAGTATGATGTAATCATTCTAAATCACGAATATACATAACCAAACTGAGATGGTACTGGATTGCAAGTTCTACAATTTCAAAACAAAATATGTAGCAGGACATCGTGAAAGTTTTCTTCTGATAATCGACCTTGAGTTGACTGAAGATCTTCTTTAAATCATATAAAAATAGTCACTAACGTCTTGTTCCAAAGATCTTGTAGATGATGTCAGCTCTCTTAGCCATTTGTCGACCTTTGTTTTTGTAATACCAACGATAATTACTTCTTTTATCTATATGAGCATTGCAACTTATTCCCACTTCATGCTTCCTGTTTATAACTCGAGTGGATATAGCGACCGCAGTGATAACACAGCCTTACAGAAAACAGGCGTAAATTAACTACAACGTTATGTTTCGCCGTGAGAAACCGCCCCTTCGCCGCCCTCCTGTAACCTTAGTAGAAGAACTAAGCATAAATTCCTAAAGCCCATATACGTGTATACCCATATACGCGTATTTAAGTGTGGGAGAGCCATGCTTCGGCACGAATGGGTCGCCTCGACCGGAGTGATACCACGGCCTCGCAGAAAACCGGCGTGAAACAACCACAGCGTTGTGTTTCGCCGTGTGAGTAAGGTTACCGGAGGCCCAATCCTTCCCCTTCCCGGACCCTTCCCCAATCCCTAAATCTCCAAATCCCTAATCCCTAAAAGGTCGGCAACGCACTCGTAACTCCTCCGTTGCGGGTGTCCATGGGCGGCGTTGATTGCTTACCATCAGGTAATCCGTCTGCTCGTTTGCTGACTTATTACATAAAAAAAATACGGATTGTATGAAAAAAATGCCAACGCGGGTAGCCCCGATTTCTTACCGACGCGTCGGGTTAATCAGTCTGCTTATTTGCTGCTACACAACGTAAAAAGTACAGCGCCATCTCTTAAGGATTTGAACCAGACGGAATAAGTAAATGTTCAGTATAATTACAAATGTATATAAACAAAGTTAAAGGAATTCTTGCATATTCGGTTTCATTATTAGAAATTAGTTCAGACTTTTTTGTAGAATATTTCAAAACGGTATTAAAATATTTTTTCTGAAATTTAAAAGTAATTTAGAATTTTTCCATTATTTTCTAAACATGTTGTTCAAAAATTAGAGGGGGGCGAATTTTTGTAACTTTTGGAGCGATTATTTCCGAAAATATTAACATTAAAAATAGTATGAAAAGTCGTAAAAATAGTATAAAAATAATAGATTTATAAAAATAATGTGATATTGACATTTAGGTAGGGTAATTAGTGCAAACTGTGCATAGTTTTCTTAGAATCTTCTACTTCTATTTTCTATCTATATCTATGTATAATATATAAATATATAAAACTAAAGGGTGATTGATATAGTAATCTATCAACGCACAGCCACTGGACGGATCGGACTGAAATTTGGCGCGCAGGTAGATGTTATGACGTAGACATCCGCTAAGAAAGGATTTTGATCAATTTTACCTCCAAGGGGATAAAAAAAGGTATGAAAGTTTGTATGAAACTTTGTTAGTTTTTATCCCATCGGGCTAAGACTATAACGCCTGCGTTATGCGTGCCTATGTTATACGGGATGCCTACATCCCCTTATTTTTTTGTCAGGGGTAAATTATCATATGAGTTCTCCCGCCCATGGTAAGGCGAGAGAGAGTGTCCGACTCTTACTGACTAACCCCCCCCCCCCCCTCTTCCGCGGTGACTCATTGCGCTTAACCCGCAACCCCGGCTGAACATTAGCCCTTTATAGCCCCGTCTGTGGTGGCCTATTGGCTCTATGAGGCGCGCGGAACGCTCGGGTCTGGTTCTGGTCGGGCGGCGAGCTACCCTTACTCGCCGTACGCAGACCCGCGCTCACGGTGACCGAAGATCATCTCTAGATCCCCGACGCCCGGAATGTGGCCTACTGGGGCGCGAGGAGGATAGTTCCCTCACGCGCTCCGCCTCCTCCTTTGCGAGCATCATTGCTTCGCAAAAAGAGGAGATGGCTTCCCAGTTCCTCTCGCTACGAACCATGGCTTCGACTAGGGCCGGGCGCGAGAGGTCGCCGCCGCCGATCACTTCACCGAGGACACAGCGGTGCTCAGCCCAAGAAGGGCACTCCGCCACCGTATGCTCCACCGTGTCTCTCCACTGTCTCACCGTAACTCCGGGGAGGAAGCGAACCTCCTTACCGGATTACTGCCCTGCGATCTCGAAGCGAAGGCGCTCGCGCGCGTCTATAGTTTGCGCGCAGACGCGCGTCGTCGGGGCGAGAGTCCTCTGTCGCGCCAAATTAGTGCGTGGCGGAATGAGCTCCGGCGAGATCTCATGGCAGAGTGGAAGCAACGACTGTCGCAACCGAGGGGCGGGCACGCTGTTATAGCAGCGGTAAAACTCCTCTTTGAGGATTGGCTTGAGAGACGACACAGCGCCCTCACCTTCCGCCTGACGCAAGTGCTTACCGGGCACGGCAGCTTCGGTAAGTTCCTATTTCGGACCCAACAACGGGAGGAATTGCCCGAGTGCCCGTCACTGTGAGGATCACCTAGAGGACATGATGGAGCATACGTTGGCGGTGTGCCCTACTTCGGCAGTGATCGGAGGTGGCGACCTCTCGGGCCCGGTCTTAATCGAGGCCATGGTTCATAGCGAGCGGAACTGGGAAGCTATCTCCTCCTTCTGCGAAGCAGTTATGCTCGCAAAGGAAGAGGCGAAGCGTAAGGCTACTTGATACTCAATTCCTCCCCACCGGCCCCTTCCCCAAATCCCCCAATCCTCAAAACCTTGACCCCAAAGTTACTGCTCAATGTTACGAGCGTTATTAGTCGATTGCTTGCCGGATTAGGTAAAACGAAAAAAATCGTCGGCTAACTTTCATGCTATTTCTGATATCTAATAGAAGAACTAAGCATAAAGCCCTTCATTGATTTTTGTGCTATTAAGGTATGTCGCATAGATGTATGTCGGACATTTGTTTGGCGAACATACACATTTTCGATCAATTTCGATATTTAAAATGACAGATGTATAAATATGTAGAGCACACTTCTTAAAGAACATGACACGGCGTATCTATGAACAGAAGAACGCAGTTTCATAGATACACCACTATTTTATTTCAAAATTCACTCTATAAGAACGAACAGCGATATCCGACCCAGTGTCCGTACGCGACGCGTATCCGAACACATACGTAAATACCTTTGTCTTTGTTTTCCAAGCACGGCTGCACCTGACATTGACGTATGACGTCATGATATGTTTTATATCTCAGATTAATTTCGTGCATCAATTCGTAAAATAAATAATAGTTAACAAATTTCTGTTTTCGAGTTCTTGTGTTATACAATATATTTTTGTACCGAGTGTAGTGTGTTATCTTGCACCTTGTTTTAAAATAGAAAACAATGGCAAATATCCCAGGGACAGGTGCAGTGGCTTCTGCGCCTGAAGATCTTCCACCGCCTTACTCAGCTGTAGTTGGTAACCCACAATATGGGTTCGTAGCGCCTGGAGGTGAACCATATGCGGCCGCTGGCGGTGCATACCCACACCCGCAGGCGCAACCAAAGCAGTATACAGCGCCGGGGGTTTACCCACATCCTACAATAACTATCACGAACACTCAGCCACAAGCGGGTGATATGGGGCCTCCGCAGCCGCCCGGACCCGTGCCTGTGGGTATAGTGCTGCCGCCTGCAGTCGGTACTGAGCCCACAACTATAACTTGTTTCAACTGTGGCAAAGTAGTGACTACAAGAGTTACCTACACAACAGCTTGGCATACCCATCTAGTGGCTGGATCCGTGTGTGTTATCACTATGTAAGTTGTACATATAACTTTGAAACCTTCTTCTTTGCTACTTACTCTCACTTTTTAATGAAATCAAAAAATACACATATCTTAAAACTGCATTCTTCAGTTCTGACCTAATTTTGAACTGCAGTGATAATTAACTAATTAGGTAATCTTAAACTAAATATCCTATTAGAAGCTTTGCCTGCAGTACCAGGATAGAAGTAACCTATGATTTATGTGAAAGAATAACAAATACTGATCCATCCATACAAACTTTCACATTCAAAATATAAAGTAGGATTAATATGTTGTTTTATTGCAGGATCTGCTCTCTCTGCTGTCTTGGACTCGTCCCATACTGCTTTGATACATTCAAGGATGCAGAGCACTACTGCCCCAATTGCAATACTTTTATTGGTAAAAGTAGCAAATGTTAAGTAATTGGGAACGGCACTACAATCATACCTATATGATGACATGAAGATTTCAGCTTCATCCATAAATGAGAAAATGCAAAAAAAAATCAAAAGTAATGGTGCCATCAAGTTATTTAGAGGCATGTTCCTTACATTCAATGGCCTTTGTTATTCTATCAATGCTTGTGAATTCTTAAGTATTGTGACTATTGTAAAAAATATCTTAATTCACAATGGTTTCCAGCACAATCCTACTTCACCTGTCATTTGTCTATTGAATAAGTAAAGCAAACAATTACTCACAGGTTCACATAAGTGTGGTTTGGAACTCAGGTGAAGTTGTGCATGTAAAGCAATAAAAATTTTAACAAACTCTTATGATTTCATGTCAAATTAAAATGTAACAAGACTCTGAATGGAAAATTATTTATTATTCAGATGTCTTTATAAAATGATGCAACATTATGAAAATCGAAAGAATTGTATAGAATGATTTAATTAAGGCATCTCTATCTCTCTATGTAGTATAAAATATGTTCTATGGTTAAATTTTGTTACTGTAAGGTACAATGAGTAAGCGGCTGATTATTTCACAATGTCATCTAAAGTATTTCTAATAATTTTCATTCCAAATACATATAACCTTTTTCATATTTCTTAGAAACAAACATATATATTATTATTATTACACATTGAACGGGAAATATTTGTGTTATTTCCTTGCTTACCAAATTACTTCCAAATTTTCTATTTGTATTCTCATGCTACTCTTACATTTCAAACCTCCAATTTAGGTGTGCCTAACATTTTCGTCCAAGTTGAGCCCACTGTACAGTACGAATGTTGCAAAAATTTAAGTAATAAGTTAATGTTAAATGAATTATATTTTCCAACCAATGAAATTTAAAATTTTAAATAATTTTTACATAATTAAATTTTAGGTGTAAACAGCTTATGAGGCATTCCAACAGTTTTAGGCTTTAACAAAAATTTAATTTTGTGAATAAAGTTTGTTTATTTTTTTATTTATAGTAATGGAATTAAAAATTCTGCCATTAACAGTGGACAATATGACTGATATTAGACTGAATGTAAAACCACGAAAATTGTAATTAATAATATGATGTATGTAACTAGTAATTACAGTTACAAAACGTAATAATTTCGTACTTTTTTATTGGCCGTATGTTATCACCAGTTAGTTATAAAAAGTGAAATAATTTTAGAATATAAATTATCAATTTAAAGTGGTAATGTCATACCTATTGTAAATGTTCTTCATTCACTGTTAACAAAATATAATATATTATAAGGTATTTATATACTATAAATCACTTGTTTCCTTTCAACTAATTTTCCTTCTGCACTTATTAATTGATTAAAATTCATACATATTTGACGTAATAATAGAATGGTGTAAATGACACACCCAAATGGTTACAATTTGTGTAGGTACCTACTTATGAAGTTAATCGCTCGCTAATATGAACGTCGCGCGGTGCAACAACCAACCAGTTGAATCAGTGACCTGAATGCACAGACATGTCCTGAATGACTAACTTAGTGCAGTATTAAAAAGTTAATTGCAACTTTAGATGTAAGTTACTTTACAATAGAACTTTCTCCCGTGTCATTGTTTACACACACATCTTTTTACATAACTTATCCGTTTACATTCGGAATAACATGATGAGCACACTAAGCAATTAATTTTTCTGTGCGGGAATCCAACACCCCACGATATGCTACACAACAGCATATCGTATAACCACTGCACCAATCGTGCAGTTAAAAATTGTTATATTACCTACTGACATGGCAATAACCATGCTTAAATATGAATAGTTTTTTCAGTATACCTATACGTTATAAGAATCACTATAATACTACGCCTTATGACTTTAAATAGCAATAGAAGACAATTTACATGCCTATGAATCGACGTTACACTAGCGTCGCAGGCGACGAAACTATGATCGAACTTAATAATGAAGGACTTATAATTTTATTTCGATCTGGTTTTAGTGTGGTTTAGAAGTACCTAATGACTACCTACACTACAATATAAAATGCACGTAAATAATAAAAAAGGATACAAAAATCGACGTAGGTTGTGTTATGCTTCTGCAGTGAAAACCAACCAAGATTATTACGAGTTTCTCCTTAGCCTACATAAATCTAATCAGAAGAAAAGGTTAATTAGCCTTTCTTTTGTCTATATTATTATGAACTTATCCCTGAATGTCGCTTTATATCTTTTTGATAGTAAGTACGAATTTCTTTAACACGCGCAGGACTTGTGTACTTGCATTGCCTTATCTTCACCAAATGTTAATGTTATCTACAAATAGAAATGAATAATATGTACCGGCAATAAGACATAAAAGAAAAACACATGAACCATTTCTTGTAGGTACCCAACAATAAGTATCTGACGTATAGATAAGATAGTAGCAATCAGTAATGATAAGGAGGTAAATTTTTGTGTATAATCATAATCAATACTGTGTTCATAGATGGAAAATGTTTTAGTAAATACATTTTACTAACATGGATACGAATAGTGGTGTAAATCCGGCTCAAAGTGATAATGTTAGAGAACAGTTGTATTTAAATAGTGACGAGAACAAAGCTGTCTACCACAGAGAACCTCCGCCATCATACGATGCGACATTCAACTCTGCAATCACTGTGCCTGAACCGGTGACGAATCAGCCAACGTCTCGAACTGTAATCATACACGCGCCATTAACGGATTCGCCGATGGTCTATAATTGTCCTAAGTGTGATGAAAGGATTGTCACTGTCGTAACATATATAAACACGCAGAGAACTCATATGCTGGCCGGTTTTCTTTGTGGAGTCTTTTGGTAAGTGGAACATATTTTATTTGGTGTCCTTTGTCTGCCTACTAAACAAAGTGTAATAATAAATTAACCCTTTACCTCTCTTTCTTTACAGTTGGTGTTGCCTTTGTTGTGTTGCTGCAGTCCCCTACCTAACGAAAATATTTAAGGAAACACAGCACCATTGTCCTAATTGCAAATCATTTTTAGGATCCTATTCTAGACTGTAATTGCCTGGCCTTTTTCCCATTGCCTATTTACACATTATAAAAAATAAATATTAATAGTTTGTTTTTATCATGACATTTATTAATAGCTGTATTGTACAATTTTTATAAAAAAATATTAAATGTTTCTTCTAATGCCTTGTAGTAGTAGATGTGTGTTCTCTTCCAGCCAATGATAACATTTTACTCTAAAGATAATCTTATCAAACTGATCTCAAAAACTTGGTCACCACTTCCAAGATCAGTTTCTTAAATATCTTTGTATGTTTGGTGACAATAGTGATCAGTTTTTCCAATACAAAAATCTGAAAAAGATATACTCATTATAAATTAGAACATAGCACACACAGAAGTGGTCAAAAAGTGCAGGGCGTGCAGTACCTCAGGATGATAATATATCCTGTTTCATAATGAACGCCAAAAAAATGGTGCCATATGGACTGTATAATACATCCTAATCTGAATGAAAATTAATTATTTTCTAAAATATCATCAATTGTATATATCATTCATATAATAATTAAATATTATTAAACTATATTTTAAAAATTACTATTGTTTTATTAAATTTAGAGTGGTATCATCAATTTGAAGTACAGCAATACAGTAGTTTTCGAGTAGCGAAATTCAATACTTTTATCCAAATGTCAAAAAATGATACCTTGCTATGAAATTGCAAATTATGACGTCATAGTATATTTGCATCAAATAGCTTACATATATCTAAAAAATATTTTTAAAAATATCGAAAATTTAATGTATTGACAGATCAATGAATAAAAGTATTGTTATTTTTCAATATTTTATGGTATTAAAACTTCAAATTAATTCATTCTTGACCTACATGGGAAACTACCTAGTTCTTGTATAAACATGTTTGTGTTTATATTCCATAACTTCAGGGTATAAGTGAGGTCATATCAATTTTGTTACAAATAATTTGTCAGTCACAAGAGAAGTAATTTTTTTGATTTCAATATGAATGAAAATTAATAAGAATGAATTACTCATATTATTTTATCAATTATACCTGGATGCCTACTAACTTATCTATGATAAACAGTGTTTCTTTTAAAACTCAGATTCTCATATATATTTTGATTCTACTGTTTATTATGTATTATAACCCAAGAATGTTGGAGTAGTTACATAAATTAGGAGACTCAGAGGTATATTTAACAGACATCATATATTTATATTTAAGTACAATTATGTAATTTGACCTGTTGGCCGCTGTACAGACAGGTTAACAGGTATAAACATGTTATATTGCACAACACTATACAATATTATTGCTAAAATTTCTATAAACAGTACAGTTTCTATTTTATTGCTAAAGAATAAGCTTTGTTTGTACATCTTTTGTAGTTTGAGTAGATTTAGAATTTTAGATCAATCAACAACTACATAAAATTAATAGAAAGAAGTACACACCAGTGAATAGGCATTATGTCTTGACAATTCAAAGATTAGAAGAGTATGGAATAAGCTAACACTACAATAAAATATCTTAAAGAGAGGCATACCTTAAATTATGTTCCATTTATTAACTACTATATGGCACTTGTAATCTGAAACAATCAGATGCAATTTTCCACTTTCCATCAACAGCCACAATCACAAATGTTTGCTGAAACGACTTCTTGCTGTCGTCATTTTGATAGGTTACATCTCCACAAGCTTGAATGAGGTACGTCAGCTTGTTTGAAACCAAATTTTCTGAAATTGGCTGTGCATCTAATGTCTTGAGCACATGATTACTGGCAGGTAAGTCCATTAAGAATTTCTGTATCTTATCATTACCAGTTATTCCATTTCCATTCCAAACCAATAGGCCGGTGTCTAAATATAGTTTAGACGTTAAATGCCGGTTATTATCCACTTGTTTATAGAAAACTTTTGTAAACTCTTCTGCAGTTTCACACGCATTGTCGATGTTTTTGACGATAGCTTCTGTCATAATTGTAACTATTTGAATGACTGAATTGTGCTTGATACCGTTGATAATACAAATTATAATGTCACAGTTTTACAGCACACCGGTTTGTAAACAACGATAATAATTTCTTAAATTCAGCTAACAATAACTCAGTTCACTGTTCACAAAACAATGTGTTTGACAATGTGCGACCGGTTATGTCAAATAAAATCAAATGTCATCAATCACTGACCACTGACATGCCACTGACTAACCGTATCATAGACTATAATTATTATTTATTTCCATACGAAAATTACACTTGGGCCAATCTGTTCATTTATACCTCATATTTTTATTCGATAGAAAATATTACATGATTTTTAAGTGAAGGATAACCATGCTAGTACTTGAATATGAAGGCTTGGCCAGAGATCACCTCGCTTGTATCAACCACAAAAGAAGCGTGAAACAACGCTAGCATTGTGTGAGAAACTATCCTTGCACCTCCCCCACACGTTTTCACTCCTAATTCTATAGCCTAATAACGTTAATACTATCTATAGCCAGTATTCCAACTTCATACAAACCGACGAACAGCGAACTATGTCTGCCTCTATGTTAATATTCGTATGGTATGCAAACAGTCGCGACGGTATAGTGTATATGTTACGGCTAAAGGTAGGTGTGAACGTAAACTTAAGATTAGCCGGCTAAACTTAGGTTTATCTTCGAGAAGCAGCTAAAGTTCGATAACATGTTAGTTTGCGTCGTGATATTCCATCTTTAGCCGGTTAATGTGCACATTAACCGAAACGAAAACGGCTAAAAATGTATTCGATAGCGCGGCCGTAAGTACCTACCTACAGAAGATTCTGTAATGACCAAATGGTTCCTTATTATTTTATTTTAATGATTAGGTTAATATTGTTTTAACGACGACGCGTTTGGTCTAGTGGTTAGTAACCCTAGTCACAAGACCAAACGGTCGCGGGTTCGAATCCCGCTAGGGGTAGATGTTTGTGTGATGAGCACAAATATTTGTACCCGAGTCATGGATGTTTGTCATATTTATGTATGTTTATCCGTTATCTAGTATCCATAGTACAAGCTTTGCTTAGTTTGGTACTAGGTTATTGGCGTCAATGTCAAAAAAAAAACCAATTAAAATTTTGTAATTGTAATAATTGTTACTTTAAATACCTACATAGTACATAAAAGTATGTGTAAAGAAAGTGATTATTTTTTAATAAAGTTTTCGTGTCAAAATAGATAACATTATTACATTGTTTCCTTTCCCATTTCCTTCTACATTTTTAGCCAAGGACCTGCAGCTACACCTAAGTTTAGCCGGCTAATCTTAAGTTTACGTTCACACCTACCTTTAGCCGTAACATATATACCTAATCCCTCACAGGCCAGCAATACATACGTTATACCTAACTTCTCTCGTGTTGGGAGTGTCCATAGATGGCGCCAATTTCTTACCATAAGGTAAAACGTTTGCTCGTTTGCCGCACTATAGCAAAAACCAAAACTTAGATATGAGTATTGTAATAATATTAGGTCTATTGGTCTTCACCTATGAAATTGCCGTTATGCATGAAAAAATTTAAACGAATTTTTTTCATGTATTTTTTATTTGTATTAATCGAAGTAATCATCCATGCAATCAATGCATCTTTGCCAACGCAGTGGCAGTTTATTGATGCCCTTCTTAAAGAAATCAGCTGGACGGGAAGCAACAAATTCTTCAAAGGCATTTTGTACTGCCTCTCGGGTATTGAGAGTGGTCAGGTCAGTGGCCATCACTTTTCTAGGGGTAAGTTTTCGTTTAGGGCATTGCTTAGGTGCTGAACCAGGATCCAACCACCTTGCTGAGCGCTTGCGGTTATCAAACAGAATCCATTTTTCATCGCAGGTAACAATGCGGTTCAAAATTCCTCCATTTGTGTGTCTGTTGAGCAGTGCAAAGCACGTCTCGACGCGTACTTCGCGCTGGCGATCATTGAGTTCGTGGCGCACCCATTTGTCAAGTTTTTTTACCTTGCCAATTTGACGCAAATGGACCGATATTGTTTTGACGCTAACGTCGAAAGCTGCTGCTAATTCAGCCGTAGATTGTGTATCATCAGCTTCCACTATCGCCTTTAATTCGTCATTGTCAACCAAAGTCTTCGGACGACCGCGAGGTTCATTTTTCAAGGAAGCGAGCATACTAATAACAGGTGGTGCGTTGGTTTGTAGTGTTAGCTCCGTAAACGTCGTTGATGTTGCTGCCACGACGGAACTCATATTCCATAATTACTCGAATTTTTAACGTATCCATGATGGCGAAACAGATTGAAATGCGATGAAAATGTAACACTAATCAATAAACAAATGACTACTTTTGGAAAAAGAATCCAATGTTTTCAAAACAATATTAATTTGAAATTAGAATTCTTAGCCAAACAAAAATTATTTTGATTTGAAATGGCCAGTAGGTACTGCAGAACGGCAATTTCATAGGTAAAGATCTATTATGATATACTTAGGTACATAGGTATGTAGGTACTGCTAACACCCACAACAACTTAATGGCAAACGCGTCTATTACGCTTGTTGTTCGATTCGTCTTCTTTACATTATGTTTAACTAGTGACTCGACCCGACTTCGCTCATGTGCAATGCTTCTGCACTAACTCACTATTTAGGTATGTTTTTTATCATCCTCTTTTACACTAAGTGTCCTACCTACCTACCTGCGTAATTTTAAAGATTTAAGTGTATCCTTACTAATATTAGTTTGTTTGCTCCGCTTTGACGCTGTAATTACTGAACCGGTTGCTTTGAAATTTTGCAAACGTAAAGTTAGAACTCCGGATTAAATAATAGGGTAGTTTTTATTCCGGCAAAGATATTACTGAGGGAAAACAAAAATTCTCGGTCATAAGTGGCGCTGTTTGTCGTTTGAAACATGTTGCAAACGAGTATGCTCTATAAACTTAGAAGTTAAATCCTTACTTCCTTACTAATATTATAAATAACCAGTTACGATTTTTGGACGTTTGTTACTCAATCACGCCAAAACGGCTGGACGGATCTGAATGAAATTTGGCACAGGCATAGGATACACTCCGGAATAGGACATAGACTAATTTTTATCAACATACCACGCGGGCGAAGCCGTGTGCCGAAGCTAATATATAAATATATAGGAACGAAGAAAGAGAGTTTTTTTTATAATATTACATAGGTATGTAGTGATTACACATTCACTGGCGAAATGTGGTTTACGTTGCCTGACGACTTTTCCTGGCCGAAGATATGAAACTTAATATTGCGTATGTCACGTATGTGCTACGTTGCGTCAAATATGTAGCAGCTGTGATACTTAGGTCTGTGACTTAGGTATAAAACCAGCATCTTACACGAAACGCAGCAACAAGCTACGACACTCACAAGAAATATAATTTTATTAGGTAATTTCTAGCTACAAATGTTTCACGACACCTTTTATTTCCAAAAGGATTGAGTAGAGGTGCATTTATTAAATAAAAATACGGTATCCTCTTTGCACAAGGTACGTTACTGGGCTATTCTTGTAATTTTTTTTAATAACCCAATTGGCTTGTCCCCCTGAGACAGATTTCTTTTTTTTTTATTTCTTTAAAAACGTTGCCCCACATTAGGATTTTCTCCTGTGTCGTGGGTGCGGTTACAAACATACAATTTCACATACACATGACACCCAGACCCGGAACAACAATTTGTGGATCACACAAAGAGTTGTTCCGTGCGGGAATCGAACCAGCGACACGTTGCACGGCAGCCAGTTACCCAGCCACCGCACCAACCGTGCAGTCGATTGTCAGACTTCTATTAACCAAAACTCATCCCGTGCCTGAACCCGCAACTCTGGCTGAACTTCAACCCTATTAAGTAGACCCAATCTGTTATGGCCTAAAGACTCTGACGCGAGCGGAACGCAATGCGTAGTACTGGAGTCTGGTTCTAGTCGGGCGATGAGCTTCCCTTGCTCGCCCTCCGCAGACCCGTGGTTACGATGGCTGGAGATAGTTTTCCTCGACGACAGGAACACCTTCTCCTGTGCCGGCTGGGACGCCAGGCAGTTGTCCCTCATGCGCTCTGCCTCCTTTGCGACTATCACTGATTCGCAGAAAAAGGAGACAGTTTCTCACTACATCTCACTCCGCACCATAGCCTGTGGCGGTGCTCAGCCCACGCAGTGCACACCTGCCCTCCTGCTGTTTTCGAAACAGGTAGCTAACTTCTGAAGCTTCCTTGTCCGGTTAGCACCAACGTCAGGCAGAAACTGAGATCGCCATGGCGTCTCTCTAAAGTGGAAGGAAAGAGACCTAGAGACAGAAATCCGATACGTTGGACGGATCAGATTCTCACCACTCTTAAAGCGCAGGACACACCACCAGCTAGCGGGCGGGCGGGCTAGGCGGGCGAACATCGTTTCACCTCTTTACATACTTCGGTTCACACCGCGAGCTACCGACTAACCTAACGAAATATCCGACGATTCCAGCGAAGCTACTCGTTCACCTCGTTGGCGCTCCCGGTTCGTTCGCCCGTCCTCCCCGTTTCGAGTAGACTAGTTGACGCTTGTCTTTCGAATAGCAGTGTAGTGTTTTGTTTTTGGTGTGAACCCCATAGTTTAGCTCGCCAATATTTCGCGTAGTTTGTATAGTTCCCTTCGTTCGCTTCGCCCATCCGCCTAGCCCGCCCGCCCGCTAGATGGCGGTGTGGCCTGCGCTTAACACTACAATCCACGATGCTCTCCACTCGGCGGCAGATAGAAATAGATGGCGGAGGGTAATACGCATTATACTGCTTCCTCGAGGTGGCCACTGAGGAAATCGACGCGAAGAGAAGGAGGAGGCGTCTCTCTAAACACGCCTAAAAGGAGGTTCCTCTCGAAAGCTGCTATAACAGGATACAGGATATATAGGATGTCTATGAAATACATATCAGAAAAACTAAAACCTATTATTTCCTAGTACTTTTGAGTACTTGACCTATGAGACTAAGCCGCCGCATTTTAGTCAATACTTCAGATGTAGTCAATTATATTATTTGTTAATAAATAAAACAAGATATAAATTAGGAAATAGTTTATTTGATGTCTTTCTATTATCATACAAAGTGGTTTACGTATTATACAATTAGATTTCATAATATTATTACTACGTTTATATAAAGTGGCCCTCCGTATCCATGGATTAGGTTACCGCGATTTCTTTACATAAATACCGTTTTCAATATTCCATCACACACAACAACATTCTTAAATAAAATTTAATAACCATTATGATAACGGTTATTATTTTATCGAATAATTTAAAGATCACATACTAAACATCACAACGAATATTACAAGAAACAATTCAGAATCGCAAAACCCAACCGACCATGGATACGGGCGTTCTACTGTATATTCAGAACATTTGACACAGTGATTCACTACACTCGTCGTACACTACTGAAAAGGATAAAAATAACATAAAAATAACTTCAAACTAGATCTTATCGTTAACAAGCATTTGATTTATTTATTACTAGAAATAAAACAGTCAGCATTTTAAATTCAAATCTTACCCTAAGGCACTGACAAAAATGATTATGCGCTAGATAAAAAAATATTTATAAATAATAATATAATTCTAAAGAGTAAATAACATTCCTTAAAATTATTAAGAATAGAAAATGGTTAATTCGGCAAATTAAAAATAGGATAGGATAGGTATATATCGGAAAATAGAAAGTATTTCCATCGCACGACCGCACATCATAATGGTCAATAGTCTGTTGCTACACTGGTATTATTTTAAATAACTTTAAAGCTAACTAAAGTTATAAATAAAATATAAAAATTTTCAAGAACATTGCTATCAATATTGCTGAGTCGCCACATCAAATTGATTTTATTTCACATTAGCTAAACATTCACTGATACATAAATTTAAGATAATATCTTTTCATTGGGCAGATAAATACATGATTTTGTCCTCAATTCGATACAATTTGAAAGTAGAGCACTCACTATAAAAATTAATATATTGCCAATATAGTCCCAAAACTCACTAATACAATTTACAATAGTTCTAGGTCTCGCAAATCAATAAAATTAGGTAAAAGTATGGAATATGTTTGTTTAAATTACGCGTTAAAATGTATTTGTACGTGTCAATTATTTGCCAGTTACATAATACACCACATTAGCAAAATATTTACCTAAGGTCAGTGGCAGGCAGTTATACGAGCTTTTTAATAAAAAAAGCTTGTTTTAACTTTTATTAATGTGCTGAATGCTAAGTTTTAAACTTTAAAATATATTAATGAATCTCTGATTCATTTTGTCTTTTTTAGTATCTCAATTGCTGCCAAAAACCTGCTGCCTGGACTTCACAATACTAAGTCATAGAGTAAACATAAAATTACACCTTTCAACTGCATTTTCGAGACGTGTGAAGTGCGTGAACCACATAGCATAACACAAACTTCTAACATTCTATTATACATTTTACTTGTATGGACGATACTGTGACTGAATGTAGTCGAGTATACATGAATGCTGTAACTTTATATTCCGGACATAAGATTGCGAGTCCCTTAAAAATTTAATTACTATATCGATATATTGTAACATATATCTGAGTGACAGCACGACGACAGCGTGTGCGCATCTATGTTACCTGTGCGCTAGCGCACGCATTGGACAGGAATGACACCTCGATACTACGTCGCAACTGGGTACCTCTTGTTATTTTTCTTCGAGCCCCAACTGTAATGGTCCGTTGCTAACATCTACACTGTGTTTGTCAGATAAACCGGCCATAAGTCTTTCCTATAAATAATAATAAAATATAAATTAGAATCAATATGTTTGACTTTATTAAGCCTACAGGGAACAATACATGTAGTCTGTTATCTTTTAGCTATTTGCCAAACACAACTAACCTCGGCAGTTCGTTCCGCTTCAGCAAATGTGTGGTTGTGGTTTGATTTTTTGGCCTGATGCAATTCCTCTTGTAATGATTCAATTTTGTTTTGCATCTGTGAAAGCAAAAGAAATATAAACATATAAATTAATTGATGAAAGACATAAACCATCACCAGCATTATGCGCATGTTTCGACAATCATAATAGGAGAAACATTTACTATATTTAAAAGTGATGATAAGAACCCTCTGCCAGAGTATGAAAGATTAAATTAAGAAAACCTATTTTTATCACAATAAAACTAGTCAAGCAAGGGTTATTGGTATATTTATAAAGTTTCGAACATATACTACTTAAGAATGTATTTCTCCTGTAGTGAGAGCGTTTTAAAGACAAGAAAGATAAAATCGCATCTACCGCGCGGTATTACTGCGGATTAATGGATTATTCATAACAAGTTATAAGACTGGAGTAATTAAATTACTATACAATATTTCAATGCTATGACACAAACACTTCACTCCTTGCTCTGACTGGTTGTGTATCATTGTTTATATAAATACAGGTGTTTTTCAATATACTTATTCTTTTTTATGTAAATCGTATTATATATCACCGTGTATATAAGGTATTGAGTATATAGTAAAATCAAGTTGGACAAACAAAAGATATAACAATAATGGTCTTTGTGACCTCGACATGAGAACACAAAAGCACACAGAGTGCAAACACAACGATCACTCTTTTTGTACCTCCTCTATGATCGTAGGCAATGACTTTTCAATGCAGGAGTATGCAAACGCCAGAGGTTCCTACGTAAAAATAGCAAACTGCAATAAAATGTTACGCCATCAGCAAAAAGTAACAATAAAATATACACTATGAAGATGAAACTGCAAGTACATTCATCTAACTAAATTGAAAAGCTTACCTTAGCTTAGCTAATAAGTGCTACCTTCATAGAAATGATTCGAAATTATCCTACATATTTGCGATTGAACGCGTGCAGAATCAGTAATCCAGTCACAATAATTGATGTACAGTGAATGTTAACAGTGAGGCAAGATAGTCGTGGCCTAGGCAGACAGCAAGCTGTTGTAACATGAAGTAATGACTGAAATATAAGAATGACGTTCTAGCAGTTGACTTTGTAGCTGGGTTGTATTGTACCTGCATGACAGTGCGCTGCCTGAGATCATCTAGTTCACGTTGCTTCTCAGCCAACTGCTGCGCCCATCGCTGCTCCTCTAACGTTACATTCTGCTGTAGGCGGCTCAGAACTCCCTCCTGTATCAAAGGAAATATTTATGTACATGCTGCAGAGAGTTATACTTAACAGGTACATTCCTAAGCGCCGACTAAGTGTAAAAAATTATTCATTCTTTGTTCAGGAAGATATGTTTCTATTTAAAAATGGTAATGAAGAGAATTCAGAAAATATGATTAATTGTAAACTAACAGTGTCGTCGATGATCCTCTTGTATTTCTCGACGAGGCTCTGTGACTGTTCATTCTGTTGGATGAGGTCGTTGAGGCGGTCTTGCGCAGCGGTGTCAGCGGAGCGCTGTAGCTGCGCGCGCAGGTTGCGGGCGAAGCCCTGCAGCCACTCGCGGCCCGCGCCGGCTCCCGGCGCCGCGTTGGGGCACGCCTCACGTAATACGCTTGCTACTTCGTTGTACTGCGCTTCTTCTGCTTTCGCTATGGCCTCCTTTTTTAAATTTCAAACATTTTCTTATAATAATATGCAAAAAATACGTTACTATGTTATTCACATTTAATTCTAAATGAATGACGACTGTTAAAAATTGATAATATATTAAATTAAAAGCAAGTTCTGCACTGTTTTTGTTTTATTGTTCGTAACACCATTTAGTCCCTTTCTTATGGTTTTACTAAAGTAAAAGTATACTTAACATAACACTAAATATTTATAAGATTACAGTTCATAATGAATAGTAGTGCATAAATATGTTAGCAACGAAATATGAACAACAAAGCGAAGCCGGCCGAAGATGTATGTACATGCGAGTACTCGTGTTACATTGCACTCAGGCCGCGCGGTGTCGGTACAATGTATATAAAGCGGACACTTACGCGCAGCGAGTCTTGGGCCGGCATCGCACTTGCCGCTTTCATCTGTAGAGCCTTTTCGGCAGATTGTAACGCCTCCATTACTTTCCAGTTTTTAGTTCGCAACTCCTAAGCGGGACGAGTTAAGTAGCTTTATTAAAATTTGTTAAAAAATAAAATTTTCACAACACTGTGTTATTTATATTTTTATTGTCAAACCAAACAAAACATTGCCACTCTGACAGTGGAAGTAAAAATAACTGGTTGTAACGCAACTTTCGTATATAACGTACATACAAAAGTTGCGTTACGTACTTATACTATAGTATATAAGGTATGTAATGTAATGACTTACGTTGTTTTTGTCCTGGTACGTTCGCAGCTGTTCCTGCAGCTTGGCGACTTGGTCGCGCTGGTCGCGGGAGCTGCGCTGCGCCGCGGCCAACTCGTCCCGCAGCGACTCCACTATACTCTCCACCTTCGCCAACTCCGCAGCCTGACAGGTATCATTAAAATATTGAAAATTGTTAATTAAAAACTAACGTACAAATTATAAAATATTTCTAGTAAACACACAACTACTACGAAAGTCACATGATAAAACTGTTAAAACTGACCTTAATCTGATCATTTGCGGGTAGTCCATTCTGTGCAGGTGTAGCCTTCAGTTGCTTAATTTCAGCTAATTCAGTCTCACGCGCAGCCAACTGCTCACGCAGCGACGCGATTTCCGAAGTCAACTGCACATATTGTGTAATAAATATAATTATATATTGCATGATAAAAATTACATAAAAATTACTAATATGACTATTATTTAAGCATCATGAACATTGGTGTTAATTTTAATATTTTGTGAGTGAATTGTACATACTTGTTGTTTCTGTTTCTCAGACTCTTCCTTCAACAAGTCGAGGTTGTTCTCAGCGATTTGAGCGCGATTCGCCAATTTCTGTACTTCGTTTTGAAGCTCAGCCACGGCTGAAAGTACATTGTTGTATGAATTTATGTAATATTGAATTGACATTATTTAAAACATAATGTTAAGTTAATTATGTCGCTAGAATTGTAGAATGGAGGATTCACATAATTTACGATTACACAATCGACGTTTCAATGCAATCAAACTATACTTTTATTAGTCGATCTGTCGATACACAAAATTTTCGATTATAATTATTTTAATCAAATTTTTAAGAAATGAGTAAGCTATTTGACGCAAAAATACGATGACGTCATAATTTGTAGTTCCAATCAAATGTCATAGAAAAGTAACGTTTTACACATTAGGATAAAAGTATTGAATTTGACTATACTCGGAATTTTAATTCCATTCCAGATTTGACAATTTCAGTGTTGCAAGGTAATAAATAGGGACGTTGCCAAATTATTCGATGTGGAAATCGAATATTTCTGAATCGATACCTCTAGTTTATAAATTTACTCTCGTAAACTAAGTTTATCAGGAAATAAAATATTTTTGAACCGTTAATTTAGTTTTGACAATTAATTAACGAACTGAGACTTTTCTTTTGTAATTGTGTGTCAAATTAATAAAACATGTGATCATGAAGGAACATACAAATAAAACAGAAATTTTATAAATTGTCGCCGTCATCGCTATCGCTATCGCTGTTACTTTCTGTAACATTTATTATGAATTGTGTCTGTGATTTTTATTGTCAATTAACATATCTAGCTTACTCATTTTTTCCTCTTCTTTGACAACATGGGATACTCATTTAGACCATTCCGTAGCCGAAATTTTTTGAATGCTTTCCTAAAACTGATTCACTGATTATTTATCGATTATTTGTGTTCATCACTACACTGTTATATGTGGTATCATTATTTCACAAAATGACAGTAGGCCATGTCAAATCAGGAATCGAATTAAAATTCTGACTATAGTTATATAGTGACTTATGGTAGTTTCCAACTAGTGAAATTCAATACTTTTTACTTGCGCATCACACATAGAGCGCAGATCTACGCGAGACACGATGTATCTTCAAGTAACAAAAGGGAGACTGACGCTATGACAGTGTAGACGTGAGTATGGAGTATGTGAGCTGACCTTGCGCGCGGTCCTGGTGCGCCCGCTGCTCGGCGCGCTGCGCGGCGTGTCGCTGGGCGTCGAGGTCTGCGCAGGCGCGGTTGGCGTCCTGCAGCTGCTGCGCGAGGTCGGCGGCGTGCTGCTGGGCGAGCGCGGCGGCGTCGCGCGCGGCGGCCAGCTCCATGCGCAGCTGCCCCGCCTCCAGCGCGTGCGCGCTCAGCTCGCCCTGCAGCCCCGTCAGCTGCGCCACCAGCGCCGCCTCCGACTGCGCACCACACACACAATTATTGCCTCCACTACTTATCCAAACTAACACCCCGGCACCAATGCATTATTTATCCGAATATAGCTGGACCGTACATGCCATCTTTCCGACGACAGATTTAAAATCGTAAAAAATAACAAAATCGTAACAATTGTAAAATAAAATCTTTGCATGATGTTTCTAACTGGAGTACATGTTACTCTGCTGTTTCAGTGTTAAGGTGAATCAAAGTGCGGATTGAATGACAAAAGCCTAATAATGATGCTTGTCATTTACGGAGTACCCACCTCTGAGAGTCTCTGAATATGAAGTTCCAATTGAACCCGAGCGGCTTGCGCCTCTCCCTCCGCAGCCAACTTAGACTGCAGCTATTAAACACAACAAGACATGTTACAAAAACATAACACAACTCTAACAAGTAATTCCAAAAATCTTTAAAAGAGATTCGAAACTCAGACGTGCCGCCAGTTCACAGTATAATAAAAGATTTCTCGGTTTGTAGTGTTTTACTTGGGCCCTATACATGCAGTGTAGAAAGCGTAATAACAGTTGAGAATGAACTGGGCAATTATTTATATATTTACAAGTATAACAAAGAGCAGGCTTACAACTAGAGTGTACAATGGGCGGTCTTATTACACAGGGTGATTTCTTCCAGACAACCTTTGGATGGATATTTATAGTATATCATAAGCACCCTTGATTTTATTTTATGATGGTAGCCTAGTTTAGGTAAGTGAGGTCACGGCTGTGTGTTGTGTACGTGTATGTATGTATAAAGCGTGGACAATGGCGTGGGTATACTGTTTTTTGTTCCAAATAAATAAAATAAAAATAAAAATAGGTAAAAAAACTTTTTAAGTTAAACGGTTTTATGTTTGCATTGCAATGTTTAAGATAAATGTACTAAAAACCAACAAATAATAAAATAGATACAGTCGTGGAAATTATAAACATATGCATAGACTAGACTAAAATAAAACCGTGGGGCACGTCAATTGTCTACAATCGTTGATTAAAATGTTTGTTTTGTAATGTACAATCGATAATTAGGCAGTTGTACAACTGTCAACGATGGACTTGTTATAAGTAGCGCTAGAATGTGGAAACGAGTTTTAGGGTTTCATAGTCGTGACCGAGTAGTACGTTTATTATATTTAAATGGAGTGTATAACTATTGGAATTTCCATGAGCAAGAAAACAGTAAGTAATTTCCTCACCGTCTGCAGGTCAACTGCCTAACGACGAATTAAACGACTCTTCTATCGTTTTATTTTAGTCTAGTCTATGCATATGTTTATAATTTCCACGACTGTATCTATTTTATTATTTGTTGGTTTTTAGTAAATTTATCTTAAACATTGCAATGCAAACATAAAACCGTTTAACTTAAAAAGTTTTTTTACCTATTTTTATTTTCTAGTTTTTAGTTTTTATTTCGCATTCTGTTTAATTCATTTCATGCTTCATTATTGCAAGGTTTCTTGCCCGTTAATGTATTGCAGTCCAACTCTTCTATACGTTGTCCCTGCAAAGATCTTAATCCACTAAGAGCCACCTGATTGTTCCTGTCGTTTCAGTAATCGACTACTTACTATATATCACCTTCACTTTCTTTAGCTCGTTTTGCTATATACTTTTCTTTCGCTTTTTGAAGCCTTTGTTTACGTTGTTTTGCAGTTGCTGTTTTATTTGTTTTTTTTTATTGATTATATGTTTGCGCTTGACCGCTATCTCACCTGATGGAAAGCGACGATGCGGTCGACGATGGAGCGCGCTTACCTAGAAGTAACCTATTCACTCTTGACTTAAAGATACCCGGATTGTAGCTATCAGGAAACACCGACTCCGGCAAGGAATTCCACTCCATGGCTGTACGCATAATGAATGTGCTCCCAAAACGTTTGGTACGTATATATGGGACATCCACCGTGTACCGGTGGTTCCGTACGGCTATGCCGTACGTCTGGTGGTCCGATGATGGAACGGGCTAAACGGAATTAAATTATGTAATTCCGACGCACACTCCCCGAAATGCAACTGGTAGAAAACCGACAGGCTAGGAACTCGGCATCGATGCTCAAGATTTTGAAGTCTCGACTCGACAAGTGCATCATCGCCAATGATCCTCTTGGCTCGTCCCTCAATAGACTCAAGCGCATAATGTTGGTATCGGGCATATCAGTCCCAAAGATGAGAGCAGTACTCCATAACCGATCAAACTTGCGCCTGATAAAGTTTAAACAGCTGTTCCGGCGTGAAGTATTGTCTAACCCGTGCTAGGATTCTCAACTTTTTTGCAGCCAGTTGAGGTTTTGCTTCGATGTATGGCCCAAAGTTGAGAGTAATGTCAGCGTTATACCAAGAAGATCAAGATGGTCAGTTATCGGCACGGATACACCCTGGAAAGTTGGAGTAGGACTAAATTGACTCCTTTTAGCGGAAAATAGACACGCCTCATTTTTATCCACCCTAATGCCATACAGTTCTCAGCGCGTTTTAACTTTTAATAACCGCCTGGCATCGAAGCTGAACTGGGCCTATTTGTCCAACGCTGAGACACACATCACTGTTTTTTTTTTATTATTATTTTTGTTTTGATTAATTTTTTACTGGTTTTTTTTTATCTACTTTTGTATCTGTGTCCAGGTTGTGCAAATAAAATTATTTCTTTCTTTCTTTTAACTTGGGTGGTATGCCGATAACTACGTATCATTTTTAGCCACCCTAACGCCACATAGTCCTTAACACGATACAAAGTCTTGAGACGTGGGTCGTGGATTCAGGCTGGATTAATCAGATACCTTTTTTTTATGTGATAGGACGGCAAACGAGGAGACGGATTACCTGATGGTAAGCAATCAGCCTCGCCCATGGACCCCCGCAACAAAGAAGGAGTTACGAGTGCGTTGCCGACCTTTTAGGGATTGTGATTTTGGGGATTTAGGGATTAGGTAGGGATTGGGCCTCCGGTAACCCCACTCACACGGCGAAACACAACGTTGTGGTTGTTTCACGCCGGCTTTCTGTGAGGCCGTGGTATAACTCCGGTCGAGCCGACCCTTCCGTGCCGAAGCATGGCTCTCCCACACTTAAATATTAATAAATTATAGCTAAATTACAGATTCAATTTCTATATTTAAATCTTATTATTATACGCCATTTAGTGGCTGCGCCCATCTTAAATATTGAGGTTGTATAGTGCACTGTATTCTTCTTGTCAAGTCCTTTTATTTGATACCCATATTGATTGGATTGATAAAACTCACGTTACCCGCCATTTTGTAGCGGCCGCCATCTTGGATTTTAATTTTTTAAAGAACGTTGTATTCTACTGGTTGAGCACTTTCATTTGATACCCATATTGATGGGATTGATAAAACCTACGTTATCCGCCATTTTGTAGCGGCCGCCATCTTGGATTTAAATTGTTTATAGAGCTTCATTGTATTCCGCTCGTTGAGCCCTTTCATTTGATACCCATATTGATTGGATTGATAAAACCCACGTTATCCGCCATTTTGTAGCGGCCGCCATCCTGGGTTTTAATTTTTTAAAGTACATTGTATTCTACTGGTTGAGCACTTTCATTTGATACCCATATTGATTGGATTGATAAAACCCACGTTATCCGCCATTTTGTAGCGGCCGCCATCCTGGGTTTTAATTTTTTAAAGTACATTGTATTCTACTGGTTGAGCACTTTCATTTGATACCCATATTGATGGGATTGATAAAACCGACGTTATCCGCCATTTTGTAGCGGCCGCCATCTTGGATTTAAATTGGTTATAGTAGCTATATTGTATTCTGCTCGTTGAGCCCTTTCATTTGATACCCATATTGATGGGATTGATAAAACCTACGTTATCCGCCATTTTGTAGCGGCCGCCATTTTGGATTTATAATCGTTATGATTACACATAATTGTATTGTCACCAAAATTGAAAGTGTACACAAAATTTCTGATTAATCGGTTGACAGGAAGAGGGTGAAATTTGAATTACTAAATTTGACCCAAGAATAAAACGGGGTGAGCTAAATAAAACCGTTTAAAAAACCGTTTAATAAGCGTGTGTTACCATGAGTTTCTCCTGTCCGAGCTGGTGGTTGTCGTCGTGCAGTCGCTGGAGCCGCGCCTGCAGCGTGTGTAGCTCGGCGCGCGCGTTGGCCGCAGCCTGCTCGGCCGCGCGGGATGTCGCCACCGCGCGCGTACGCTCCGCGTTCAGAGCCGTCCTACAACAATATTGGGTACATACAATACTCTTGCAAATAACTTAATTTTAAATATTCTATAGTGAAAGCGTTATATTAGAATTTGGATGGGAATTCATGATCTTGAGGTTAAAATTGGTCCAATAAACAGAATACCTAATATTCATTTTAAAAAAATCCTTGCGTCCTTATCTGGAATTACTATGTATGCGGTAAAAGATTTATAAAGACAATTTGGTTATTCTATGTGACTATTCAAACCCCAATTAGGAAATTGTAATATTAGTTTCCAGTTTAGACTTTAGAATGACAATTGACGAATATTGTAATCTAAATCTATACTTATATTACAAAAAGGTAAAATATTTTTAAGTTTCTATGTAGGGGTAATCTTTGGAATAATATTTTTTCACTGATAGATAGCTGCAATATTTCGGAGTGATTTAGGCTATAAAACATCACCCAAAGGCCAATACGCTTTTCTGCTCCCCTGAGCAGAAACAGCGCGGCAGAAGTTAGCAATAAATATATCTATTTCACGTTCTATTTTTAGGGCTTCATTAAGACGGGCCGTTACTTTTTGATTATCACACGGCATGGGTGCTAATATTACCTCCAAGTCTCGCAAATTATTTGTACTTGTTATGTTTGATTGACCTTGCGATTTTCACAAGTAATTTAATAATTTATTGATTTCAAAACATTACGAAATACTGGGACGATTTTGAAAAACTTGTACATAACAGCAAAAGATCCTTTTTATTTAAAAGAACTTATTACCTTACTAATTTAAAAATAGTCTATAGAATATTCTGCAATTTATGGTGCGCAAGATATTGCGGGTTACATTTCCGCACGGAAAAAACTCTTTGTCTGATCCAAATAAAAATATAATTGAGTATTACCTGAGCTCCTTAAGCTTGGCATGCAGAGCCTGGGAGGCCTCGATCTCGTCAGCAAGAGCCTTCTCCTTGTCAGCCAACTGCTTCTTCAACTTCTGTATGGGGTCATTTGGACCCTGTGGAAAAAAAATCATTAATATCTATTAATAACATTAATTCATTCATTAATGTTGAGTATTGCAACATTATATTTAATGTATACTTAGTGAAGAATGTTCTTAATTCTTGGTTGATTAGATTTGAATATTCAAATATTTTATTTGGCACTATTAAAGGGTCATCAACACAGAACAGAAAATTAAGTAGAAGTGCCCCTACACTCTTTCAAAAGGAAAACCAGTGTCGCCAAAATCACACATTCGCAAATCAAATTGTCCATTACACACATAAAAAACAGCTATATAATTGGGTAAAAAGATGAAACGCAACTTTAACAAATCATCTTCTAAATGTTGTTAAAAATTGAGTCTTATAACAATGAGCGAAAGTTGTTATCATTTCACATGCCACAATCAATAAAGGCGTCTATCGTGTAAAAAACTTAAATAAAACAATTTACAAACGGGTTCAGCCACTCAACGCTAGATGGCGCTGTAACAAATTCATTCTATTCAAAACGCTAATTTCTTTGAAATAGATGTCATATTTGTATGCACTTGTACCAATAGACATTTACTATTTTGCTACTCAGATAGGGCAGGGTATCCCAATATATCGATGTTTTTGTATTCGTGTGAGCAATATAATTTATCGACACGATATACCTACAAATGATCAGTAATGAAAAAGGTTCTAATAGAAAAAAAGAAAAATATTAACATATTTTTTGAAGATCTAATGTTTTTTGGAGATGGTCAAGTAATTATTAAAGATTTCGATTTTAACATATAAAAGCACTACGCGCTCCTACAAGTTTTATCTCCTTTCCAACTAAAATAGAATCATTCAAAATCGGTTCATAAATAACGGAGACGAAAAAACAAAAAAAAATGTTACAGTCGAATTGAGAGTCACTCTCCTTTTTGGAACTCTGGTAAAAATCATGTACAACATCTATACTTATAATAAATCTGTAGAGGGGTCAATTCTGTACATTAAATATATTTTCAAAATAACTACCAGGGGGTGATTAGTGATCGATACTGATGCCAAAAATGCAATCAGTAAAAATTTTGTCTGTCTGTCTGTCTGTATGTTCTTTATAGAAACAAAAACTACTCGACGGATTTTAACAAAACTTGGTACAATTATTCTTTATACTCCTGGGCATTTTTATTTTTGTGTAGCGGTTGCCGTGCTCGACACGATGCGGTATAAAATATAATATAATATAGGTTTTATCAAATACTTGTAACTCTTACCTATTAGTTAGATCCGTACCTTTCTATCTATAGACGGACGGACTGCGGAGACTTAGTAAGTAATAGGGTATTTACCCATTGGAGATGTACCCATAAAAATGAGACGATAAATACCAAATTTTATGTATACTTAGATTTTGTTCTATTGCTATTTGCTGCTTTTTATCAACACAGCACGCGGGCGAAGCCGCTGGCGAAAACTAGTTATAAAATAAAAATGGTGATTAACCACCCGCACCTGCCACAGACGGATGCACGCTGTGTGTGGTTAAAACGTTGATGTGTCTATGCAATCTTAGTTAAACATTTATGAATTATACACAAAATTTGTCAAAAATCCATTTTCTGAACGATGATGATGAAAAATTATCGATATGAACCTATTTTACGAATATGTCTCATCCCTAAATGAGTAGCGTCGAAACTACTAGAATGTATTGTATATAACGTCACATAACGAACAAGTAGATTTAAACTTAATTGTAATGAAAATAAGGCCCTTTATAGTTTGCATTGAAGTAATGAAATGTGATATTTACATTAAAATCAAATATATTTAAAATTAACAAAGGTAAAATACTCAAAGATGATACGATACACCACCACAAGACTCATCTTTTTTTCTGCTTACTTTTTTGCAGTTGAAAACCGCACAACAAGGCATAGTTTCTAATATATTTCGTGTTTCTTAGAGACAACCATGACAACCAATTATGACAACGGATCGAACGATTCTGACAACAAATGTGCCAAAATGTTGTATATCTATTCATCATGTTGGTTAGCGCGCGATGTCTGAGCGGCACTTCCACTGTATTTTCTATTCCGTGGTCATCAACATCAAATGCTAGAAAATTCGAAGTTTACAAGTAGGCATCTACTTGTAAACTTCGAATTTTCTAGAAAAACATAGAGAAATAAACATTAATTGTTTAAGCGTACCGATATTTTGGTGGTTTGTAGGCGTATTAGACTGAACGTACCTTTTTTAAGGTCAAATAGCCTTACTAATTCTTAATCAAAAAAATTGAGGAAATAACTAACTTATAAAATTACTTTTGTAATCACAGCTCACTATCATGCGTGATGTTTTTCGGCGATATACCGACTTCATAAATTGCAATGAGTTATAATCCTTTCTAATCACTTTCTTGGTATTAAAACACAAAACGGATTTACAGCACGCCTTGAGTTCGTGAGTCTAGGTGACACGACGCCGACGTCACAATAAGGCAGGAGACTGTCCAATATTTACCACACAATGGATGGGCTGAATTTTGTCGAGTAATCAATTACAGTGAATGCCTTCTCGTTGCAACCTGACCTACACTAACCTGGGCATTGTACCAGTGCATACATACCCATCGACTCGACTATCTCATTGATATAGGCAGAGAAAAGCTCCAAATGACATGCTTCTGGTTTTTTTATGAAATAGAAAGAAACGAGCATACGAACCACCAGAGGAATCACAGGCGCGTTGCCGGCCTTTGTATATTTTTGTTAGCGGTATTCGTATTTGTATGTTTCATGTACATTTTTCGCTCATAGCTACGATTAGGTGCTTCAAGCGAATCTGAGACCTGTTGGTCTAAGGTTCAGGACAAAAATATTTGGCTATGGTTTCAATAAATTCTCAGTAGTAGTAGACGAATTTTCAAATATTAAACTAAATGACAATATGCTCATACCAAACTTGTGTCACAACTGGCAAAAGTAGGTAACACTTATGTCACATAAGCATCTCCGCCAATTCATTCACGAAATAAGTTTATCTGAACGCTCACTATTTTCACACACCAAACAATAAGATAACATTTTAGTCATTAACTTCAATTATAAATATTACATAATGTGTTGAACTTTATTGTCTTAGAAAATGAATGATGATAACTTTTGACCTACACATGTAAGAGGTCAAATAAGTTGAGTCATAGGGAATTTAGTTAAATAAATACCATTGTAGTATATTTGTATTATCCCTCATTACTAATTTAACAGTAATTAGATGTATAAAAAACCTCTATATAGTATAACAAATTATTTTAATGAAGATTAAACAAAGAATTAGCATGTTTTTATTCCATCACATTAATCTATCTGGTCTTAAAAACATGCTAGTTAAAAATATGTAGTATATAATGCTTGCAGATTAGGTTATTGTTTGTGTTGAGGCGAGACAGCATTACGCGACGCCCGACACACGTAGCGAACTTATTTGACATTTTAATGCCTCATTTTCAGAGCCTACAACCTACCGCGATAAACATGATATAATTCATTTATGATGTTTTTTTTATGTAAGGCTACGATATGTAGACAGGCTGACGTAGAACTGATTTAGACGTTTTTATAGTAAACTAAATGTTAAGACATATTTAATGCAAATACTGACCTCAGTCCACTCAGAGTGCTCAGGCAGCGGGTCATGGTGCTTGTTGAGCAAAGCGTCGGTGAGGATCTGTATCTCGGTGCGGGATAGTGCCGCCTCACGCACTACGCGAACCAGCTCACCTACGTTGACTCCGCCACTGTCGCCCGCTACTAACCACACATGCACCATGTCAATATTTGCAATTAGTCAATTTAACAATACTAGTCTCATTAGAATCCAGTATCCTATAAGAATTTGAACTTAGATAATAATAATATTCATTGCATCAACCCAAAAACAGTTTGTTCTTTTGTTTGTTTCAATTATTAGATTATGTTAAATTAACTCAATAAGTAGTTGCGCAAAATCTGGTATCTTAATACATCTACTAACAACCTCAGGGATTAAAGATGTGATGTATGGGATAAGGAGAATGGATCGTGTTCAAGTAGGATGGATCATAGTAGTAAAGGTCAACACTCACCCATGAGTGAAAGGACATTGGGTTCTGGTTTCTTCTTCTTGTTTTTGCCAGGTGGGGAGGAAGCGGGGGCGGGCGCGTTGGCCAGGGCCTGCTTCAGCAACTTGTCGGTGGTGAGCTCGCTCGGCTGTGGAGCGTTCAGCGGCGGCACTACCTCCTCGCGAGGACTCTCTACGACCTCCTCCACCGGCTTCTTCTCATTCTTCTTACCTAAGGTTAAGCAATATTTTGTGAACTATTTTTAAAATTGTAAATATAAGGAAGATTTGATAAACCATGGTACAGAATATGCTGAACTATTGGAAATAAAAAAATCTTTCGTATACTTTTCAGAAGTAAGAAAACCGCAACAGAAAAGCTATCTTCTATAAATTGTCTTCTTAGCTTGGAGACAATATTTGCCACGATATCAACAGACGTTGTGTGCAAAGTATTACGTCATTATGAAATCTATATAGAGTGTGTATATGCTGCTTGTATTTAAACAGTTGTGTAAAGTTTAACACCACAGCTATTTACCGTAAGTAATATGACGTACCTTTGCGCTGTTCCTTGGCCGCCTCGCCACTGTTGTGTCGCTCACGAGCAGGTTCTTCCTTAGCGACTTCTACAGGCATCGGGGGCTTCGCCACAGCCTTTGCGCCCTTCGCTGGTTTTACGGATTTGGTCTCCTTCTTCTCTACAGCATCTTCAACTTTCTCTGGCACCTACAAAAATATTCGTTATACTACATTCCTGTGTATCTACGTCACATGCGATAACCAAAACATTTAATGTGAATTATTACAACTTAGTTATAATCATGCAAGTAAACAAACAGTGCATAGTTAGTGATATAGACTTACAAAGTCACGATATGACATAAAATTGTGGCACAAATATAGAAATCGGCGTATACGACTCTAACACGTGTCTAATTATACAAATAAAGAATAGTAACATAAACATAGATAATAATGCAGCTATGAATATTAGTCAAGTGGCAGTTAAGACGTGGCATTACATCATGCAAACTAGAAGGCAATTTCTATTTTCTATGGAAATCTAGAAATAAACTTATATTTTTTGTAATCTACTTTTATAATAAAATAAACCCATTGATTTATTAATACGTCACAAATCTACTGTCCGTAATGACTCCACTACAACATGTAACAAGTTAACGAACACAAACACATCGCCGACACATATTACGTTCGTAGGTTGTAGACTCACTTTTTCCGCCACGAGTGTCGAATGCATCAATTCAAACTCATCTTTGGGATGCATTTCCTCAAAGTGGTTGGCGACTGTGACGGCGGTGGAGTCTGGCAGCGCACTCGGATCGCTAACGCAACTCGGATCCTCTTTGTTTACCAGTATCGGCTTTACTTTAGGATCCTTGCCGCGTTTGCGGATCTGTACAAATATTATCGCACTGTAGTGGCCTCAACCGTTCACATTAACCACTAGTTTAATATACTTATAGATACAGGCATCCAAACCATTTCAAATATATCCAAGAATGAAATTAATTTAATGTTAGTTGTCAATACATTTATCATTCATACGGCAGAGTAATGTAATTAAAGATTGTATAACTAAATACTAGAAGATTTCTTTACAGCAGTTGTTAATTGATATTTGATATTCCATACCATTGTGTATGAAGGCTATCATTTTATGACTGAAAATTTTAAGTGTTAATATAAATTAACAACTGTAAGTGGTAAATCAAAGAACCATGTTAAAGCTTTTTATCATTTTCAAGTAATCTTTTATAATCTATATAACATTACATGTTAATGAAGTATAATCAAATAATATAAATCTTTTCAAATGAAATTTCAGCTAGGTCAAATTGGTTACATTGGTTTTCATGTAATTGAAGCTAAATGTATTCTTCTTATGATTGTGATAACTATGAACCTTATCATTTAAAAACATTAATGTTTTCAAGATAACATATTTAAACATAATTTTTGATAAAACCATTTTATTTTTATTAATATCATCATGCAGTGTTACTGAACAAGCAGATAATAATTCCCATGAATGGAGCAAGTTTAATGAATCAGTAAATTATAAAATACATAAAGGACCATATTGGTCCTAAATGTTTTTTCCCACATAAGATAACCATGCTATACCTCCCCCTAAAAGTGGTGCTTGATGAAATTAATGATTACTTATACCAAAACCATTTATAATCATAGTAAAATTCTGGTAAGGCTGAATATTATCTTTGTAAAAATGGCATCCACTACTTATAAATAAGATAAAAATCGATATATTAGATTGTCCTGGTTAGTAAGAAATTATATGTATTTGCCCATTATAAATGAAGCTTTACTGTCCCGGTGGCCATCCTATAACCAAGTATAATTTGTAGTCTTATGTTAAGTTACATGTTTGAAGGAGCCTACCTTGACATTAGGTGTTGTGTCCCTGGGCACATCAACCACAACAGCTGAGCTGAACTCTACATGTCCCTTGGGAGCGGGTACAGAATCATCTTCTACTCCACTCTCAGCAGGTGCCTCACTTTCTTGCTCACTGCCAGTCATTCCTATGCTGCTCTCCTTGCTCTTCTCCTTCTTTGCTAACTAAAATATCACTTCTATTATCACATTGCTCTACAAATAGTTATTCAATGCAAAGTCTGCATATCTTTGACCAATTCAGTTTGTCTCCCCATCAATAATAAAAAGATAAAAGTGAAGTAATTCACTATGCTTTACTTGAATTCAATTAAACAAAAGAGTAGTGAATGACAATACATAACTTTAAAGACACCATATACTCGATAAAGGTTCAATGCACCAATGTTATTCAAAATGTTTGCGTTGGAATAACACATTTATTTATGCATTAATCATAAATTATAAATTAAATGACAATAAATTTGAATAAAAATCCAAATACCTTTTTGTTTGCCTTCTTCTCCTTCTTCTTAGGCTTATTTTTGCTTTCAGCAAGAGCAAGAAGTTCAGTCGTGGCCCGGCGTTGTTGGGCAATTGCTTCTTCATAGCTGGTGCCTGATGCTGAGAACAGCCCCATAAGGAGTAGCATGGCGAGACCGGCTACCCCCACCCCACATAGCACGAGCAATGCCTGCAGCTCCATTGGATCTGCCGCACACGCCTACCCTACATTCAATATGTTACAATTCAATTATAATAGTCTTATTGATATTCCCTTGCGAGAGACCAATACACTGCATATAGTCATTATAGCATATATAACAAGTTATTCTACTCAGAATGATGCATTTCAGTCATCATCCTCGGTTCAAGCGGCACGCTTTCAGCGAACATTACTACAATGTTGACTAAACTCTAGCCAACTTATACAAACCCCTGTCTGCTAAAAGATCTTCTTGTTTAGCGCAAGCACTGTGATAACTGTAATTTTTCACAAAATCACTTGAAATTATGCTTACAAAATGAAGGTATAAGCTGACACGTAAGCAATGACACATGTCAAAGGTTATTGACAGTCCTTTCGCTCAAAAGTATTTTAACTGATGATACTGCTAAAGTAACAATCCAATTGGAAAACAACTAGTAGATGGACATAAGCTTATCTAACATGTTTATCATGTTTAACAACAAGATTAGTAATTTTACAACCAGTTACTAAAATACAAAATCCAGCATCCACCATTTATCACGTACATTTTTGTAAAACGATAAGATAAATTATTGTATTTACCTGTAATAAATAAAGTCTTCTTTAACAACGTGTACTTCTCAATAGTATATTAATTGTATCACGAATGTACACCTCACTTCAAGCCGTCTCTTTGTGAAAGAATAAATTATTTCTTGAATCAGATTTACTTTCAACTTCTCTTTTTCGGACTCTTGACGACGACGATGATACCGGAGGAACAAACCGGGTACTAACCACAGATAACGCATGCGAATCATATCATAGACAAAAATAAAAACCCTTGGTAAAAAACCACCAAAAAACTAATATTAATTATAAGTGATTCTGTAATTTTCAAAAAATATTACAATTAAGATTGGGGAACATAAATGAAAAATCTCTTCATAGTATTAAACGGTTGACATTACAAACTGTAGTAAAATATTATTAATTTATAACTGGTAGACATGAAAATAAAACAGAGTTGAATTAATAGAAGTCTTTAACAAATCAACACCAGTTGCGTATTGGATTTCCATAATATATCCTTATTTGATTTTAATAAGATAGTGGTTATGGTTTTTATTATTTTATTTTTTCAGCAAATATGTTTATGAACGAAAATTAAAAATAAAGCTATTACACTTTTTTTGCTCAATGCTCACTGTCAGACAGGACAGATGTCAGCTTTCATAATCAGTTGCATTTCATCGTAGCAAATTTTTGTCAATTACTTACTTTAATAAACAGCTGTCCTATTTCTTATACATATTACCACAGTTTTCGATATTATGTAAAAGTTTTCAATGTGGCGTGTTAGTTTTGTGAAGTTGTGGCTATACTAATGTAATTTAAAGTGTCTGTAAATCCTTGAATAATCTTTTTGTCCAAGAATGTCGATTCCTCCACTCGTTTGCAGTACTCCTCCTCCACCCGACCAGTGCGAAGACGACAAAGATCCTGGAGATTTCGACTTATCATACAATTGTTAGTGTTTCTTTCTCACTCAGTTATCCAATCAGTAATTGTCGATTGTCCTTCATCGTTAATTTCGTATTACTAATATTTTTATATAATAAATAATTAATACACTATGTTAGAAATTAGTGATATTCAAGTTATTTAATCAATTACTTTCAATTTAAACTAGTATGTAGAGCCAAGCCCAGGAGTACCTATTAAGTTCAATGAATGACATTTGGTGTTCCTATTGTTTTGTGCTATTGTTCCTGACCAAGTGTCATTAAACAAGTATATTTAATGAAAGTCCTAATACAAAGAATGGGTGTGTTTATGATTTTTTATGATGCTTAACTTTTTCAGTGTCTCAAGAGGATGATGATGATGAAGAAAATGATTATAACTATGGCAACTTTTCTTCCTTCAACCATTATGGCCCTAATGATAAACCACTTGAAATCAACAATCTGGAAGATGCCAGAACTATAGACAATAGTATAAACAAAGAAATGTTCATTGAATATGAAATTAGCAAAGAAGCTGAACAAAGTAGCAGCAGTAGTCAAATTGGTACCAATGATGTACATGAAAATAAGTTAAAATGTGATGAAGATATGAATATAGAAGATTTAAATTTAAAGTTGGATGATGAGATTGTTGATAATGTAGTTGAAAGTGACGAAATTGAGAATAGTGACCAGAATACTGATAGTATAAAAGATTTAAACATTCCAAGTAACTCTAATGATAGCAGTCAGGAGGATGTTAGCACTAATACTTATGAAAATGTGATTGAACATACTCCCACTAAGGAAACTCTTGCAGAAACAGGTGAGGCAGTAGTTGAACAAGAATCACCAGATGACCATTCTATTGATATAAGAGTAAAACATGAGAATCTTATAGAAGATACTAAAGACAAAGCAGTTGAAATACCAGTCATCACAAATGAGCCCATTGAAGAAGACTGTATAGAAAAGTTAAATGAAATTCCAGAAAACATTGAACATTCCGTGAAACAGTTTGATATTGAATCAAATGAAAATGTGGAAGATGATGATTTTGGAGATTTTGATGAATTCCAGTTTGTAAATACTAAAAGTGTTGTTGCTAGTGTAGTTGACAGTTCAAACCCATGGGAAAATAATGAAACCAGTGAAGTGGACTTTGGGAACTTTACAGCTAATTTTGATGACAATAAGTCTCCTGTAGAAGACACAGTGAATACTGAAACTAGAACTTCACCCAGTGGAGAATCCAATGAGATTATAAAAGAGGATGACACCTGTGAAGATGATGATTTTGGGGATTTTGATGACTTCAAATCATCTGCTAAATTGGTATCAAGTGAAGATCAAGGAGAAGATTCATGCCATGAAATGTCAGTACTTAATTTACAATCAACTGACAATGAGCATCATATCATGGAAAGTGTGAGCAAAGTGTTAAGTTCAGTATTTAGTGAAGAAATATCAGAACCCAGTGAAGAGTTTGAGGGGAAACTAGAACAATTTCTCAGTGAAACATGGGGACACTTGATGGAAATTGATGAGAGGCAACCATACATTGTGAACTGGAACAACTCTTTAGGACAAAAGACTCTCTTGAAGGCTTTATGCATAGATTCCAGGAACATTGTGAGTAATCAATAAAGGGGTAGAGAGAAACTCCAAAAGTTACTTACTACTACATAATATTATATTATTTCTTTCATAGCTAAACTTGGCGAAAGATAGGATGATTGTTTGCATATTGAGAAAAAAATTCAAATAATTAATTAAAAGCAGGATGTCTATTGTTCACATTGTTAAGTTGAATGAAAGGAAATATGAAAAATGTGTGAAAAGAATAGTTATAAAAAGTAAGTAATATGTTTTCAGCTCTTTGGACCAAAATGGAGTAGCCACATGCCAAAATATGCTGCAAACCTAAGTGTGGCGCCTCTCCAACCGCAGAAACAAGCCGCTGCTCCAGTGAACGCAAGTCAAAGTGAACCTATGGCTGACAAAGCTTCAAGCAAGCCCACCACTTGGTCTGATCCATTCTCATCAGAGGGTCAAGAATGTAAGTAGTTGCACATTGCATTTTAAAAAATTTACTAACAAAATGACAGTGAATCAACCTCAATTAACATATAATTGGCACATTATGCAACTCAGTAAAACAACACGCAAGTTTTGCACAGTCCAGTCGAAATGCCAGAGAATATTATTAACATTATGTTTATATAATCAATTGTGTTATTGAACCAAAATAATGTTTTGAATTCTTGAACAAATTAACAAAGCTTGTCATAATATACTCACAATGTTAATTCTTTTGCATGTCTTGCACTTGGATCAATAACATCCACCTGTATATTATCTGCTTTATCCTATCCATAGTCACCTATGCCGAAGCCCTTCTCCTTGACCTTGAACACCTAATGGCCACCCTAGACCAAATGGCTCATAACCATTCCACCCTCAAGATATCTGAGTTACTGTCACATGGTAAGTGCATAACTAATGCCCTCAATACAGGCAAGACTGGTGGTAAGACTATTTACGTAATTCTACCTAATCTAATTATTATTCTTTATTTACTGGCTAAAGTAGACAGTGCCGTAAGTAGACAGCATTGTCAGTAAGCGTTAAATTTTACCTAGTAGCGTTTAGTAGAGCCTAACGAAATTATCCCGTTCGCATACGAAGCATAAAGTGTTTTATAATAGAAGAGGAAATAGAGCACATAGGTTCATAAACTATACAATCGTTTCACATAATATGCATGGTAGTAGTGTACGAGAACATTTCTGCACGAGACCAGTAGAATATACAAACTGACTTATAGGTAATAGATATAGATAGTGCATAAAGTTTATTTAGTTTATTTTTCATCAGATCTTAGAAACAACAGGACGCACTCTAGCGTCCTGTTGCACACTATGGAAAAATGATGTAAAAAATTTGTAGTGAAAAATCTAGCTGTCTCTGTATCTGGCATGTCAATACGTTACTTATTTGCAATTTTTATTTGTTACGTTTATTGTCAATACATTTAAGCTAACAATTATTTCATCACCTGTTTCAGCTTGTAACACAGAACATGAAAGTGCTGGTGGAGCCATAGCGCCTAGGCCAACTGATTTGGATGTATTTGAAGCTGCTATGTCTACTAAGTCAGAGAAAATATACTCAAGTACATTAAATGTACAACCTATACGACAAATAAATTTACCTGACACTCATATTTTTACACCAACCGACTCTGAGATACCCAGGTCTAAAACAATACATTACGACCCCAGTCCAACAGTACTCTTACCACAGCCAGTTGTACCGGATGTTAAGAATACGGACAACCCTCTTACGCCAACTACAAATGAGATAGTTGAAGTTAATACGGAGGATGATAACGAATATTGGGAATTCCAAGATTTCAAGGGCACACCAGATTCCAGTTCCTTGCCAGGTTTAGTAAGTCATCATAAAGTACCCGACGAAAGCAATGTTCACACAGCCAAGACAGTTAATGCATTGCCCAATCCCAGTGTAGCGTATCAAACGCAGCTCTTGCAGCCCATTAAGATAGAACCTTCAATGCCTACACTAAACTGGCCTGACCCTGGTGAAGTGAAAGCTACATTTGACGATTTCACAGATTTTGTGTCAATATCGACACCATTACCTGAAAGACAATTCTCTGCTAAACCACAAGATGAAGACTTAGACGCCAAGTCCAATACACTAAAGTTTGATAACTTCAATGATCTCAAAGAGAAAATGACAGTAGTTGCAGAACAGAGCAATCCTGAAAATGAGACTTTGGATGACGATTTTGATACTTTTCAATCGGCACTACCCACAAAAGTTACACAGAACAATAACTTTAAATCAAACACTTTTAGTGATACTCAAACGCCTTTTGAGCAACCAATAGATTTCGATTATGCATCTTCGAAAACTATGAATATAAAGTCTGATACCATATCATTTACGACTATGACAAGACCGAATGAAGCTTTAACGAACAATGTAAGTTACAACTCGAATACAACAGAATTTACGAGTAAGATTCCGTTGTCTTCAAACACACCAATACAAACAGGCCTTCTACAGCCTACACCTGCGAGCTTTGCCTCAGTAAATACACAAAACCAACGGACTACTGGCCAAATATTGCAACCATTATCATTAGAAAGTTATTCGCAAATAAACTGGCCGAGCCCTGGCATAGATTTACAGGACCTGTCAAGGTTCAATCCTGTTGAAACTCTACAATCATTGAAAAGTGATCTAAGTGTTAGTGGTCTTAGTAAAGTTGCCTCACCAGTTCACACTCAGAAAAATACAACAGTCAGCCAGTCATCCGACGATGATGTTTGGGGCGACTTTGTATCCAGCAAACCTAAACAACAAACTTCCCAGCCGAAGAAACCACCAGTATTTGTGGAAGATGATGAATGGTCAGACTTTATATCTAGCCCAAGTGTGAAATCCCAAAACGGATTAAATACGATAAGTTTAAATGTGCACACTAACTCAAATATTCAAAAATCAGTTCAGAATAAATTTTTAATGAAAAATAATCAGACACCTGTCGATATTCCGACATTAAATTATATAACTCCGAAATCCAACCCTCACAAGACATACAATGATAAACATTTCCAGAATTTATAACAACACAACACTAGAAATCTGCTTATTTATTGAAACTGTACTTAATTGTAATAAGTATTACATGAAATTATAATTATGTAAATAGGGTGGAGGTGTAAAATTTTAAAATATTTCTAAGTAACTATGTATTTAATTTTGTTACAGTCAGAATTTATTGTAATTGATTTTGCACTAGATAGTAGTATATTAGGTTTACAAACCCATTAAATTTAGCACTTGCACATGCTCATATTGTGATAAGAGGAAGAATAATTGCAGTCAAAATTATTATTTAACTAGAAACACAAATATATCCTATTTAATTATTTTAATTCCAATTGTAGTAATGTGCAAGTATGTATCAAGCCCCGTCCTTATTGTTTTGAATTAGTTTGCCATTAAGTTTTGTCAGTGCAATGGATGAAGAGTTGTATTATTAAAGAACGTAAGCCAGTAAAAGCAATATGTAATTATGAAATTATTATTGATTTACCTATCGTATTTGTATATAATGTGAATTACCTATGTATAAATTGTAAATTTGTTTAAAAATGTATAGGACTACATAGAGACGTTTTATTTGTCTGTTGAAGTTAGCACTGAAAGCCTGATATATTATACTAAAACTGACAATTGTTTAGGTTGTACTGTGAGTGAGGCACTAAAATTATATCAAATTCATATAACATAGAAGATATCAAAGCTACATGATGTCAAAGAATAGATAAAATATGTATTTATGCCATAAGTAGAAATTGGACGAAAGTAATAATTGCTGTATGTTAGGAAAACATAATGAAAATGTTTATAACCATTTTAAATACAAATTGGTCCAGTCGTTGGAAGTATATTTTGTCAGTATTTGTAAATCAAAAATAACATATATTTTATTTATAATCAATTAATTTTTCACATAATATTTCTACGAATTATTTAATTATTTTAAAGACCAATATATGTTTCTTGTTTATACTGTATACAATTGGTTGTAGCTGATTGTTATTAAAGTGTAAATAATGAGACTTATTATCCTTCTAAACTGTGTTTTATTAATTAATCATATATAAATAATTTGCTATGTTTCACTTTCCGCGTCCGAATGTTCCATGTCTTCTATGTGAGTACCAATTACTTCCTTGTCATCATCGTCAATATTAGTAAAGAATTTTGGTAAATTATTTTCCATAGTAACTCTAAATTGGCATTGTTCGAACTCAGGCCATGAAATGAATCTAAAAAATTATAAACTCCTTTTACATAGCAGGTACAGTCAGATAAATGGGGATATTCATTAACACAACAAAGTAACCATATAGATATTTTGGGATTTTGGCTGTTCCTTTACTATTGAGGATACATATTTGACGCTGATTGTACCCACAATACAGGACAAACCCTAGACTCCCTAAAGTTGACATTTGGACTTTAGTCTTGGTTTTTTGAAGCATTTCTTAGAGGTAGTAAAAAACTAAGGCATGCGTATATAAGAAGATAAAATACGCTTGACTCACTTTTTGAAAACAGTGATCTTTTGTTGTAAATTCAAATCTCCGAATTCCGTGAAGATGGTCATATGAGGTAGTTCAGCGTCGTCTTCACTTGGCGCTAATTGTTTATTTGTATCTGGAGGATCCTGGCCCGTTATAAGCCACACGCCGCACCCAGGTATCCATTGTCTAAAATGCCGTTAAATATAAAGATTTATTAAAGAGCTTTGAGTGTGTACCTACTTATTGATTTGATGGGAGCTTCCACATACTACTACTTTGAACTACAACTTGGAGATGTAAAGGCGATAGATATAATGAATATGAAGGAATCGTCAATCAATTTTGACTAGCTAAACTTACGAAACGATCTGAGACTGTAATTAAAATACTTAACTATTTTTAGCCTTTTTAAGTGTGGGAGAGCCAAGCTTCGGCACGTATGGGTTGGAAAGGAGGATACTACGGCCTCACAGAAAACCGTCGTGAAACAACAACAGCGTTGTTTCGCCGTGTGGGTAAGGGTAACTGGAGGCCCAATTCTTCTCCCAATATCCGAAAACTTTATCCCTAAAAGTCCGGCAACGCAATTGTAACTTCTTTGATGTTGCCATTGGCCATAAGGGGCGCCGATTGCTTACCACCAGGTAATTCGCCTGCTAGTTTACCAAGGTATCCCATAAAGAAAGCCTCACTATAAACAATAATAAAATTAAATTGTTTTATTTACTCACTCTAACATTGGTATAACTCTTGTTGTCTTGGACAACATGTGTGGCTTGAAAAAATACCAGAGCAAAGGTAAGTACTCAGGTGGACACGGCAATTTATCTTTTTGCGTGATGTTCACAAGTACTAGCCTATGTTCATCCATCTAAAACATTACAATAAAAATCATATCGAAATCTGTTCATCCATGAACTATGTTAAACAGGCATTAGTGTCACTCTCTGCTCAATATTATACCATTGTTTTTTTAGTTTTTCATGATTGGTAAATGGAATCACATCTTATAAGTAAGGTACCATAACATACCTACTGTAGTATGTATTTACAAAACTGCCTACAGGGAATGATAATGTCATGATAACTTTTGATATACCTACATGTCGTAATAAATTAATTCAGTGAATGAATTTTATTGGGTATTATTAAAGCAATATACACCTACCATTGTTATTTTCTTGCTATCTGGTTTGTGTGTCCATGGCAAAAAGTGTACTTTTGGTACAGTTGTTAATACTTTGTGATCAAAAAGCATCTGAAACAATGCCGGTATAGATCTATGCTTCTTCAGCTGCACCTCATTGTCTGTAAGGAACTAAAGCATTGAATAAAATTATACTCTAAAGTGTATATTTAAAAAGATTTTTATGTGAAAAATAATATTACTTCATAGTGGTATCCTGGCATGGTGATGAACAGATCAGGTTTACCAAGTTGGTTGGTAGTATTGTGAAATATGATATTGTTGATTAAATGTTTCACAAAGGACAACCCAGGCATTGATCCAATTATTTTCACAACCCTAGCTGAAATCATAATTCAAATGTTATAAGATTTGTGATGTACAATATAATCAGAACAAACAAATAGCTTAGAGGACTGACCAACAGCATAAACTTTAAAATTTTGTTTTGACATTTAAAAGTGGCAGTAAAGATCTAATTGAAATAAATGATTTCTGACTTTTGAATCTTATCATTAAAATTAAGGTGTAATCATTTCATTAGTAGGACTATAGGTATAGTCACTTCAAATTGTAATTTGGGTAACAAATTTTAAATTACACATCAGTCTGTCTCTAAATAGTCAGTTTAATAAATGACATTAAGATCCTAACATCCTAGTAAAATTGAGAAAGTTTATGAGAATGTATGGATGTATGTTTATTATTCTTTCACACAAAAATGGCTGGATCGATTTGGTTGAATTTGGCATGTAGATAGGTCATACCTACCCTGGAATGCAGAAGCTGGTATTGTAGATAAAGTGAAATTGAAAAGGCAGCAGACCTAATGATTTTTCTTTTAATTTAAATGTTAACAATTGTTCAAAAGACTGTAATTACTCACTTTTGTCATCTGTACAAAGTTCACCAAGTAATTCTTCGATTCGGTTTCCTTGATCAATTTTGTCTTTAAATGCCAATTTCCACATTCCGAAGAAATCTGCTATTTTGAGTTTTATTCTACCTGGATGTTGTTCTTGTAATTTCTAAAACAGAAAGTAGGTTCGGTAGTACATAAGACTTTATGTTTAAGATCTCTTAATTAGTTCCGTTATCCGTATTTATTATACTTACACTTAAATGCGATGAAAATTGGCTTGACATTTCAAACATATAAATTGGGTTTTTCTGGCATTGCAACAGTTCTTCACTTAAATACCCAAAACCTGGATTGACTTCGATTAAAGGAGAGTTATTATTGATGTTATTCTTAATTGTGTTCACTATATCTTTAGCAGTTTTTTTGTTTATTAGGTACATACTTTCAGGTGTCTTGTATTTTCTTAAAAGTGAATTAGGAATTTTATTTTTGATATCGTTGTACTCAGGAGTACTATTTATATAGTTAACTACATCTGTAGCTAGTTTTGGAGGTGGTTTCTCTTTTGGTTGCCGACTAGTCTTATGACTTAACCTCAAATGAAATTTCAAATTGCTTCCCTTGGTGATCAGACTCACACAATTTCGTGATCTTTGTAACATTTTAGGTGCACTTTTCCAATGGCAGTACTTTTATTATTTATTGCTGTTCTTTAAATTTGAACAGAAATATGCTTCCTAACCTGAATAACAACAACAACAACAACACATTGACATTAGCAAAATGACGTTAATTTTTTTTCAAATGTTATTTGTCAATGTTCAAGATGTCAAGACAAAAAAAAGAATGATTTTTCAATTCAGTTACATAGATTTAGTATTGTAGGTCTGTGTTCAGTTATCTGTTGATCAATAGGTACAAGTGACCTGCTGCTGCTTGCTTGACTCTGCGATCGAGATTTATTATCAATTTCTAGATCTTAGGCTTAGGTCAATAACTTTAATACATACATACACCAGAAGAAGCACAAAAAGAGTTCGCCTTCGGGCATCACGAATCTCACTCTCACGTCACCAAAATGTGTTTCTAGGACTAATTTAATTTGAAAATTCTCGCATTTGAAGTTGACGTAGAGTCCGACCTCCCCTCCCTCACATCTAGAATTCAATGCCCGGAAAAGCCGCTTCCCTAACGGCTTTTCCGGGCATTTATAAATAAATAAATTATTTAATTTAGCATTTCATTTTATAAATAAATAAATTATGCTTTCCGTCTAAGGTGCGTTACATCTCATCATCTAATTTTACAAAAAACTAATGTTTTAGGCATTACAAGCTAGGCTTAAAGACCAATTCTAGTTGACATATGGATTGGGGGCCCACAGGCGGAGATTGCTTAGGGCATCCAAGTAGTCTTAATCCGTCACTAGAAGTCCTATAAAAAGCATAAATAGGTAGGTATATTACGCTAAATGGTGGATGTCGATTTCGAGTTCATTAGTTTCAAGTGTTGCGGGTTCTTTTCTTAATAGAGGATGATTGTCGCGTCTCTGACTAGAGAAGAAAAAGCTTCTCTTCTTTTTCAGCCGCCTCCTTTGACAACATACCTAACATGAAAGGGGACAGATTTCGTCAAGCAAAGATGTAGCTCAGGAGTTTGAGGCATTTTTTGCTAATATACCTGTCTCAACAACTGCTCATTTAGAATCATCAGCTAGACTATCGGTAACTTTGCTTAGATAAAATGTCAAATCATGCAAAGACGATTTTAGTTTTCATTATACTAATCCTTTAGAGATAATAAAGGTTTTTAAAGAAATCAAGATTAAATCAACTGAGGACTTTTGGGGACTATCGGTGAAAGTCTGCGGATCACTTATCCGAACTTTAGCGCCGTATCTGGCTTTGATTTTCAATAAAAGTATAGATGACGGTGTCTTCCCCAACCTAATGAAATACAGTAAAGTTATTCCATTATTCAAAAATGGTGACACTAAGGAACCAAACAACTATAGGCCTGTGTCTGTTCTGCCGGTTCTTAGCAAAGTGTTTGAAAAGTTAATGCTATCTCGGATGCTTCATCACTTTGATAAACATGCCATCTTCCATCACCAACAATACGGTTTCACTAAAGGTCGTTGTACGATTGACGCCGGTGTCACTTTGATAAAGGAGGTATTCGGTGCTTGGGAGGAAGCACAGGATGCTGTTGGTGTCTTTTGCGACCTCTCAAAGACGTTCGATTGCGTTGATCATGAAACACTCTTGCTGAAATTAGATCATTACGGGATTAGACATACTGCACTCCGTCTACTAAAGTCATATTTAGAGGATAGGCAGCTGAGAGTTCATGTAGGTGGTTCTAACTCACGGGTCTCTGAGATAAAAATTGGCGTACCGCAAGGTTCGATTTTGGGTCCGTTTCTCTTCTTAGTGTATGTTAATGACTTGCTATTTCTATTTAAAACCGAGCCAAGAATGGTGCTGTTTGCAGATGATACATCATTAATTTTTAGAATAGGTCGACGTGTTAATAATTTGGACGAAGTAAACAGATCCATTCATCGAGTTCATAATTGGTTTACAGTCAATAATTTAGCACTTAACGAGAAAAAAACAAAATGTATTAAATTTAGCTTGCCCAACGTACACAATAATGATTGTGACATAATTTTAAATGGGCAAAAGTTAGAATTTGTTAACGAGACTATGTTCCTAGGTATTACGCTAGACAATAAACTTCAATGGGGTTCCCACATAAAGACGCTTTCGGGAAGACTGAGCTCAGCTGTTTTTGCAGTTAGACAGATTAGACAGCCCACAGACGTGAACACAGCAAGGCTTGTTTATTTTAGCTATTTTCATAGCATTATGTCGTACGGAATTTTGCTATGGGGTCGAGCTGCGGAAGTAGATTCAATATTTATTTTGCAAAAAAGGGCTATCCGAGCGATATATAACTTGTCCCCTCGTGAATCTCTGAGAGAACTATTTAAAACGATAAATATCCTAACGGTACCTTGTCAGTTTATATATGAAAATATTATGTACGTAAGGAAAAATTTGTAATTATTTGAAAAAAGAAGCGATAGACACAATTTTAATACTAGAGGCAAAGATAGGCTGGCTGTGCCACGATTCCGTCTGTCCAAAGTACAGAAATCCTTTATGGAGTTCTGTGTAAATTGTTACAATAAAATTCCAAGAAGTGTATTAAATCTTAATGAACGAAAATTTAAAACTTATATTAAACGCGAATTATGTGGACAGGCATACTACAAACTTTCAGATTATATTGAGGATAAGAATGCCTGGCAGCATGTTGGTTCGGCTCCACTGGACAATTCTCAAATATGTAGGTAGTCAGTAGTTATTAAAATTCTCAAAATTAGGTAATGAAACCTTGAATGAGTTTATATAGAAGCATTCTTTTGGATTGTGAGTACGCATATGTGAGCGCCATGTACGAGACAACAAAGGATTAAAATTTTAATGATAGATTAAATAGACCATCATTTGTTCCTTTTTATTAACAACTTGTCTCTGCATTATTCTCACATAGGGGTACAGTAATGTATAAAAATGTATTATTGATGAATTGTAAAACAAATATTTTTTTTAAAGGAGTAACGATGGAGTTTCTTTCTCGTTCTTCTCCATTCGAAACTACAATAAAATTTGGAACGAGCACCTAGCTTCACTGACGAACAGACTGACAGACTACTATTCTATTTTGACGTTTCAAAAGTACCTATTTATGGTTTAGTTGGAATAAATGATTTTGATTTGATTTGATTTGACATGTACTTATTTGCGAGATACCTTATAGCATCTCCTTATTATCCTTCGGTGGTTGAAGGGTAAGCGCTACGTCGCGGGGCAAGTGCTTTAAGGTACCGCGGCTTTGGCCTGGAGACGGAGAAGGAACGGGGGTGTCAGTTAGAGTCGGACACTCTCTCTTGCCATACCCTAGGCCAGAGAAGACATTAAATGATTTTCCGTTCTCAAAAAACGGTGGTTGATTATGTGTACTAAAATTATAAAGAGGTAAAATTTGTAAGTTTGTATGTTTATAAGTTTGTATGTAGGGGGTAATCTTTGGAACCGCTGGTCGGGTTTCCAAAATTCTTTCATTGATCGGTAGCTACAATATTCCAGATTCCTGTGCTTTAGGCTATAAAACATCACGCTACGATCTGTAGGAGCTGAGCAGCGAGTGAAACCGCGCGAGAGTAGCTAGTAAAGAATATCTACATGTTTTTTAAGATTATTAAAAATTCCTTTAAGTTTCTACACATCAACTGCATAATTATAGCAAACCTTTAAGTATTTATTCATTTCAAAAGATTATAAATAGGTACTTTGCTACAGCATGATTATTAACATTTGCTTGCTTCTAAAGTAACAAATAAATAAAAACAATGTATACAGCTTCAACTGAGATAAAAGGTAGGTACTGATTAAACAAATAAATCCAAAAAAAAATATTGTAAATATTTGGTGATACTTGAGTCTTGTATTTGCAATGATTTCTAATCGGCCAGATACTCTACTATACTACGAAAGTAGGTAAAGGCTGAGTGCTTTTGCTTACCTCCGTCGATCACGACACCCGTCAAGACTAAGCTGCAACTCCAAGGAAGCAACTTGAAGGCTCTAGCTGAATGTTCAGAATCACCGCCACAACAATCCTCCGGCCATTGCAATTGCAACCACAGGATTAGACGAAGTTGCTTCGAAACTCAGAAATACGACACTGTAGCTCGTAGCACGTAGTCCGTAGCACGTAGCTTGAATCGCGTAGTTCGTAGCGCGTAGTTCATAGCGCGTAGCATAGCACCAACACTACTACCAGTAATAAAGTTGGGCAGAAATAAAGTTTCTTACTAGATTCGACTAGGTGTAGTTGGTGTCCGTCAAGCTGTATGATGAGAAAATACCTACTTATCTGCAGAGTTGCACAAATACATACATTACTGTAACTTATTAATTTATTTATTCTTTCTAGAGAAACCATTCACCTAGTACTACATCTCATTTTTATGGTTACATCTCCAATGGGTAAAAAACCCTATTAATTACTATATAAGTCTCCGCTATCCGTCCGTCCATAGATAGAATAGTACGGATGTAACTAATAAGTAAGTATTAGAAATATTTCATAAAACCTAATATTATGGACTGCACGGTTGGCGCAGTGGCTGGGCAACTGGCTGCTGTGCAACGTGTCGCGGGTTCGATTCCCGCACAGAACATCACTTTGTGTGATCCACAAATTGGGTGTGTTGTGTATGTGAATTTGTATGTTTGTAAACGCACCCACGACACACGGAGAATATCCTAGTGTGGGGCAACGTTTTATTAAACAAAACAAAATTTACCGCGTCGTGTCGAGCGCGACAACCCTTACACTAAAATAATCCTTATAGCATGATTCAGTGTTCGCATGCGACGGCTCGATGACTTACCGAACTGCTAAGCTATCAGGAAGTTACACGTGCTATTGTGAGTTAGCCATAAAAGATAGATATATGCTGAACCACAATTTTTTTTTTACATAATTTTATGTATAATATTTCCGTCATACATACCTAGTCTAGCCATAAATACTGTAACAAATAAAAAAATGTAAAAAATGTCCACCTATGTAATGTTTTGTTGCATAAAGTTTAAATAAATAAATAAAAATATTTTTGCTATTGCAAATAACATTTATTACTTTTACAGCATGTAAGTTTAATAAATATAAAACAATTTAAAACATAAAAAGCTTATTCGAAGTGGTCTCCATTGGCTGCAATACAGTCCTGCAATTTGCGTACCGCTTCAGTAGTTGTTTAGATTTTATCACCCTTTTTTTTTAAATTATCATTTAAAAAATGTCCAGTGCGTCTCTTATAGGCTGCAAGTCCTAAGTCGTCTTTTAAAATACGCTACATGGTTCTAGGTGCTATCTTCATCTCCCGAGATAAAATCTTTTGCTTTCGGACAGGATTTCTTCGAATTCTTTCTCTTACTGCTTTGACCACCTTTTTCGTACGAACACTACGTGGACGGCCAGATCTTTTTCTGTCACAAACAGAGGAGGTCTTATTGTACCTATTAATAGCCCGGTACACAAACATTTGACTAATGCCAAGCGTGTGGAGAGTTTTAAAAATTGCATTTGGCACCATACCCACTTTGTGTAATGCAATCACAGCGATTCTCTTTATCACCTCATTCCACTTTAATATCGCAAAATATTGAACAATTTATTGGCGACAAAATAAGAAAACACAATGAAAAATTATATAAAAATGACAGATTCCGAATTCAAAAGTAATATTTTGTTAATTTTTAATTGTAACAGTATATTTATGGCCAGACTATGTAATTTCCGTGGTAATTTCTATGTAACTTTAACCATTAAGGCTACACACGCGACGGAAACTTAAAAAAGCTAGTAACTTCTCCCGTTTTCCCAACATTTCCCTTCACTGCCCTGCTCCTATTATTTGTAGCTTGGTAAAAAGTATCCTATAACCTGCCCAGGAGTATAAAGAATAATTGACCCATTTTTTTTAAATCCGTCGTGTAGTTTTTATTACTATGGAACATAAAGACAGACAGATAAAAATTTTACTGATTGCATTTTTGGCATCAGTATCGATCACTTATCACTCCCTGGTAGTTATTTTGAAAATATATTCAATGTACAGAATTGACCTCTCTACAGATTTATTTTAAGTATAGAAGATTAGCGTGTGTTGACGGTGACGTTATCGGAGGCCCAATCCTCTCCTCCCCTAATCCCTCCCCAATCCCTGTTTTTGTGAATGTCCATGGAAAAAAACAAAAATGAGCTGATCACAATTCTCATTTACCTACAGAATCTTTAAATAATGATATGGCGACTCTTCATGTCGGGCTCCGAAGTGCGCGTGTTATCTTATTGTTGTAAGCTGCACCTTTTTGTGTAGGTACCTATCTATTGGTGAACGTTTACGAAATTAATTAATTAAGGGTAATCATAATCACCTTTGTCCACTGCAGCTGAATTCATATTCGGGCCCGTGGCTATGTTATCTGAGCTGATAATCACTGGGCCTGTCCGCCGTTGATACTTGATATATACGATTCAGTAGCAAAACTTTCATTCAGTAACAATACCACAGTGAGTTGTATTAATTAACAATTAAAAATGTTCGTGTTTTTCACTTTACTGCAGTTGGCCTTCACCACAGCATTTGCAGCTGTACTATTCGAGGATTGTGGTAAGAAAGATGTTCAATCCTATTGTTTTTTTTTTATTATCATGATATCCTTTATGATAAGCGGTGTTTCTAACGATATTAGATTTGATATTAATAAGTAGGAAAAACTCATTTGTATCCTATAAGATAAGGTATAACCTAGCTAAATGAATACCTTCCTGCTGGAATTTTATTGTCGAGTAATTAGAATAAAACGCAATTAAATATTTTTTGTGGTACCTAAGTACCTACTTTTCAAGTGTCTTTTAAGTGAAGATTAAACATTTCAGAAAAGTAGAGGAACAAATTAAATTAGAATTAACGACCCTTTCGTCTCTATACAGGGAGTTAGACACCCGTATAAAGTAGGGATGAATCGCTAGTTTTTGATCATTGTAATTTGTTTATTGCAAATAGAAAGAAGACTTTATTCATCCACAAACACAATTATTAGTTTCCGTAGTTGATGCAGGATATAATATTGCCTTGAACTATAAGTAAATTAGATGTGATGTTAAGATTTCTCTAGAATGTCTAAGTCTATTTAAAGCAAAAGATATTTAATACAAGGTAGGTACCTTTTCTGCTACTAATCACATAATTTACTTATAGTTCAAGGCACAAAGCACATCAACATTTATTTATTATTTTTGTTTTAAACAACTAGCAACTATTTTAATAATTTGTCTAAAAACAAGAAGTGCTGATTAGAAGGTATAATTTGTTATTTATTTTTCCTATGAATTAACTGAAAAACTCACATGATGAAATTAATTTTATCAGGACAATAATAATGCACCTACATACGTTTTTTGAGTCGTCTGTGAGATGCTTGTCGAGCCAGTTGATGGTTTCAGTGCGTCGGAACTGATGCCGCATAGTTCACGGTGAGTCGGAACTGTCTGCGGGGATGCGCCCCAGTGAGTCTGGCTGGCTGCTGCGTCGACCAGGAGAGGGAGTACGTCTCTGCTTGCTGACCGGCCGGTGCAGTGTGCTGTGCCGAAGTTGCTGATGACGCTGTAGGTGCTGAAGAGTGGCTAGCTGCTGCGTCGACCAGGAGAGGGAGTACGTCTCTGCTTGCTGACCGGCCGGTGCAGTATGCTGTGCCGAAGTTGCTGATGAGGCTGTAGGTGCTGACCAGGAATGCGCATTGGCTGCATGCTGGTGGTCAGGGAACCCGTTGTAGCCGTGGAAGCTGCTGACTGTAGGATTCGCTGCTTGAAAGCTCCAGGAAGTGATGACGTCATGGCTATGAAGTAGTTGCACGAAGGCTGCTTGATGTTCATGTTCGGGGTCACCAGTTTAGAGGTATGAGGAACAGGATGGAAACTTCCTCATCCTCCATTGAAAAGGGAGGATCCTCCGACCAGGCGAGGTGTTCGTGCCTGGCGGGCTACTGCCCGACGGTTGTTGTCGGGATATCTGTATGGGTGCTAATTGTGTGGAAAACTCTTATAGCGCGATGTAGATTCTTGCTCGTGATTGGTGCTGTTGTTTATGTAGTGCGCTAGATGTCGCTACACGTTCTAGTACAGTAAGTTCCATTGCATAGGTTTTAATTACATCTTTGAATGCTGTCTTAAACGGAAAAGGAAAACTTGCGTGGTCACCAATAAATAAATTGATGAGTTGGTACCCAAGTATGGCATTTTTTGCCACACTCACAATAATCTATAAATAATATCTGCGTAATTCTTAAACCTATCAAATGCGATTTATTGCTTATCACTGATTCATTAATTAAAGTACAGCGTTACTATCACGTCTTAATGACGTTGCAGTGATTTAAAGGAAACGCAACGATATCGCTAAGTTTCGTCAAAAGATACCTAGGCAATGTTTTGTTTTGTGTACTGGGCAGAGTTCATTTTCGAATTTTCTAGAACAAATAATACCTCGTATTAATGATCACAATATTAAATTCATATATAGGTATACTCACCTATAGCCTCCTATAGGTAAGGAGACAATGGATTTTTATGTCTGCACTTTTTAAACAAATGTATAAAATTAATAAAGTTGTTTAATTGATTATTTTTACTGTTAGATTTTAGTACCTTATGAGCCATTAGCGATTTTGTTAATTACTTTAATGTTGGTATTGGTACCTCCACTTATAGTACTACGAAGACTTGGGGTAAGCGCAATGAGGCACCGCGACCTCGGCCCAGAGCAGGAGAAGGAACAGGGGGGTTTTTAGTCAGTAAGAGTTTGACACTCCCTCCCGCCCGACCCTGGGCGGGAGAAGTCATTTGATGATTTTCCCCTCACAAAAAAAAAACACTGGGCTGTGCAGGCAAATTTTTCTTCTGCGATCATTGTACCAAGTACGTACAGGTACACATAAAACATTATTAAGTCTCTAACAAATATTTATCACAATGATCTTCTATAAAAAATAGGGACGTTTTGATATTATGTTTATTTATAAACCACATATCTAAGTGGAACAAGCACGGGTTAATTACATAGACATACATTTCGCACTAACTTTAAAATAGTAACGTATCAGATGTTATCGTGTGCAATATTAGATTTTTTTTTATTATTTTATCTTATCGTGCAAGGTGTTATTTATACCAGCAAACTAGCACTGATTTTTAAACTAAATCCAATTGCCTGGTTTACGGAAATTAGTGTGTCAATTGGTCGTGATTACGAAAGGAAATCGGTTAGGTAATTCTCACAATCTCTAATACTGCCTAATACCGTATAAGCTAGCATTTGAAGATAAGATTTTGCCGCTGGAATTAATAAAAATGTGCGTGTGTTACAATAAGGCCCTAAGTTACAGTGGTCTTACGTTATATAGGTATCTTTTTACTCTACTATGGCATCAAATTGTTATATCAGGATTATTAAGTTTTACTGTTCTGGAGAATTATATGTGTCGTATAAGAAGAACATTTTGTAGCTATGTACATGTATGTAAGGCTAAATTATAAAAGGAAATGCTTTTAATTTAATAATATTTATGCTTGTAAAATGCTATTATCTATACTTATAATAAATCTGTAGAGAGGTCAATTCTGTACATTAAATATATTTTCAAAATAACTACCAGGGGTTGATAAGTGATCGATACCTACTGATGCCAAAAATGCAATTAGTAAAATTTTTGTCTGTCCGTCTGTCTGTATGTTCGTTATAGAAATAAAAACTACTTGACGGATTTTAACAATACTTGGTACAATTATTCTTTATACTCCTGGGTAGGTTATAGGATACTTTTCATCACGCTACAAATAATAGGAGCAGAGCAGTGAAGGGAAATGTTGGGAAAACGGGAGAAGTTACTCCCTTTTTTAAGTTTCCGTCGCGTGTGTAGCCTTAATGGTTAAAGTTACATAGAAATAATGTATGACGTAAATACTTTACATAACATAATCTAAAAAAAAATGTTCTACGACATATGTCTATCTTTTATGGTTAACTCACAATAGCACGTGTAACTCACGCTATAAGGATTATTTTTGTATATCGGTTGCCGCGCTCGACGCGACGTGGTACAAAATATAATATAATATATTAGGTTTTATGAAATATTTTTAATACTTACCTATTAGTTAGGTACCTTTCTATCTTTGGACGGACGGATAGCGGAGACTTAGTAAGTAATAGGGTATTTACCTACCCATTGGAAATGTACCCATAAAATTGAGATTGAAATTGTTCTATTCCTATAGGCTGCTTTTTATCAACACAGCACACGGGCGAAGCCGCTGGCGAAAGCTAGTTAGTAATAATTACTGTAACTACTAATGTCATAGAAATGTTTCGTCTTGAAGTGTGATACGACTTACTTGTAACGTTAGAATTTTAAATTTATACTCATAACATTTTCGAATCATTACCGCAAAGGCAGTCAAGTTATATTTAACTTTTTTATAGAATTGCTTTACTTGATGAGGTAGCCTCGTTTGGATAGTTAGAAGAGAAGAAATGTTGATATACTGTAATGATAGAAAATTTGTAAGAAAATGAGCTTAAAGGATAAATGTTATCAGTAGGTACTTTGCTACGTGTTGGTTTGTAGTACCTAATGGTGATGTTGCAACCCCCATTTGGTACCTCGATTGATAATCATGATTTGGTTGCCCTTCGCTGACATTTACGTAGAATTACTAAGGTATTTTTATTACCAATCCCTAAAATCAATCATAATCTTATTGATAAAATTCGAAAATCACAAATAAGCAAATAAAATCCAAAATTACTTCGTCGACTGCAGGAATTAACAATACTTAAGTTAATCCCAATAGGTAGGTAATTATATTGAGATTAGATAGGAAAAACCAATCCGACTTTTCAATGCACTGATATTGTAATTAACACCGGATACTAGTACATTATTGCTGTTTTTAATTACAATTTCGGTAATATTAAAAAAAAATATTATATTTAAGGATTTGCAGTACCTTTTATACTGCACGGTTTAATTAGGTAATTTCCTTAGTAAAAATAAACCATTACAATACTTAATAATTGACTGCACGATTGGCGCGGTGGCTGGGCAACTGGCTGCCGTGCGACGTGTCGCGGGTTCGATTCCCGCACGGAACAGCACTTTGTGTGATCCACAAATTGTTGTTTCGGGTCTGGGTGTCATGTGTATGTGAAATTGTATGTTTGTAAACGCACCCACGACACAGGAGAAAATCCTAGTGTGGGGCAACGTTTTTATATTAAGAAAAAAAAAAAAAAAAAAAAAAAAAAATATATAAAACCATAAATATTTTGAAAACAATCACAGCCCCATTCAAAAATTTCACAATGTAGGTATTGGACGAATAATATGACATCACAACGTGCTTTTCCATCCATGGGAGGTATAAGACAGTAAGCATCTTGTGGCTGATGTACCTACTTGATATTAATGCTCAGATATGATCTATCTGATACATTATCACGATATACAATATGGAATAAGGTATCTCTATCCTCTGTTGTCTCTCCTATTACAGGGCACCGTCTTTGTTCGCAAGGCTGTGAAATTATTAATGTTTTTTTTATATCACAAGTAACCTGTTTCATCACTTCCTTAGGATCGATGTACGAGCTGAGAGCGGTGTACATAAGCGGTTGTGATCGTCGGATCCCATGTTATGTGACACTAGGACAAAACGTATCAGTCACCCTGAGTTTTCAAGCCGGTAAGTAACTTGTAACATAGGTATCACTTAGTTCCACCAAAACCAATTTATATTCTACGAGTAGCACAGCTGCCAATTTTGACGTGTAAACACCGTAACTGATCGGGCCAGTTCAACCTACATTTTTAATTTCGATACCTAAAGAAATTTACTAATTCTTACTTTTTGTCAAACTTAACCCAACTTTAGCCATGGTTAAGTCATGTTTGTAGAAGTAGGTGGTTAGCTATGAAATGTAATTGATAGTAATTATTTATTAAGGAAATTTTTTTTAAACAAACAATGATAATACCGTTATTCTTACAGAATTGTTATTCCGGAACATGGACCAACATGTATGGATGCACCTAAATCAAGTTTCCTCACAAGCTGCAGTTACTCCTGGTAAGTTCTGTTAACCGGCAGATTAAAAGTGAAGTATGAAGAAAAGAGCCTATGCTGCTATCGAGCTGGTCTCCACAATGTCTTATTTCGTATGAAAAAAAACATTAGGAATACCTTCGTCAACTTATCTTACAACTCATACGCTTTGTTCCCACATTGAATGGAAGAGTTTTAACTTATTTATTTAGACTTTAAGATTTAGTCGAAGTCCCCGTTTATGAGGTAGTCCACGACAGCGTACCTCGACAACGTTTTATTTTAAAAATAAATAAAATCATCAATAGGTAATGAACAAGAAGGACTTGTACCTCTTTGTTGCAGACCATAGACTCATTAATCTGAGTAGATTTTCTAATAAACGTAAGTACAAAATGTAGTTCTAATTTCTTAAATTATAACTGAGCTTCTACAAACATTGGAATATAAATATCAATGCATGTCAGGACTTAGAGATGCCCACTTGTTAACCATGTAGTGTCTATGCAAATACTTGTTACACTCTTTGGTACAAAATACATATTTTAAGTTACCCATAACAATGCTGTGGATACCACAAACTTCGTTGTATCTGTTCAAGAGTAGGTATCATGCTAGGTTCATCGGTATATTCAATCGATTAGCATTTTCCTTGTTTCTGAGAAATTACTGACGTTGTTATGATAATGTGAAGGCTATAAATAATTGTCTCCACAAGATTGCAATCGTGGAAACATCCAATCGCCATCTTATATTCCGGCACAGCTTACAAAATAGTTATGTACCTACCTAAGTAAAAAAAACTAATTTAAATACGTATAACGAACCTTGTGTAAAACATTCTTACACACAATAACATTATTAAATATGTACCTAAATATAGTAGGTATTAAAAACTAAAAAATATCTACGTTAGTTACAAGAACAATTAAGTATATTCAACTAAAAAAATGGGATACGAATCTTATATGTTTGTATGAATAAAAAACAGTCAAGAGTGAGTTGGACTAGTACTGAGATGAATATCTACTTCATAATACCATCATCTGCATGTAAGAAAGAGCAAATTGACGGTTGTTCCATGGCACCACTGATACACACCACATACCTAACTGTTGGACAGTCTGTTTATGAGACTCAGTGATAAGACCTTAATGTTTAGGACACGGATCTTGCATTCTGCAAGATCACGTATTTACTAAAAGTGCAAAGCAATTATCATATTGTTGATGTTTTAAATAATACGAATAGGTAAGTACATACATTATAGTTAAGAAGGTACTACGTACCTAGCTTTGGTATGTCAATAATTTGATTTTGTAAAATCGTAGACAATAAGGTAAAGTTGAGGAAGTTAGGTAATTATTAAGTACCTACTTATAAAGTTTCATCGTATCTTGTAGCTCACACGTCAGTTGTAGTGTAGCACACTACCTAATACACTAATCCGCTTGTATCGCTCATGTAGGTACCTCTGACTAGCAATGATACGTACGGAACCCAAGAGGTGTTATGAAGGCCCAGATATGCATCAGATAGATAATAATAATGTTTGTGATCAGGAAACTGAGCAACCAGTTGAATGATTTAGTTTTTGTTGTTAGTATCAAAGTCAAAATGCGCATTTTTGCACGTTCTTCAAGATAGAACGTGAAGATTTTTCTAGGTAGACCGAACGATGTCTGACGATCACTTATGAATTAACGAACTTGACTAGAATCCCAAGGCTAACGGAAAAATTGTTGATCACTGATTTGTAAAAACTTTATTTACGTATGCAAGACACGTTTTGGTATGATAGATAAGTAGGTATATTGATCAACTACTTCTTGTACATACACGATATAGGTATCAAGTTATAACAGAAATGACGCACGAAAATTGAGCGAGTGTTTTTTGTTGACGCATCTCTGTCCTCCCGTTCGGGAAGATCTTGCACACAGTTATGTCGGTACAAGTTACAACTATGGCCTACTATGAAGTGAACGCTTTTATAACGGCTTAGTAATAGTACAAATAGAGGTATATGTGGTGTAACAATCGCCGTAACCAATCCTAACGGTCATTTTCAATGACATAAAGACCTATTTATTACTTTTTGGTAGATTCACCTATGAAAGAAAATAAAATACTTCAAAAATTAGGAGTCTATAGTATGCGTTATGTAGGTTCCTACGTTCTAACAGCTTACTCCCACAGATAGTATGAATATGAAGTCTGTTCCACACTGTGCTACATACAAGTCCCAAGGACGCGGAACTTTATTTATTTTAAGGTTCGGCAAACGAGCATACGGATTACTCGATGGTAAGCATTTGCATGGTGCCGCTCATTGACACTCGCAATACCAAAGGAGTTACTAAAAGTTGAAGGATTAAGGATGGATGGGGGGAGAGGTGGGGAATCATTCCTAACATCTTTAGGCCTGTTGTTACGTACTTTTTAAGTTAATTTACTTATGTTTTGCTTCCTCAGAAACCTGCCAGCTGACGTACAATTGTCCAGTGGGTACTACGACGGACGCATTGACTTCATTCACAAGTGTGATGTCGGTGCCTAGAAACATTCCATCGGTAAATACTGAATAATGATTCCTATTTGCTTTGTCCTATAATATTTGTAACTTAAAAACTACTTAAATGTCTAAATATTGTTTTAAAAAAAATCTGGCAATTAATTCAATACCAAAATAAATATAACAAGAACTTAACATACCTATTGAAATATAGATAAGTACATATCAAACGGTATGTCAGTCAGTTTTCTAGTAAAGCTTGGGTAGGTAGTTCCAAGTCTAAATTTCTATGGAAAAGAACGAGTAAATAAGAGATGATTAGGTACTGTTTTTCAATAACTTCACAATCTAATTCTTTGTAACATCATTAAGTTGATTCCTTTCTGTAAGAATTGGGGTATATCAAGGTTGATCTAAAAAACCTAAAAAAGAAAATGATCTCTAGGAAAATATTTTTACAGTTTAAAACTGCCCAGTTCCAATTTGCGGCAGCCCTTCATATGCCCTTTACGAATTTGACACGTACAGTACCGACCAACTAAACCAAATTGTAGGGAATCGAGCGATCTAGTACCCGTGCCAATGAGACCTACGAGTGTGCATGACAATTCACATTAATATACATACACACAATAACATACGTAGTATGGTTGTATTATTGCATGAAATAGTTCAAGCAAGAATCCACTAAAACGTCAGTATTTTTAGTGTATAATATTATTCTGGGGATCAGCATGCCTCCAAGCATTTTTACCCTATATTTAGTTACATACAATATGGATCGGTTCGGTAAACAATGCTTTCCCGGTGGTTTTCTGTGACGCCGTGGTATCACTTCGGTTGAGCCGGACTAGGTATTCGTGCCGTAGCATAGCTCCCTAGGACATATCAACTTTTACCAAAAAATAATCTAAAGGCAAAGTTTAAATAATGGCTTTTTTGTGAGGGGAAAATCATCATATGACTTCTCCCGCCCAGGGCCGGGCGGGAGGGAGTGTCAGACTCTTACTGACTAAACACCCCCCTGTTCCTTCTCCTGCTCTGGGCCGAGGTAGCGGTGCCTCATTGCGCTTAACCCGCAACCCCGGCTGAACATTCCCTTTATAGCCCCGTCTGTGGTGGCCTATTGGCTCTATGAGGCGCGCGCGGAACGCTACGCGCCGTAAGTCTAAATAATGGCTGGCTTAATATTTTGACAGTTATGTCTGACAGACATACCTACTACGCCCTTCCAAATACCTGTATGTTATAAATAAAGATTGATCTCATTAAAGTTATTTCTGAGACATTCGCGACGACTAGAGTTAAAAATAACTTTGCCGAACATAAAGATAGACTCAATGTCAGCAACCTATCTTCCTGTTTCATAATAATCCACTTTCGCATGTTGTGAACTTCAGTTCTTCTCGTTTAACTTCTGTTGGGATTTGCCACCACTTAATGCATTCTGATTTATGCATGGTGTACCTCACAAAAACCTTATATTAGCCTCTCTTATATTAAATAAAATCATTTACGATTAATTACTACCTAAAGTGCACTTCAATACTCACTTATCTTATTTTTGAGGAAAACATTGGCATGGTGTAATGTTGTGAAATTTTTCAATAATTAAGTACTGAAATCAAAAATATTACAACGATATAATAAATAATGATGTTGAAAGAAATTTAATCTATACGTATAATCATTCTGTGAACATCAAATACAGACCGATCAATCTCTCAGAGTCTCAGTTGAAACTGCTCATTCCTAAGCGGGAATCCTTACATATAGTTAACAAGCGAGAACTATAGTGATATAGATACCTACTAATAAAGCGATTACTTTTCCAGAACCAGCGAGGTTACTTGCGTTGGCGCATAGAAAACGAAGAAGGTAAACAAGTGCTGTGTTATTACGTGACAGTGCAAACTCAAACTCTGGAAGAGCAATTAATGCGACAGCTCTTCAATTCCTATCAGTACGACACAGAGGGCGAACCATCTTCTGACAACGAAAAATCAATTATTCCGTGATTAATATTATATGATGCACTCGACACTGGCTGTAACGTCTACCAATAAATTGTTTGGTATACAAATCCACCTAATTAATATATTAAATAATAAAGTATTTTATGCCAAGATGAAATGCTAGAATTAGTACAAAGACTACAAAGCAACGAAACACATACAAAAGAGCCTCACTTGACCACTCTTCTCGCTTCTCGCCCTTATCATAAATGGTTGCTTCATCAACATTATTTGTCTAATCACGTAGTATAAAACTAAGTCACTTTCTCTGTCACTATATCCCTATGTATGCTTAAATATTTTAAATAACTTTAAAAATATTTTGAATAGATAAGAGTGATTGAAAAGGAAAGCAGTGCGGAGTCGGGGCGGGTCGCTAGTATTCTATATTTCTATAAGTGTACTACTTACCCTACTTTAGATAAGCTTGGCTAATGTAATGTATACCTTTACACAAGTACCTACGATTAAGCATCGGTCATCGGTCTTGATAGATTGATGACCGATCTTTGTACGTGATAAATACGGCTCTGCTAATCACTCTAGTTATCTGCTTCATAAGTACCTATTTACCGATGTATGATGTAAGTTTTAGTCTTTACAAGTTTATTTAGTTTTTCTTTTTTTTCATTTACTTAAGTTTAACTTAAATGGCCTAGCCCTCCGATATGTCTCCGATTTTGTTTATTTTTATTATTGTTAATAGTACAAAATATAAGATTTAAGGAGTTTTATTATAGCGGAGATCGCTTAGATATAGGTACTAAATATTATTTTCTGAAACTAAATTAGAATTTCCAGTTAAGTTACAGCCTATCCAATCGTTTATTCGTTCATTTTTTATGTATGTAAACTTCATACAAAAAAACTACATACCTACTGTATACATACCTAAATTTTATTTTTCTAAAGCGTTTTTAAATAATTTCTTAAATATAAAACAAATTATTTCATGTAGTCTAAACGGTCCATTCGATGTGTTTTTTACAATTAATTTAGCTACGTAGAAACCTGTAGAATAATTATATTTAATTGAATAAAGATACTGATTTTTTATTGCCATTTTATAAGGCTTTTTTATTTAAAACGCGAAACTACTTGATATTTTGGAACAACTGCTTTCTTGCAAAGGGAGAGTGAAACTTGAAGGCAAGCTAGTACGGCCAGTGAATCTTTGAGGAAATATTGAAATTTTTATTAGGTTTTACCAATGGATTCGTTAACTGGTTATTGTTGACCGGTACTCCGAAAAATAATAGAAACTACAACCTACCTGGCGAGACTAGACTTTGAAACAATAAGGGCTAAGATAATTAAACTAATTTTGAACTCAACACTCAATTGGGATTGGAACTAAGCTGGAGATAATACCTTTTTAGTAACTTTTGTCCAGTGCCATAGAGCAGAAGCGTGTGCGTTAACAATGGTTCTCTTTTTTTACTCGTTACTTTGTAAGATCCCATGGGTCCAACCCTAAGGGTTGGACCTCATCTGGCAGCACGGAATCGCATTTGTTCCGCCTGTGCTACCACGTGTTGCAGTATGCTGCCGCATGCGAACGCTCGCTATCGCATTCCGCAGACAAAAAAGGCGATCGCACAAAAAGGTAAAAGGTTACGTTAGCATGCTATCGCATGCTTCAGCGTTTCGGATCGCTTTATACTTTCTGTCTCAGTCTAGCAAATGGCAGTTTTAAGCGACAGAAAGGGAAAGGGTGACGGAAAAGGCGATTCCGTGCTGCCAGATGTGGTCCAACCCTTATGGGACAACACACACATGAAAATCAAGATAAAGACGACATCACGATCGTAATTAAAAGAAAAGTTATTATGAAGTACGTATAAAGGAAAATAATATCCATTTTAAATACTTATACTTAATAAGCAATAAATAAATGTAATTGCGTTTAATTTCACATATTTTACGACAGCTAATAAAATATAATGACATTATAGCATCACTCGGTTACAGTGGCAATCTAACGTGATTTAAGTGTATAATTACAACAAAGAAACAAGAATACCTAAGTTTTTAGGATAGTGTATCGAAAGGTTATCTAATGCAACCCCGCTGTTATTTACTTACATTAATTTCAACACCAACAATAATGTAAACAATAAAAAATAAAACAAGAAGCAGTTGATACCTAATTGTGTAATATTTGATAAATAAACTAATAATACCAAGTTAAAGCCGTACTACATTTAAAGATGAAATCAAAATTTTATTTAAGTATGTACCTATTTAGTATCTTAGAATATAATCCCATTGTTTGAGGGAGAAAAATCATCAAATATCTCCTCTAACCTTCGCCCTCCCGAGAAAAACGAGACTAAAACCACCTCGTTCCTTCGAACCCGCTCCAGGCCGGGGACACGATACCCTGTATTGTACTTGACGCGCAACTGCGCAAGTAATAAGTAAGAACAAACATCCCTATTTCTGCTAGTCAAACTCAATACATCAATTTGCTATCTGTTTTGTTCGCTACTATTGTATGTGTGACGTCATGTTTTTTGTACGGCTAATAGCAAACTTGTTTCTTACAAACGACTAGTAGATGCGAGCTGCTAATGCTACTACGCCGCCGCTTATGGTGGCTGGAGCTCCCCGACGACACCCGGATTTTTTTCACCTGCGGCGGCTTGGGTGCGAGGAGAATAGTTCCCTGACATGCACCGCCTCTTTTCTTTCGAGCATCACTACTTCATAAAGAGGACATCATTTTCCAGTTCCTCTCGCCTTGCTCCGCACTGTGACCTCGACTAAGGCTGGATGCGAGAGGTCACCGCGCCGCCGCTGTTGACGGATGCCCCCTGTATGCATAATCCAATACTAGTTGGTTGATTAGCATAAGCGCAACGTCAAAAGTAGAAAAGGCCTCGCTATAATCTATCGTAGAAATAATATCATTTATTTTTTGATATATTAAGTATATGACAAAACCCAATATTGCAATAATACGGTAGTTTCCAATTAGTCTAATTCAATACTTTTTTCCAAATGTCAAAAACGTCAATGTTCTATGAAATACTGAGTTATGACGTCATAGTATTTTACGACAAATAGTTTACTTATCCATACTAATATTATAAATGCGAAAGTAACTGTATGTCTGTCTGTCTTTTCTTTACGCCTAAATTTCTGAACTAATTTCTGTGAAATTTGGTTCAGACTTAGTTTGAAACTCGGGAAAGAACATAGAACTATTTCACGCGAACGGAGTCGCGGGCAAAAGCTAGTTTCTTAATAATTATCTAAAAATATCTATCTATAATTTAGTGTATCAATCGATCGATGAATGAAAGTATAGTTCTTTTTAAATAATTTATTGTATTGAAACGTCAAATTAATTTATTTTTAACCTAGGAAACTACCCAATTACTTGCAACATGGTACTAGGTACTAGCGTTTGCTGTTACATTCCGTACCTCCACCTTCCATAAAAAGTTAAAAAGATTACGCACGATATTATGTAATAACTTCTTACCTAAGTTTAACGTTTTAAGTTCATTGCTCCCAGAGTAAAAAGATAATACCTAAAAGTTATTGTCAACGAATCTTATTGCTTATTAAACTGACGAAGTATTTAGTTAATTTAAAAAAACATTACTTAATTTCATTAACTGAGATTGAGATGCTGTTTACCGTGACACAGCAAAGAAATAATCGTAGATAGTTAATTAAAACTAGTTACCTTATGTATTTATACAACGATACCTAGGTAAGTAGTGAATTTACTAAGCGATTCATTTTATGCATGAGATTCATGACTGCTGTCGTGCTTCTAAAGTTCTGTGCTAAAAAAACCAAAGACACGCAATATTTTTTTTTATATCTACCTATATTAAAAACGAATAAAAAGAACCAGCGTAGCTGTCACAATAATTTTGGTACCAGGGAAGTTGGTTTTTAGCATTGGGTTTCGTAGTGAAATGGCAACCCTTACAAATTCGTCATGTGTCTGTCAGCCTCTCCGTACCACAGTCACTTTTTGGCCAAACTATAATGTTAAAACTTGGTAATTAGTGTATTTTGTAAAGCGCATTAAAAAAAATCTTAGGGATACTTAGGGTGACTCATATTTTTCACATATAGGTAAGTAAGTATATGAACAGCTTGCCCTAGAGACGGTTTTGTTCAGAACGTTAAAAATAAGAAAATATGTATCCTAGATATACTATATGACATTATGTTAAATATAACAACTTCTATCGAAGATTAGGTTGAACGAGATGTAGTACCTACCTACTTGGTAGGTACGTGTTGTTAGGGAATCACGAGAGAGCCTGACTGGCAGTTAAACACTTTTTTAAAATAGTTTATTTAACTTTTTGCAACTCATACTTACGTGCAAGGTTAGGTAGGCTTAATGATTGCCACATGAATACTTGCTAGCCGAGCTTTAGGTGATGCAGTGAGAACATAGTGGGACGGTTCCTATCCTAGAAGATCTCGTTAACCTGAAAGTATTTTATGTCTCGGACTAAAGCAGGAGAAGGGACCGGGTGGTTTATAGTCAGTAAGAGTATGACACTCAACCCTTGCTTTATCCTGGGCGAGAAGATTTTTTTTTTATTTCCCACCTCAAAAAAACCTACTTCGGTACCTTAGTAATAAAATCATCGGACAAGTTCAGGTCACAAGTTCAGACATGTGTGACATCTCATAGTTATAATTATGTACCTACCTATATCATAAAATGTATAGAGGGTTAATATTGTGCTTTATATTCTCCGTGAATTCTGAGTTTGTAGATTGTCACAAAGAATTGTTGCGTACAGTAATCCGACCTGCGCCCGACGTTGCCGTCGCCCGGCAAAGACAACAGCAACCGAACTGACAAATTCTGAATGAATATTTTATCAGCAGTTAAATAAACAATAAATCAATGGGAAATAAATAAATCAAAATATCTGTTAGTAATAAATTAAATTATTCATAAGTAATCTATGCAAGTTGATTTCGAAACTAAAACTTGCTAACCTATAAAAAAACGCTATGATTTGGTGTAAATGTAGGTACAAATTTAAAAATATTAGGATTGACTACATTTCTACGAATCGAAACGGAACAATGCCCAATAACTCACTGGCGATATCGTAGTCAATTTATTGATTTCGAACAATACTTCGTACGTTATCCCTGTATCAGCCGCATATCTCATAAATTGTCTACGCGTAGTGGCAGTATATAGCAGCACGCGACCACCACCACTGCACATATTGGCACACTCGGTCGCAGTCAACTTGTTTCACTGTCCCACACGAGTCGCCGAGGAGTGCGCGTGGTTCCGCGGCGCAAGCGTTGCATTGTGTTCTCCTGCACGTATAAATTATACCTGCTCTCTGAGCGTGACCGTTGCGCTGCACCGTCAGACGCCGCGCTAGACCGCAACTCAATACCCATCGCCCGCGCCAGACGCAACAATGGTCCCTCTCCGAGCAGTCGTGTGCTTCGCCCTGCTCGCGGCCGCAGCCGCAACCGACGTCAAGCAATGTCCAGGTAATAATCACTATTTACATAAGAACTTAAAACACGACCCGCTTTCGTCTCGTTTCGCGTTCGCAGCAGAGAATATTGTTGTTATTTGCTAATACATGTTGCGTTGTGTTGTCCATGTTTATGACAATCCAGGTCAGTAAAACATAAAATTTCTAGTAAGGTATGTTGTGTTACCCTTCATTTTTTGTTTGTCTATGCATTTGTGTGAATTAACCTTTCAATTGTGGTAATTCGATTCGAGACAAATAGGTGCGCGAAAGCCGGTGGTCGCTTGGGTTTTGATGAATTAAAATAACGCATAAAGGATATTTTTGTTAATTTATGTCGGTTACCTACTTAACTACATAAACAAAAGAACAACGCGATGAATTAAGATAATTTATGCATAGAATAATTTAAGAAGATAATTATCAGCATGAATGAAGCTTATCCATAAAACACGAGATACATTAATTGTTCATGTTCATCTAGTATTCTGAGTTCTGAGCTGTTAGTTTTCTCATTTAGCTACGTACTACTTTGCTTCTACTATTTCCTTGGACTATGAAAATGGCATTGACGAAATGAGGGACTATATGAATTACCGTATTACCTATACACAGATACAGTAACGTAATATAATATTAATTAATTTACTTAGCAAGTTGTTTAAAACAATACCAAGGCAAATTAATATCATTTAATGACTATTAACTTAAACATATAAGGAGACGGAACAACTTATCCAGAATAAATAATATCAGTTCGACCTATGCCCTCGCTTTGTAATCCCAGGCAAGTAAATAGAAATCTAAACTGCATACTGATATTATTTAATTTATAATAAATAAAATATGTAGGCCTATACCAATGACAAGTGTACCTACATAATAATAAAATTTGCATATTATTTTGTAAAAATAAGGCATAGGTTATATAGGCATACGCAACTTTATTTATATACAAAAAACACATAAAAAGATAATTAATTAAAAAGCAATTTGAATTGAAAATTCCAAAACATATTAAATATCCATTTTTGTATATGGTAAACTGTGAGGACCGATGATTTACCTTATCTACCATTCGTATTTATTTCTAAAATTGCGAATACAATTTACATATTGTTTACACAATACCATTGGAAGTATGTAAATTATTGACATTTTCATCATCGCGATTTATTCCCCTCTGTACATATTTACTTACATAGTAAAAAATTCTGAAAATGAAGACTTGTCGATATGAATGTATTTATAGGTAGCATTTATTTACTTGAAAAGCTATGGCATTTAAAGTACATTGTGTCAATAACAATAGCATAATCAATCTAAGGAAAAATATATTTTACAGTGCAGCTATTTTGCCCGCGTCTTTGTGCAAAGTAAAATACTTGTTTCCATAAAAATAAGTATTAGCTAAAGGTAACAATTATCAGAATTAATTTAGTCGTTTCTTAGATTAGGTACAGCACACAAAGATTCAAACAGCAATCCTAAAAATACTTAGTATTTTGTATTCTATCGTATTGACAAAACCAGTAAAGTCTTAACTCATTTTGATACCTAATTACGCATGTATAAAATATGGTGTAACATCAATGTGGCTAATAACATAACTGACGTGAAGTAATATTGTTTTTTCTTATACCACTGACTCACTTATCAATACTTCGTGCTTGTTGTTGTTGGTAATCGCAATGACATCTTTAATATTCCTTATTTATCTTTGTGGTTCGGTAATTGATCAATAGTTGATCGTGTAATCATTCAACTTTTGCTGTCGGTATCGTCAAGCCGCGTTTAATTCCAAGTGAATATGATCAGACGATGTTAAACAAGTACCATAGCAACTCCTAACTAAATATAGAAACCCATTTCTAGATCCAAACGATATATTTTCTCCTAGTTAGATCTGCTACCTATAACATTTCTAACTAGGTAGTAACTAGCTAGACCTGACTAAAAGAAAATAACGACCAGACCGCAGTCTGTAGCAGTTAAACTCGCTTTTACCAGGTAGCTATTACATTTTATAGCTTCAAGAGAAGATAACCTAATAGGTTTTGCGTTCAGTGGAAGTAATAAAATTAAATTAAATTATCAGTATACAATGCAGCTATAGCTAAACATATGACTAAGGATTCCAATAAAAACTGGAATTTAAGTACCTCGTGCGAGTGAATATAGAATAGTTTAGTCGGATAGATATTTTTTTGCTTATGCATTGATTTTTATGAATTTATTTTTAACACAAGTTTGTAAGTAGGAACGCCTTAGGAACGATTAACATACATATTTAGGTCTACAGACCTCTCCCATTCTTGGTAGCTAAAAACCACATAGTTCTTCATCTCCTGCTCCGAACCGGGACGCGATACATTATTCCGTCAGCACCCGTAACCTCGGCCAGCGTTAGCGTCGACTCTAATATAGCTAATCTGTGGTGGACCTATACCTACCTACTAATTGGTAATGCTGACATTTCTCCAATCATGTCCGACTGCATCCAATCGCATTACAAAAGTGAGGAAACCGTACCTACATCTGCATGCATGCGCATGGTTGTACAGTAGACATCTTAATTATGAGTCCTTTTCTGTTCACTACTAGACATAGAATTCACTAATAAAACGCCACTGAACTCAATCCAACTTGCTAATACTATCACTCACCCACCCTACATCACACAGCCTACACGCGGTATCCACTTCAAAACCCATCATTGAGACTAGCTGCCGTGGTCGATCTGAAGGTAATTAGGTGGAGAATATGTTTAAACTCAAAATTGTTACGTTACTTAACAAGTGACTCAATACTTGCTATAATAAGAAAACAAACAGTTATGTTGTGAGAAACCCAAAAGTTAAGGTCGTGTGTTTGTGACCTTGTTTTATTTCGAAAGAAGTATTTCACAGAACCTATTAGGAGTTACAACCAATATTTTAGTTTAGTTCTCAATCTTAGTTCTTCACCCAACTTTAAAAATGGCTGACATGCAGCAGAGCAAATGCTTTCTGTATGCGTTAGTCACATACACGGGCACATTGTGTCGTGACTAGAATTTTGGTCAGTTTATATTATGATATGAATTTAAATGATTACAATTTAAATAAAACTCAGTGTTTAACACGCATGTCAGAATATAGATATCTGAACCACCTTTGTTATCTACGTCAATACGTATGAGGAAGCTTGATATTTACTTATTTAAATACAGCCACAGATGGTGCGAATGCTAAGATCTTAAGTATTTAATTCGATTAGCGAACAATTGTCATATTTGCCTCTGGGGATCGCATCAAGTTCCTCTGTGTTACGAGACTCGGCGAATGCGTGATGTCAAAGTCTGTTTGTCAGGTTCATGTTGCTAATTGTCCATGCTGCATGTAAGTGATTATCTGCTTACGTAATGTAAACGTTAAACACGTAAGTACCTACTCAAACATCTTGCGGAATAAAATATTGTTGACATTGTTATTGTTATAAAAAAAAACTAGTTTTTGTTCCGTTTGTAGTCAAACAAAGACTGGCAAACAAGCTCTAACTGCGAGGGTAACTAATTCTAATTAAATGGATAATGTACTTATTGTAGATTCGGTCAAAACAATAAAAAAGTTTTATGTTTAAGCTGTGGTTTTACTATCGATTTAACTATTTTATAACAATAATGTATAAATAAACGGGCAATTTTTATTCGTTATCTGTACCAATTCACAGCTTCGCAGCTCATTACCTATAATAGAATGGAACCTACATGGCCTCATATCCGCAAAACGCACCTATTGAGGGGCATACCTACATAGGTAGATACAAAGTTATTGTTGTATTACTAATTCTGTCCTGTCATCATTGGCAAGGACACTTCCGATGTAGGGATCCATTAAATGAGTAATCGAGGTGATACTTACCTGCTAAAATCTCCCGGCAATAAGTACGTAAGTACCTGTTAACTAGGTATTTGAACTGTTTCCGCAATTTGGACTCCATCCGCGATTTCCGCATAAAAAGCAAATGGCCGTTTCTATTTTTTAGGTTCTTACCTACAATGACAAAGGTCAGATTATAAAGTTTAAACTTTTATGTAAGTACTTAGGTAGATATAGGTATACATATAAACAGTGTGACTGAGTGGAGTTCTTTTTTATGGTACAATAGATATTTGTAGGTAAATATATGCCTTTATGCTTTCATCTGTTAGTCTTCATCTTACAAGAAACAACATATTTTTTATACTTATTAGTAGAATCAATCTCGAGGTTAGAGCGTTAGACCCTTCACTGCTTAGCACTCGTTAAAAGTGCAGTTGATTGCATACTGCAGTTAACTTGTTAGCCATGACCGTGGCTCCACAACCTTGTTTTAATTATCAACAACCGGAAAATCCGAAGAACTAAGCTTTTAATTAATACCTATACTCGTATAAAATCCAATTATAAAATAAAAATAATGATTTATGCATATATTAGCATGTCTGCATTTGATAATTCTAATAAGTATTAATTATTTATATACCTAATACTAATTTATTACTTTTTTCTTCAACGTTCACCTTGGATTATAAGCCTAAGATTTACTTGAATTTAGATAGATACCTAAATTAAATATTTAATTAATTATAGTGCACATTTAAAGGTCACCATAACTTATTTACCTAATATCGATATTATAATCATCTGAGTTTACGTAGGTAGGTACCTATGCATACTTATTTTTGGCTAAACAGGAAGTGGTCAAATTGTTATTTACTAATAACCATCTGACCACTTTATTAGTTAAAATAAGAGATAACATTAGAAAAATACTACATAAATAAAGGTATGGGTATGGCCGTAGGTATTAGGGTCTATTTTTTAGGTAAGGTAATGTCGCAGGGATATGATAAAAACAGGGATTTGGCCAAATCACGGAGGATGTTAAAATAACAACACGTTTTTATCATTTCCTTAAGCAAATCTAGTGATTTGAACAAATCCCTAAATTTATTTAGTGAAATGATAATAAAACCATGCTTCGGCACGAATGGGTCGGCTCGACCGGAGAGAGAGAGATACCACGGCCTCACAGAAAACCGGCATGAATCAACCACAGCATTGTGTTTCGCCGTGTGAGTGAGGTTACCGGAGGCCCAATCCTTCCCCTCCCCCAATCCCTCCTCAATCCCTAAATCTCCAAATCCCTAATCCCTAAAAGGTTGGCAACGCACTCGTAACTCCTCCGTTGCTGGTGTCCATGGGCGGCGCTGACTGCTTACCATCAGGTAATCCGTCTGCTCGTTTGCCGACCCATTAAAACGTCGCGCTCGCACTTGCTTGTCAGTGACCGCGCCTTAAACTTAACGTAGGTATGATTCGTTAAGTTATTCTACTCATATTTTTTTTAATAATGTTCTAGTGGTGATTTTTGAGATTAATATTGCATAGTGATACACCTGATTATTATAATTATGTAGGTAATCTTACAGAATAAACATTAAAAATATCACAAAAGTTATTTTTGTCATTTCACTGAACCAATTTATTGATTTGTTCAAATCACTAGATTTCTTTAGTGAGATTTGTCAAATCACCAGATTATCTTAGGGAAATAATAAAAACTTGTTGTTATTTTAATATCCTCCGTGATTTGATCAAATCCGTTAGGCTAAATCCCTGTTTTTACCAAATCCCTGCGACATAATATGTGCGAAATATATTATATTTCAACATAAACAAAACGTAGGTATCTCAAATCCAGGTATGTGGGTTTTTGTTGATAAAAACCACACGTTGAATATTTCATGTTGCATTCTAATATAATGTGGATTATTTATTTTTCAGAATGTCATATTTCTTATTAATATACTACCTATTGTTCATTGATTGTCAATTTATAACAATACCTACCTAATGATCTATGCTATTAAAATGTCATCAATATTGGAAAATATTTTTGTTTAATTAGATACTCGTCAACAAAGTTGTTTTCCACTATCCTAGGTAGACCTATAGTAACTTATCACATTAATTTAACGTTATTTACGACTTGCGACTTTATCCGCGTTGTAGGTATGTTGATAAAAGCAGCTTATGTAACACATAGGCTACTTTCCATCTAAGGTAGGTACCTATCACTTATTAAACCAAATTTCAACCAAATCAGTCCATCGTCTTTGCCTGAAAGAATAACAAACATAAATCAATACATTCTCACAAACTTACACATTTATTATATTAGTAGGATATAAAGCAATTAGGTGAATTAGGGTACGTCTCTTAAAAAAAACCTGTGTGATGTGATACGATATACCTTACCTACATGATATTAAAATTCGTCATTCGCCTTAAAATTATTTATGTACGCTACGTCCTTCGAGTTAAAAGTGACAAACCTACTTACTTGTAGTATCTATTACGTTATTTTTTTAATCTTGCTTAAATTTAAGACTAGTCGCAAATCATTAGCCTATAAGTGCCCACTGCTGAGCAAAGGCCTCTTGTCATACGGAGAAGGTTAGAACATTAATCACCACGTTTGCTCAATGCGGGTTGGTGATTTCAAAGTTATAATCAGAAATTGTAAGTCCAGGTTTCCTGACGATGCCTCCTGACTACCTTCACCGTATGAAAGAAAGAAAATAATTTATTTGGCATGAACAATTAGGGAAAAAAACAAAGATATTTACAATAATTACAATAAAAAAAGGTAAAAAACAAACTAATACAACAATGTTAGCTTAGGAACTAAAATAATATAAAAAAAAAGTGTAAAAAAAATAAGTGTAAGTGGTGCCTAAATAATCTTAGAAAGTACAGGTTTCGAAGCGGGCTCCTTAACCTCCGGGCCACCACGACATCTAGTCGTAAATACCCTGCTGATATTATAAGCCTTTGACTGCCGACAGAAAACTGTTGAAGGGAAATCCTACGCTAACGGAGGTCACCGGCGACCGCCATAGCATTTAACGTGATAACGCGAAAGTTTGTTTGATGTTATGATTTTGATGTAAATGGCACTCCTCAGGTAGATTTTAGTCTGGAATAAAGAACACTAGTTTTTCAGTCGTGTAACGCGGGCGAGACAACTAAAAAAACTCATTAGTTGATAATATTTTTTGTTGACCTAACTGCTACATATTAAAAATGAAGTACCTAGTTTTAATATTTTCTTTGTTATGGACCTTAGAATGTAAGTTGGCAGTTGGCACACAAAAAGCAGACAAATATTTACGTTGGCTGGTTCTAGGATTTTTATAAAAAGATAACTTAGTCGCACAACATATGTACATAAGCACGCTTTTTTCCTAGCGCGACCTATAACACCGAGTCGTAACAATTTTAAAGTTTTTAAATATGCGTTTTTTATTTTAATTAATAAGGTATTTGAGAACACTTTTTATTCCAGGTTTTGTTTTGCGCAATGATTTTTTACCTTCTTACGTACTTATAATGAAGGCAAAGTTGAATGTTTTGTGACACAATCACTTGGAGCGGAAAAATACTCTAAAACCTGAATTTATTTATAAATGATTTAAGAAATATTTATAACTACATTTCAATATCGATTACCTATTAAAGCTATAAATATTTCCATAATTTCCTTGTTTCGTAATTAAATAGTGTTTTGTTTTTGTATCCTCAGGAATGGACATCCCAGACTTGACTGAAAACGTTCAGCTGTCACCCTGCACTAAACCTCCCTGCCGACTTAAAAAAGGAAGCAATCAGTCCATCACCATCAAATTCACGCCAGGTAAATTTGGGCATTGTTTCACCAATCACATTTTGTTGAATTTTAGCTGACACTACAGTCATTTATATTCACTACAGTAGAGTTGTGTACCTAAATGAGGTTCCAAGGCGAGATCATATAATCCTACCATATCGCTTTCTTTTGAATACTTCGTTTATTATTTTCGCAAGTGACAGTCTCTAAAGTCATGTAGCACGTATATCCGCGACCACAGACCCAAAGGTATCAATTACCTTTTTTTATTTATTTTTTCCTAGAACGCTTTATACATTTTCCTCGTGCCATAAACATGTAAATTGAACTACTTATTCCTTGAACTTAAAACTCGTTACCTTCTTTTATTGCGATTTGTAATCATTGTATTGTTTCTTTTTAACTATAATTAAATATTTATTTAAACTCGTTATTCTAATGATGTACCTACTTATAAAAAATGTAAGTACTTGTGTACTTACCTATATTTTTGTCTTGTTAGTTAGTTACTGGTTGTTATCAAAATATTGAAAATGTAGTGTTTGCTTAATTGAATCAATGCTACATGCTCAGTTAAAAGCAACTTTTATACTTTTACAGACAAAGACCTCAGTGACGTGAAGACCGGCGTGACCGCGAATGTACAGGGCCTTGTAGTGCCGTTCGTAGGAGTGGACGGAAACTCCATCTGCGACAAAGTGTTCTTAGAGAATGGTGATAAAGCTAGCTGCCCTCTGAAATCAGGCACTACATACCTATACAAAGATAGTTTCCACATCTACGCTTTTTACCCTTCAATAGCAGTCAAGGTACACTGGGAACTGAAAAATGACAGTAAAGACATTACCTGTTTCGAAGTTGCCGCAAGAATTGTGTAAACTGCATAACTATAGTCCATAGCAAATAGTCGTCAGAACTAAAATAATCAAAATATTAAAGCCGTCGCTGAACGGCTGTTGTGAACACATCAAATGATTTAGGTATCTAATAAAGTATTTCTAGATACAATTACATAGTTATAAAACCTCCATATGTATTAGTCAAACTCACAAGAACAAAAATATTTGCAATATCCTGAGAGTAAGCATAGCACATTATTTCCTATAACGAAACCTATGCTGTGTTTCAGAATGAACTGACAAGATATATTTATATGTTTAGTATATGATCATAAAAAATAGTTTTAAGTTTATGTAGGTTAATGAGAAAAAGGTCTTGGAGAATATTTTTTACTGTGTTTCAAATGCCATTACAATTAATTAATTAAACTTTAAATGTTTTACAAACGTGTTTAATTTAATTTTAAATTAATTTATATAAACCATAAATAATTCCAGGTCGGCATAATAGTTTTGGTTCATTGTAATTCAATCAGTATGATTGTTTGACTACGTTAACGTAACTTAATTTTTCTTCCCAGCTGTAATCACTGCTGGTACTTCAAAACATATTAAGCTTTTTTTACCGTCCTTGAGATTCCAGTGGACTCTAAGGTTGACGGCGGGGTAGAAGGGCTGTACCGGGAACACGTTGGTGTAGACGTAGTCTTGGTCAGCAGGCAGGGGGCACGCCACGGCCTCTTGAGTGTCGGCGCGCTTCACGTTCCCGCACGCATCCGTCCCATCGACGCCAATGAATGGTAAAGGCACACCGGCGATGTTAGCGAAAACTTCGTTCGTAATCGACTTGACAACTTTTTCTGAAATTATACACATAGTGTGAGTCACTCGGTGAAATCAAATTGTTAAAGTTTACTCAGTTCTTCAGTGTGCCATGTGTCAAATATTTTTTTTATTAATATTTACTTTGATGCATAATCTATTATCGTCATAATAATCTGGATTCCGTGTACCACGTTCCACAACAATAACGGTTTTTAATGCGGGTTGCGCACCCGCATTATTTACTGTTTGTAAGTAGTTAGCGTAGTTAATGTAGGTAGTCAACGAAGATACAACGTTAAATATTAATATTGTTAAGTATTAGATATGTCCTAAAGGTTAACCTAGGTACAGTAACAGGTACAGTATGTATACGTCTAATAAGCTATAAATAATAATAATAATATTATAGGCTATAAGCCTATATCAAGTTTTAGATAGAAAGATATTACATTTCCATGTAAAATGTTGTCAAGACCATTTTTATAACCATATTATTATAGCTCGCACAGTCAGAAAGTAATCAGATCTCATATGCGAGTAAAAATAAAACCATGTCTTTAACCTCACACGCAATTCTTTATTGCAATTCGCCGGAAGTGTAATAGGGCTAGTCTTTTAAACTTTCGTTAGTTAGTAGACAGCAGTTCGTAGCGCGTAGTTCGTAGCGCGTAGTTCGTAGCGCGTAGTTTGTAGCGCGTAGTTCGTAGCGCGTAGTTCATAGCGCGTAGTTCGTAGATCGTAGTTCATAACGCATTGCAGCGTTTTCTGGCTATTTATCTGGTAGCTATGCCAACTTTACAATAGTTTTGGTAGTTACAAAATAACTAGACCACTCATTTCTGTGGGACCGACTAGCCAGTTGAGTTTATGGTTTGAACGTCAACGAGATATAGCAGGAAGACTACGTGCTACAAGCTTATCTAGTTCTCCACAACAAGGCTTGTTTAGTACTATACATTTAGAATTACAAAACTTGGCTGTACAAGTTATTTGATTAATTCATGGCAGTAAAAGCTTTTAATTATTTGGTCTTAGCAACATTTAACGTAAAAATGCGACTGATTATTATTGATTTTGTATAAAAAACAACACCTTTTTATAATTATTTATTGTGTTTTCGGCTTACTCACGTAATAATTTGACGAGATACTCGACTAGTTTCAAGCCATGCTAGAGGCATGAGCATCTCAACTAGTCGAGTATCTCGTCAAATTATTACGTGAGTAAGCCGAAAACATAATAAATAATTTAGAATGTCTCACGAAAGTAATAATTAAAACCTATTTATTTATCAGTAATTAATATTACTGTAGTAGGTTTGTAAAAGAACAAATTTATTTCTTGTACAGTTACATAACTTGTAAAACGTCCTAACAACAAAATTATTCAAGGTTGTGTGTTCGTTAACTACCTACCTCGCTTTATATTAATTATATAGTCTCTGGTTGACTCCATGCACTACCACTATGGCCGTAGGTAGCACCCGGGATCTTCTCAATGGAATATAATACATATTTACCCTGTTGTGTTACGTAGGTAATCTTAAACTTTAACTTAAATGTGCCCATTTGACAATGGGCACATTTAAGTGTGTTATTTGGAGCCGAGGGATAGATACATACATCGAATAACAATATTTTTATGTTTTTTTTTAAGGTTTTCCTCTCGTTCGTTGTTCGTTTTGAAAGTTGAAGCGAGGCTTTTTGATGGCTTACCGTTTACAAGGGATTCTAATTAATCGTTAGATCAGAGCGAAACCTAATTGTAAAATCCAGGTTATGATCGATGGCAAGAACTTGCCGTGGTGGAGGTAAAACCATGGTTCATGGCGGGACAAGACATAAAGTAGGTACGAACTTAGTATAACGAGCGAAATTAATAAACAAATTTAATCAACCACTGATTATGTGACGTCAGAAACTGTTCGGTAAGTAATTTGGGCCTTACCTACCTTGTATTAGAGTAACGACAACATGTATTGTAGTAAATAAAAGTCAATACTCACTTGGAGTAAATTTGAATACAACGGTGATGTTGGTGTTCTTCGGGAGTTTACAGCGAGTTTTGCCGCACGGCGTCACTTGGATCCTTTCCTGCAAATCCTCGAACGATTCTCCTGGAACAGGTGACGATATGTTTGTTGCAGACAATTTTGTGTTTGTCGATTTAATTAACTTCTCTTTACTTGCTACCTATACTAAAAAACGATGTTAGGTACTAATTTTTAGAAACAATTTAAAAAGATTACAATTTGAGCTAGTTATGTAGCTATGACTTCTAGGCAAACTGAGCATTGCTACTAACTTGAGGAAGAATATAAAAAATATTTATATTGAAGGTTTTTCTTTTATGTTTTTTAATAACTCGTGCTTCTAGTGAATTCGAACTCTAAATGCTAACTGCATTTTAATGAACTTGTATTTTCTAGTTAAAAATAAACTAGAATTAAAAGTAATGTAGCCTAGACAGTTGTTATTCTTAAATAGATTTTTGTAAAACAAACTTATTTTCAATATTTTGACTACCATATTCAAAATCTTTCGATTGTGTCCATTTTATGCACTGCGCTTCTAAGCATATTATTTTGTCAGAGACCACTACCTAATGTTCACCAAAACCTTTTTAGAGGTTAAAATGTCCTTAAAAACTCTTCAATAAAAATAATTAATTTAATAAAGGTTCCATCTGTTGGTTACACAAGATATAAAACCGGTCTTCTCTAGGTAGGTACATACGCAAGAGCAAACCATAACTTTACGTAATTACAATCTGTTTCAATCTTATTATGTTAGTGTGTCTCATACCCGGGCACTGTTCCGATGGTGTAACATGGCTGTACACTGCCGACAAAACTATCGCAAACACCACAGCAACGATCCACACTTTGAACATATTCTTCATTTTGAAGTTATACAGATAAATATAAACACAAAGATAAATTACGTAATTGTTAAAACGTTTTGTAAAAATGGTGAATAATATTAAAAAAGGTGCGAGTTATATCATAAGTATGCATCGAACGAGGACTTGAGGCAGTTATGAGCATAATATAACGAAGAACTGTTTATATACCTCAGTGTTCTTAAACAGCAGCGGTAACAAAAAAAATCATAAATATTTATAGATTTAAAACTTGTTTTATGAATACGCGCGCCGAGGTTGTTCCAGCCGATGCGACCAATGTCTTGAGGCTGCGGTGATGCAGCGCAGTGCAAAAGTTTATCCTACATATTCTGAGCCATCCAATCGTCAATCCTGGATGAATCCATCTAAATCGATAACTAACTAGCATTTCGAATATGTGATATCATACGGAAAGTTTGGTAGGTCGATTTCGATCTTGGTGTCCAGTCCGTCTAACCAGAGTAGCCCACTACGAAATGTTATAGTCTCCAAATATGAGCGCAAGGCCGGTGCACTTACTGAATCCAATACCCCTGTATTAGATTCACAGAGTTGGCTTCCAGGCCTCAGCCTGGAGCAGAATATGGAACGCGGTGATTTTTTGTCTGTAAGCGACTGATACCTACTCCTCGCCCCACTAAGGGCGAGGGGGAAGAGTAATTTGATAATTTTCTGCCACAAAAAGAGGTATGAAACACTGCCAAACTTCCTGACTCTGGGGCTTATCCCGGAGTCAGGAAGATAGGCAATGGTGATTTTGAAAAGAAAAAATATTATGTAGCACTTTTAGCCAAATACGGAATCGAACCTGTGTGACATGACCGTAATAAACGCATTAGAGCAATGACATATTTGGCAACCAGTGTAGGTATAAGTAGCATCGGTAAAGCAAAAGATTAAAAAAAGTACTTATTTTTCGGTATTTAGCGTCTGTTTCAGAACATTTAAAATCCTTATTCAGAGGATCCAGGTGCACACTAGGATTTATTTCGATTTCGATGTTTTAAAAAACCAAGTTGAATAATCCTTTTGCAGTTTGTGCTTAGTTCAACCAACATGCTGATTTTCGCAATTAACATACAGTAAAATAAACTATCAAGAATAAAATAGCTAGTATGATTCCAAAAAAACAGACAAAATCAAATAAAAATTCGAAAAAATACAAAATGTATAATTGCAATAAAACTATTTGAAATTCAAATGTAAAACTTAATGTTATGAGGCAGATTGAATACTTTTGTCATTTCAATAATAATTATACAATATTCATAACGTAATTCTAATTAAAATAAGTATAACAACTTCTACGACATCACTTCCACATTGAATAATATAAGTAGGTATTTATTATTACTTGAATACATGACTACCTTAATTATACAGTATAAATACATAACATATTACAGTCAATATTGAATCTAAGATTTTATGAAATAGCGATATGTATATCATACATATATATTTGCTAAATCTTTAAAAAAAGGTTGACACCAGTGTCCCTTTCAATGACAAGTTTACCTTGAACATACTTAGGTCAGCTAAGCCCAGGAACCAGTTATACTGTTTCTGAGCATTTGTTTTTATTTTTTTGTCTATTTTTTTTTAATATGCTGTAATAAAAGATTGCACAACGGGACCAAAGATAAAATAATCGGATTCGGTATACTTCTCGTTATCCTGTTCAATTTCAAAATCAAGACTGCACGGCTGGCGCGTTAGCTGAGCTACTGGCTGCCGCGCAACGTGTCGCGGGTTTGACTCTCGCACGGAATAACGTTTTGTGTGATCCACAAATTGTTGTTCCGGGTCTATGTGTTATGTGCATGTCAAATTGAATGTTTGTAAACACACCTACGACAGACGAGAAAATCTTAAGAGTGGGCAGTGACATTTAAAAAAAACAAACGGAAAGACTTAGGGTTGGGTGAATTCTATGTTAAATTCATATATTTATAAGCTAATCTATGGCCCAGGAGTTAAATTTAGTAGGTAGGTACTACCTAGTTGGTAGTCACCAAGTCAGTCAGTAATCAAACTTTGTTGATTAAAAAAATAGCTGATAATAATTATGAAAGTCTTGGTCCTAGTTCAGATAACAAAACATCTATCGAAAATATCAACACTAATATTATCATATTTATACAAAGCAGATCGGAGCCGACCTCAGTCGTGACCTTGATAACAAGTTAATTTAGCATGAAGCGAGATGTCTATCATAGTCCATACCTATTATAAACAACTTAATTATTTCTATTAATAACATTCCTTTGTTCCATCAACTGTACACAAATTAAAACTTTAGGTATTACAATAAAGACGACAATTTTTTTATAGTTAATTATCAGGAGACAAGTAGTTACTTAATTTATTGAATATAGCAACTTACATAGGTTTATTCACTGAGAAAAGCTTTACTAGTTTCAGGCGACGTCGCGCAGCAGATTGTCGACACCTCGCGAATGTCGCGACGTCGCCACGACCCACATGCTACCTTGACTTAAAATAAGTCAAACTTTTTAAAATAAATTTAGTTTTGATTTTACAGTAACTTCACCTCGAGCCTGATGTTACAATAATATCGGTATTAACATTAATCTACGTGACACTCTGATAAGGAAGCCATCAAAGAAGAAAAAATCGAATCATCGGTTGTAGTAGTTAATTCTCAATGCAAACAATAAAATTATTTGTCTGATGGTGTCAAGTTTTTAGATTAGTGTCAACATATCATTTTGATTAGCAGGCTAGCGAGAATCGTCGGCATTGTCTTCTGTTTTATGTACATACATTAATTTACAACCGGTTCTTACATACTCATATGTATGTACTAGTATGATGAACACAAGTAAGCATTGTTTTGACCGCTTCGCAATCTAGATCCGTAAAGTTGACATTAAACTATAATATAAATATGATTAATATCTAGTTATACTACTACAATAACATAATTAAATTTTATTGTTCTTTCTTTCCCTATACTGATTGATCATTAGACTTTAACTAGAATACATTACATGATTTTTCAGAGCTTATATAACAGAAGGTGTACCGGTTACTATCAAAACAAAAGCCAAGCTTTTATAGCATAATATTAATATATAATTCTTCTACTTTACAACAAAAATTTTGATAGAAATTAAAGTTTTACGAAAATATTATTTTCTCTGCTCTTATTTTAAAAAAAAGCACTTGTTATGTATTTCTGTGAATTACAAACGTGGAAGTGATTAAATAGAGTTATTTAAATGATGTAACTATGAGGATGAGGAATATAGTGAGATACATTTCATAGAGAGCTTTCTTAATACTTCATAAATAATAATTATATAAACAAATACTCTTTGTCATTTATGGTCTTATTTGTATTGTGACATTAGGTATACATTAATCTTATCAGGTCTTTTGTGCGGTCAATGATTTGTTGTTCCAAGCGTTATCAGGCGCCATGTGCGCCTCGTGACTCCAGAGCCCCATGCACAGATATTCTATTACAATTTCTACGTATTATATTACATTTATCCGGATTTTGTAGTATATGTCGCAGAACAATTGCGATTGAGAAGTACTATTACTTAACTCATTTGAAATAATGCCAGTTATGGCTATTTCAATCACGTTATTATGTTGGATTTAGCTACCTTTTTGTTTCTAACAGGCAGTATGCCTAAACAGAAGTAATAGTGAAATATACCACTCACTTTTCACCATTTATGTGGCTCAGGAACCGACATACGACCTCAAGCTAACTCTTACTTTATAATACTATTGGCATTTCATACATTTACAATTTGTAGAAAGTAATAAACTTCCTGTAACTATCTAGTAACAAAATAGTTGTGGCATTGTCATAACGATACAAAACAACGAACCTCATTAAGCATTGGTTCTAATAAAAAAACTATGTTCTCTTATTAATGAAATTCTAGTTGCATAATAAAATAGTATATGGTACATAAATAATAAGTAATATAAAACAAAACCCTGATATGTTTCATTGTATCCTTATCCGAGGTTATGGCGCTATCTGTCGGGCGATGGGTACAAAGTGCTGAATGTCTTCGTAGGAACTTTAAGGAAAGCTTCCTTCAAGTTGCCGCAGTTGGAGGAAGGCGCCTCGGTGAAATACTTGTCCATGTTAGTAAGTACATACTTCGAAGGATCCGTGCCGATCTCGTATTCCTCTACCGCACGATAGATTGCCTGGGACAATGGATATTTTATTAATGGTGTTGGCAGATTGCACTTATTTAAGAAGTAAAATGTTTTTCATTTACATAGATAAAAAAATTAACCTATTACGTTACGAAATCAATGAACCAAAGGTAGCCATATAGTGTCAAAAGTAGCTACATATATTTGTCGTAGCTAACTAGTTTAATTAGTCATTAAACCAAAGTCCTGAACGACTAGCTATTTGATTAAATGACCGAAAAAAATAATTTATTTTTGAAAATTGGCCATATGTCTGCACTTTTACACGTCAATATTATATCCAAGAAAAATAGATAGAGCCTGCTACTGACTACTCTGAGAAGAAATGCCGAAACAAATTCAAAGGTCAGTCTCTTTAAGGTCTAGCAAGAATATTTTAACAAAACTCACTTCATCCTTGAACTAATCCATTCAGTGATTCAACCATACAGCTAGTCATTCAGGCCATTTCTTGAATGACTAATAAGCATACGACATATTTACCGAAACAGATGAATCAATACATCATAGCAACTACAATATTTAATTGGCGTTTAAAAATTTAAGGACAACATTATAATATTATAACATAAGGAAAAATCATTTTTTTTAATAATAAAAAGCGACACGTATCCTTATGAAATGATGTGTAGATATTTTCATTATTCGAATAGCATATTCAATACATAGTCGAAGACACACAAATCTTGCTTTAAATAACACCTAGCCATACCCGCCATAATTCTAGACTCTAGAAGTTGAAACAATAACATAAAGAGAATCGAACTCGAGACGATCTCCTCCACCGTCAGCGCGTCGATTAAGGGTAGCTCGCCGCCCGACCAGAACCGGAGACGGAACGGGGGGGAGGAGGTAGGGGTTTAGTTAGTAATAGTCTGACACTACCTCTCGCCTTACCCAGGGCGGAAGAATTCATTTGGTGATTTTTCCCTCCTAGCAAAAAAAGCTACCTAATGCTGCGCACGCTTTAGTTTCTTCGGAGAAGCTTGAAGGCGAGAGCGCAGGGTCTTACTGGTCGTAGCATACCTAAGCTACCGAATGTTTAATTGCCTATTATTCATAAAGCCTTCCTCCATAAATAAACAATCTCACACAACAACATCACACATGCAAACAAGCTTATAATGGGCAACTGGCTGCCGCGCAATGAGTCGCGATTTCGATTCCCGCACGGAACAACTCTTCGTGTGATCCACAAATTGTTGTTCCGAGTCTGGGTGATATATGTTTGTGAAATTGTATATTTGTAAAGGCACTCACGACGCAGGATAAAATCCTAACGTCGGGCAACATAAAATAAAAATTATAATACTGGTATGTATAGATAAATGGAAGGTACCTGAAAAGCTGGTTGCTTATTGTTATGGAATGCTCTTCGACTGCCGTGCAGCAGGAAGATGCCGCGGTCGGTAGCGTCAGCGCAGGCGTCACCGTACATGCACTGGTCCGAGCGATAGTTGTAGCGACACGAAAACACGTGCACCGCACGCTCATGGTAATGAAATATGATATTTATTATGTCCTGCAAACAAACAAAAAATAATATATTTATATCCCTTTAAATGCAAAAAAAAAATATCTTTAAAGTGACGGCTAAAGTCAGGAAATGCCTATCCAAATATTAAGCATCTAACAGTAGAACAGATAATCATTTGGTACTTTTGGAAACCATTTTTTATAGGCTGAGCAACATCTCAGTGTTACAAGTGCTTTGCCGGCCTGTTGTGGCTAACTACAACTGAAGATGTGGTTTGAAGAATTGGGGATGTAGAGAGAAAGGATTATTGGGCCTCCAGAAACTTCACTAACATAGTGAAATACAAAACTTTTCTGTGTGGCAGTGGTATCACTCTGGTTGAGGCCAAAGGATGGCTCTCTCACACACACTTTTAATTAGATTAGAAAGGTAAACCCAAAACCAGAGTCTGTGATCTCTGGTTTCCATCATTGCTTATCATTAGGTGAGATAGTGGCTACAGGCCCATTGCAAATAATAAAAAATAAAACAAGATTTAAGTGAAATAAAATTGAAAAAGATAGGAACAGTGAATGTACCTGATCACCCCAGGGTATATAGAGCTTCCATTTCAACATGATAGGTGTGACATATTCCACCCAACCAAATGTTTGCATCCTCGTCAAGTTCATTAACATCACACCTGAGTTGAGGCCTGTAACAACATTTATATTATTTTGTATATATTTGTATTATTTTATGTATTATTTTATTAATATGGCATTGAATATAAAATCAAATCAAATATTTTATTAAATGTCTCAGAACATTTTAAAAATATGACATTGAATAAATCATTGTTTATTTTTGAATTTAATTTGGTAAATTTTATTGTTTTGGAAAGGACATTAATATTTGGTTTTATGCCCCAGCACACATATTTTTTTGTAAAATATTATTAATTAGACTTGAGTAGTTAACTTTAAAGTCCTATTGCAGTTGTCACTGATTTTAGTGTTGTTCACATATCTATTTAAATTAATCTAAAAAAATCATTTTTAAATACTACTTATTTAAAATATATAATAAAATAATATTTAATGATGTAACAATAGGAGCCAGCTAGTAGCCTAGACAGAACCCTCCTCACAATACTAGACTACCTTCTGTATCTTATTTAATATTCTGTTTATTGTGAGAAGATAACAATGTTTCTTACCAAATTTGCCATAAAATGGGTGTTTAGCAAATCGTGGATACCATGATACATTAGGATTGTCATCTTCAAGGGCCATTGCAGACATTTGTGAGGAATTGAACTTGTTGAAGAATTGCCAGAGCTCCTCCACAGGCCCCAGGAATAGTGTGTCTGTGTCCACATATATCATTGCATCTATGTGAGGTATTAGTTGCTGAAATTATTTTAAGAAAAACATTGTAGCTTCAAAGTAAATATAAAACTAAACTAATACTTAATATTCTAAGTAATTAATTATTGTCACAAAAAATATGTAAATTTTTCTTACAGGAATAAATAATCGTTGAGCAGCACATTTGCTAAACAGGTTCATCCAATCTTGCTCATGTTCTTGTGGAAAGCTTACTTTATGTAGCTCAAAATCCAGCTGATTATTTGTAATATGCTTCCATATTGTTAAAGTTTCATTGAACTTTGGTCTTAAATTGTCATCAGCGAATATAACGAAGTGCACGTGAACTCTTGTAAACAGTAACACGGACTTAACCACATTCAAAGATTCGTTAAATCTCGAGTCACATACGACAAAAGATAGAACTACTCTTTCTATTTGTAAAGGTTCCTTACTAATAACAGCCCTAAAAATTAAAAAATAGAAACATAAAGTGATTGATTAACATTATTTTTAGATACATAAAGATTAAATATCATAAACTTACTTGAAAGGCACAGGCCGCTCATCAACTGCATATTTACTACTTTTGCTAACTTTTGAATATAAATATAAAATAGTAAACGTACTCAAAAACATAAAAATCATAAACTTAAGTGAGAACCTTTTCATATTTTTTATTTTATCTAAAAATCATTTATAAATTTAGAACAAAACATACTTTTATTAAACTTCATTGACAATAACAATAATAAAGTGTAATTGTGCCAATGTTGGCAGTAGCATTTATCTGTCAAACGTTTGTTTTTTTTGAAAAGAAGACCATGTCTTTTGAGTATATCAACCACTGAGCGCAGTAACTTTCAAATAAGCGCGTGATTTTTTTTTACTTTTTTAGCTAAGCATGAATTAATATTAGGAGGAGACAAATGTAAGTTTAGGACTTCAACACGATACCGATGTTCTCGGGAAACCGTCCAACGCCTTACGCCGGTAAAAGTCTGACAATCACCTGTAAGTTTTCCAGATAACATGGCTCCATCGCGATGGAGTAAAGAAATACGGTGGTTTCTTAAATAACATTTTAAAGGTTTGTACAGTGCGGCCGATGTATCTTGGCGAGTCTGAAGTTAGCCGATTAGCTGCGCAGTACACAATTTTGTTCCTAAAAGATCCATTGCAGTAAGTATTTATCAACGAAATCGATTTTTATGAAATTTATTTAGCTGTAGAATCTTACTCACAATTCTGATATTTTTTACTGTTCTTGATTTATTCAAGCAAAACGGTGTACCTACTTGTCTAAACATTTATTCTATATTCTAGGTTTTTTCATAAGATAGGTATTTTGTATTGGCTTTAGAATAGTCAGATTATGTTTTGTGCCATTGCTTTATACGCGTGTGTAAGCATACATCTTTTAATAAATATTTTGTGTTCAAGTCAGCTTGCTTTTATCATTTCACCTGTTCATGTTGTCGAAAATACTTATTAAATTATTTCATAATAATATTATATTATTTCATTGAGATAGAAAATGTATTATTTTAATTAATATTCATTGTCTATGATTCAATTGACAAAATATTTATATTGACAATTAAATCAGCTGTGTCAGTCTGTCAATCATATTGTCAATATTGCTCTGTTGTTGACTGTTGACTGCATGCCAAAGAGTGCTGCATGCTATATTTTAAGCAATCAAACATTATAAATTCGCCATTTTTTTTACGATGAGTGTAAAAATTGAAGAACAATTGAAAGAAAAAATATTAAACTTCGCTAAGAAAAATCCGAAAGGAATTTCGCACAATGATATAACAGCAGCAATCCCAGAAGTATCCTCGGCTGAACTGGTACCGGTCATCAATGAGCTGTTACAGCAAGAATATTTTGATTTGTTCAAGCAAAACGGTGTACTTGTCTATAAGTAAGTTACTTCTACATTTAGATATGTCGTGTTGTCCTTAGTGAACGACGCATAGCTTTATTCTTAAAACAAAAATCGTTAGTATGGTACTTGTTCTAGGTTAAAAGCTCAAACAAGCAAGCAAGCAGTGAAAGGGGCTGACAATGAAGAAAAGGTTGTTTATAATCTCATTGAAGAAGCTGGAAACAAAGGTATATGGATACGGGACATCAGGGTTAGATCTAATCTAGCAAACACACAACTGACAAAAGTATTGAAGAATCTTGAAAGTAAAAAAGTCATTAAAGCTGTTAAATGTGTAAATGTAAGTTGATTTAAATTGATAATAATAGGCTAATGTGAATTAAAAGAAATATAAACATACCCTCTCATAATCTGATAAAATATACATTCTCATTGTTACAGGCTTCTAAAAAAAAAGTGTACATGCTTTACAATTTGGAACCTGACAGGTCGATATCTGGAGGAGCATGGTATCAAGACCAAGACTTTGAATCTGAGTTTGTTGACATACTTAATGTTCAATGTCACAGATTTCTTAGCCAGAGAGCTGAAAAAATTAAAAATAATCCACGAGGACCAATTGTAGGCCGCACACAGTCTTATGCCACAGCTAACGAAGTTCAAAAATATATTACAGATTTAGGAATAAGCAAAGTTAGTCATTTATTTTTTATTTTATTTATTTTATATCTAAACTAAAAACATATATAAGATAATATTGTCAATATGTATATAAACTATATAATAATGCAATACTGTAATACATTCAATGCATTTTATATAATGGTTAAAATGCATATAAGTTTGCTTTTAAGACAGATAATAAATTAATCTTATACAAATTTGGCCTATCCTGTAGCTATTTTAGGAGCACTGTAAAAGTGAGTGTAACTAATTAAGTACCTAATTGAAGAAAAATAATTTTAAACTACATTTTTCATTCCTTATTTATCATGAAGTGAAATCATGCAACAAGATTAGATAATCTAAGCTAAGCTAGAGATATAATTTTGTATTTGCATTTAGTTTGTATGACCATAAATGATTTACTGCATGACTACTCCTAATCCATAAATATATTTAATGTTTTGTCATAGGACTTATTCATACAGGCTTGTTTTTTTAGTCTTTCCAATTGTTTCCTTTTGAATTTAAATATGTGCCCTGTTGGTTTCAGGTTGAACTTGATGTAGAAGATGTTATTACAATTCTGAATACATTGGTCTATGATGGTAAGGCAGAAAGCAGTGTTTATCCTGATGGCAGCAAGGTATATCGAGCCATAGACCCCCTTATACCTGCACCAGGATTAGTCCAAGTGCCGTGTGGAGTGTGTCCGCTAATCTATAAATGTGATTCCACTGGATTGGTGACGCCGCAAGCCTGCACTTATATGAAAGAGTGGCTAGAATAATAAAATATATATGGATATTCTGTGCTTATTTATTCTCTAATGTCTACTACTTTATAAGTTATTAACATTAACATATTCATGTACTTATACTTAAACTGCACCATCAATACAAAGCAATCTAACTATCTATTATATACAAAAACGTAAATAAAAGCATTAACACATTGATTACATATGAACAAATCATTATGTATTTAGGTAAAAGCAAAATCATTGTTTAAAAAACAATATGAAAAATAAATACCTTGATGAGCAAGTGATCTATGTAACATTTTCGTTTGTTTTATGAGTGAGGTTATTGAAGTTCTTCTAGACCAAATTAATTAGAGAAAATTCTGCAAAATCCTTTGACAAAAACACAATACATGTGAATATACACACCTACTAAATTTTGAGAAAAATGTTACTTGAATCACTAGTTCTCTAAGATATCCTAAACAAAAATAAATCATTTACAAAACAGGTAACAATGGCTACTACTTAGTTAAATCCATTTTCGAGACTGCAATGCAGCAACATAATATACACTTATCACAGGTTTTTTAAAACAAACTTCTAAAATTATTTTCAATATTATGCAATGCTGAGGAAAGTATTGCAGGTTCCCTCTTAGGAATAAATGCTTTTTCTTCAATAGCTGTCTGCTCTTCCTCAATTACAACTTTAGTATTGTTATTGGGAAATAGAGAACTGAAGGCATCCATTTGGATATAGTTAAGGGATTGCAGAATCAATCCATTGTTGGGATATGGAGTAGCAGTAATAATGGATTGTTTGTTGTGATCTTGATTATTATTAACATTCTTTGGTGAATCAGGCTTGGGTGCTTCTGAGGTAGGAGGTGGTGGAGGCACAATAGATGGAGGTTCCTTTAATACTGGAGGAGGAACTGTGGGTTTCTCTCCACCTGAAAGTAAAATTATGCATCAGTTTTCCATGGACACATTAGAATAAACTAAATTAAACACTCATATCAAAACACATACTTATTGAATAAATAATCCTCTCCATTTCTCTAAGCTGTGTTTGTTGCCTCTGGACAGTAAAGTAGAGATCAGTAATAGTGTCAGAAATATGTTTCATTTCCTGCTCCTTCTTAGCTTCTTTTGCAGCTTCCTTATTACTTTGCCTGTTAAAAGGTTAAATCATCATAAAGGTATATATTTTTTTATTCTAATTTAAACAAATTTTCTTTCCATGTTATTTTTTTTAATTTAGAGCTGCATGTTTCAAAATATGATAAATTTTATTACCTGTTGTATTCGAGTAACAAAATAGTTGCTCCAATGGTAAAAATCAAAGTTTCACCAAGAAGATTAGCTCCTAGTTCTATAGCCATTTCTTGACTGAGCACTGGTATATTAACAGGCCTACCCAAATTTAAAATCCACATTTTAGCCTTTACTTCACACCAATTGTAGACTGAAAAAGAAATCTATTTAAGACAAATGCAACAACAACTACTTCAGAATTTTGCAATACATAATGTTTTTACTTATGACCAAGCAAGAAATGAGCAATTCTTCTACATTCGTATATATTGACATGGTGCTGAAAATAGCTCCAATAAATTTGTGGTTGGGACATAACAAAACAATAAAGATTTCATTATCAGAAAAAAAAATACCAAGCTGAACTTGGTCATCCGGGTGCTTGTTCTAATAGTTGAAATTAATAACAGTGATTTCAATTCAAAAATTTTCAACACACTAGATGTATCAATTTTTTCTCTGTAGTCTAGATTGATCTCGACAATTTTCAGATTTAAAATTGGACCGTGTTGTGCCAAATCATACCAATCCACAATTTCGTCAAAATTGAGTTATATACATCATCCAACGTAAAATCACCTCTAAATTCATGTGGCTAAGTTTGATTTCAATCTGACACATATAGCTGAAGTTATTAAAAAATAAAAGGTATCTGGAACCAACCCACAATATGAATAAACATTTTTTTTTTGGTCAATTCAAGACATGCCGTTTGGAACTCGCCTTAAGCTGTAAGCGATATTGCTTGAATGTACCAAAATGACTTGGTATATTAGCAAACTGCAAACGATATTGGTTAAACATACCAAAAGCACTTGGTATATGTTGTCCTAAGCGTAAACAATATTGCTTGAATGTACCAAAAGCACTTGGTATATTAGCAAACTGCAAACGATATTGGTTAAACATACCAAATGAGCGAATTGGTTCAATTGTGCGAAACTCAACGATCTCCGGTCCATGGAGCATCTTATTCCCGCTGACTGTCGTGCTTTTTACGAGAATTTACGAGGCAACGATCAAATTCTAGATGATTTGGATGGGTACGGGACTATACCCGACTTTGAATTAGAAGAGACATAGTTTATTTAAGATTAAGTTCATTTCTTTTAGTAAATACTGTTTGTACTGTGTTACCTTAAGCAGTTTTTTTAAATAATATTGTACTTTTTGTATTGTTCAATAGAATATCATCTATACCTACTCTAGTCGAGGAGCCATGAACCACAAGAATGATCTTGTTGTTCATAATTTTGTATGAATATAATAACATAATAAATGACATTCTTTTTATTATTTTCCATAAATGGTTTATTTATTTAGTACTTAGGTGGATTGTAAACCCCAAAATATTAAAAAAAAAAAGATACAAAAGAAAATGTTATTGGTACATTTTGGACTTATTTATTAATTGTCATTAGTATGAGAAATCCTATTATGTCAAAATATACCAAGTGAGAAAATACACTTTTCTTTTTTTTTACTTTAAATTATTGATTGTTTGTATCTTAATCTAAAACAGAACTTCCATATCTTCATACTGATATATATTTTGGAGAGTTATTTAAATAAAAAACAATAGTTATCTCATGTCAAACTTAAAACTTAAATATCTCAGAATAAGGTTGATGTGGATTGGTATGATTTGGCACAACACGGTCCAATTGTAGTTACCTATAATGGAAGAATTCTTTTACAGCAAAAGTGTCAATTTAAGATAAGCAAATTTAAAAGTAAATGCAATACAAAATGTTTTCATTAAACCCAGAGGTTGAACCTCAATAAAAAATATGAATAAGTAGATGGGGGTTCGAAGGTATAGTAATGATAATAGTAACTTTTGGGTTATTCGATATTTTCCTCTTTATTTTTGGTTGTTACGACATCAAGCTGAAACCTACTAAGTTTCGACCTATTGATCTTCTGGTTGTAACTCATATAGTTAGACTAAAATGATAAAGTATTAATACATAATTGACACTCACATTGAGCTGGAGGCATACAAACATAAGTCCGGAAAAACGGGTTATGTTTAGCTCTTTCTTTGCAAGCATTTGCGATGGGTTTACTTATCTGTTTTATTAGCAAAGCTCCTAACTTTGCTATAGGAAATGCACCTACAACCATTGTTGTACTAAAAAGATCTGCTGTGTTTACTAAAGTGGCGAAATGATGCAAATTTTATTTTTATAGTATTATACAAGGTTATCAGTATTGTATTGACTAATTACTATTTTTGACATATCTCACACAGGGTTGCCGTGTAAAAGTTAGGAAAAAACTTTATCTATTACCTTTAAGCTCGCACCATTGTCAACACAGATTTTCAAGCCTGTGTGTAACTTAAGCAAATCAAAATAGCGTGTTGACAAATAATTATATTTTTTAGCACCGGGCTCGAATATTTTTTGTGTCTAACAATTTAAATAGCATATATTAACTGTTTGTCTAATTAAATAGCCATCATAGAGTATGTAAAATAGCCGTCACCTACACTGTACTGGAATTGGGGATTCCCCAATACTGAGAGCATATTACGTGAAAATTATGCAGTAATTTTTCGACGCATATCTTTATTAAAAAAAAGCAAGTCTGCACTGTGTCGCAGGTTCGATACCCACACGGAACAACTCTTTGTGTAAACCGCAAATCGTTGTTCCGGGTCTGGGTTTGATGTGTATAATTGTAAACACAGGAGAAAATGCTAGTGTGGTAGGTTTGATTGTGTGTATAACCCGGGTGTATCAGAGTATAAAAAGATCTCTAATCGCGAACGCTGCGAAAAGTATTGAAGATATAACAAAGTGATGCTTGAAAAGCCATAAATTATTTAAATTTTATTATCGATCGCAAAACTCCCCATGGACACGCGTAACTATGGATTCAAAAGAAAATGTTGCCCCATTTAGGATTTTCTCCTGTGTCATGTCATGGGTGTCTTTACAAACATACACTGATTGATTGGGTGATTTTTGGATATGAAGAAGGGGTGGTCTTGCCATCTGGTGACCATACTTACAAGGGCTAGGCGCAATGCATTTGTTGCTTCAAAGATGAATGAGAAGAGGGCAGCTAAGGCATAAAAACAATCAGATTGAAGTCATATAATAATATTTATTTTTTAAATTAAATATCCATTTTATACTGTGTTATACTAGATTTTTCTGGAAAACTGGTGCGTAGTATAAACATGTTATTAACTTCTGGTGTTGAATCCAAAGTTTCCAAGTACCCAAACCAGTATATTACTAAGCCTGGCCCAAATCTATTCCAGTAGCAAGTTAGTTGTTCCTTTAAATATCCAGAGTGATTTTCTTCATCTCCAAACAGAGCTTTACTCTCTATCCAGTTTACAATAAAACCATCAACAGCAATGGGTACATCCAACTTAAAATCTGGAGTTTTGTCATATCCACGAGATCTAAGAACACTTTCATCAGAAAATGTAATATTCATAAGCCTTAATTCCCTTTCTAATCTCAGCTCATATTCCAATCCAATTGACCTAGAACATTTAATAATTTAAATTTTTTCTTTAATTATGTCATATTTATAAAAATAAATCCCAATTTTAATTGGTCATAGCATCTTAGCCATGAACAGCTTAATTGGAATAGATCTTTTCATGCTGTGTTTACCAAGATCAGGAAAAGGCTGTTATCTAAGGAAAATAGAGGGAAAAATCGGGGGATAGACATTTTTAAGAACTTATAGTGGGTTGCTAACTTAGCAAATCAGGAACAGGTTACATGTTTAAAATATCTACAAAAATCTTACTGTTTGATTATATCTGCATAGGGTCCATATTGGTTGTCATTCATTATTCCCTGTAAAAATATTAATAAATTTAGAAGCTGGAAGAGAATTTCATAACTGAATTTGACATTTTTACTACAACCATTTGACTTGTAATATAGGAATCATACCATAAAGACTTGGTAAGCTAAGTCTTTCTCTTCTATTAGAGTTGTATCTTTGATGCATTTCTTTGCTAAAGATGAGTCAGAATATACACCTTGTAAGAGTGATCTTGCAAACAATGCTGGACTTATACCTTGACAGTCTGAGAGCCTGTTAATAAACAATCATTAACAATATATTTATCTAAAATATGTAGCCAGAGAAGACCAACATACCTTTACAAATAATTCATAAAAAAAGATTGACTTTAATAAACTTACTGCAAAATAACATTTTCTTTACTTTTGTCTCGCATTAGTCCCTCATAAAATTCATGGTATTTACTGGATATTTGTGGAGATTTTCTGTAGCTGTGTTTCATTGATCTCTGAACTAATGACGATATAATGCTACCCAAAGTAGTCTGTGGTAAACTGAAAATCAATAAAAGTTAAGCCAGATGGAACAAATTTATTGTGTGAATAGATTGATCCTGAAACATTTACTAACTGTTTATATTTCTTCTTCAATTCATTTTCAGATTTTCGGCTATATGATGTTAGCTTATTAAAATCGTTAAGAATTGCGTTATATTCATCAATTTTCATTACATTATTTAATTTAGTTTCAGTCATTGTTTATAGTTAAGTAAACAATTTGGAAACTATCAGACTTGAATTGACACTGTCTTTATATTATGCCGGAATGATATAACAGATATTATTTAATAATTATAGCACTGTAAAGCACAACATAGTCATAATGAATCAGTATATTCAATGTACTCTGTGATAATGAACATTTAGTCAACCCGCAACCGTGATAATAACAATTAACTCATGTTGTTGACACTTGTCACTTGACATTGACATTAGTCATCTTGACATTGCAGTAGTTCAGTTAGGTGGTATAGTCTGTGCACAGTGTACCAGAGACTACCTACCATAAACTATAGTAGTGACCAACATTTATTTTTTGAATATGAATAGGCTATGAAATAGTAAAAATCGATGTGACATGACATATTTGTTGTCAATGTCACTGTGTGTCTGTGTGGTTTGTCGTGTGTTTTTCTTTATCCTTAATGTTTTTGTTCTTAACATTGAAATTGCATTTATTTTATCGATAAATTGATACCTATTTTCCATACATGATGAACAGCCCAGTGCAACAATTGTAGACTGAAAGGATATTAGAACGTGAAGTAATATTATGGGGACACAACCTTATAAACACATAGACATAACGAACTGCTGACCAGTCGACAAATATTGGGTTTTAATTCCAACAGTAAACAGTAAGTACAATGCTGTAATATAATGAACGGGTCTAGTAGCATTGTTACTCACAACTCGGAGCAACATCCATCTGATAATGGAATCACGCAAAATGCATCAGCGATAAATATCGATAAAAATAAAAGCGGAGCTACAAGTTCAAATGGAGGCACTGAGGAACTACTCGACCTCAAAGGTAAGGTTGAGTCCCGTCTCTTATCCATGTGGAATAACGTGAAGTTTGGATGGACTGTGAAATTGAAAACCAGCTTTTCAAAAGAATCGCCTGTATGGCTTCTGGGCAGATGCTATCATCGAAAACTTAGTCCGACTGGATCATTAGAATCATCTACTGAAATTGGTATGGAAGCAACAGCTAATCAGCCAATTGAACAGATATATGGAGAGGGCATAGAAGGCTTCAAATCAGATTTTATTAGCAAAATATGGATGACTTATAGAAGGGAATTCCCCACCATGTCAGGCTCCTCATTCACCACAGACTGTGGCTGGGGATGCATGCTACGAAGTGGACAGATGTTGTTAGCCCAAGCTCTAGTGAGTCATTTTCTTGGTCGTTCTTGGAGGTGGTATCCTGAAAGGGCTATACAAAATGCCAGGGAATTTCAAGAAGATTGTTTACACCGCATGATAATCAAATGGTTTGGTGACAAATCATCAGTCAACAGTCCTCTATCTATTCATCAGATGGTGAGTTTAGGAGAGGCATTAGGAAAGAAACCAGGAGACTGGTATGGCCCTGCATCAGTTGCTCACTGCTTGAAAGCAGTTATGACAGCTGCTTCAAAAGAAAATTATGAATTTGATAATTTGGAAGTTTATGTTGCTCAAGATTCAACTATATATATTCAAGATGTTTATACACTTTGTCGTCTACCAAATGGTTCTTGGAAATCCCTTATTTTGTTAGTACCTGTAAAATTGGGGTCTGATAAATTTAACCCCATTTATGGCCCCTGCCTTACATCATTACTTACATTAGATTTTTGTATAGGAATTATTGGGGGACGACCCAAACATTCATTGTATTTTGTGGGATACCAAGATGACAGATTAATTCACTTGGACCCTCATTATTGTCAAGAAATGGTAGATGTTTGGCAACCTAACTTTTCTTTACAGTCATTTCATTGTAGATCACCAAGAAAAATGCCGCTAAGTAAAATGGACCCTTCTTGCTGCATAGGGTTCTACCTGGCAACACAAAATGATTTGGAAACATTTATCAATGTTATACAATCATTCCTAGTCCCCCAGGGAGTGTCTGCTAACTTTGAATATCCTATTTTCACTGTGAACAGTGGGTCGTGTAGTAATGTTATGAACTTTCCTAATATTAGGAACTCTATTTATGAAACAGAGCAAAACTGGGTAACACCAAATATCCAAGACAGTGATACAGACATTGAATCAGAGGAATTTGTGTTAGTGTGAATGGAAATAAATCAAAATCATCAATGTATTGCATTACCAAAAATGTATGTACTTTGTATAAGTAGCTACTTAAAGATCATCACACAAATTGTTAATGTTGCTTAGAACATTGTATAATAAATCACTATTAGGGTTCTCATATTGTTTTACCTACAGATATAATAAATGTGAAATGAAAATAAGCATCCTTTATGTACCATGTATATTATAAAAGACAAGAAATTCAGCTTAAATTGAATGATAATATTAGTAGTGTTTCATGATAAATTATAAAAACTTGTTCATAGGAAATTATGGCCTGGGGAATGTATGTATAAATGTGTAAAAACTTACCCATAATGCTATGTACAGCTAATTTAGTTAGTATAATTTGCAAACTTGATGCAAAAATTTATTGCATTTCAATAAAAGGGAATAATAAAAATTCATTATTTTATTTTACACAGTTTTTTATTTATGAACTTGACGGACAATTATAATTATTATAAATACATATTTTTTTTTTATATACTGCAAGCAAGTGAGAATGAAAGGAACATAATAATATTAATATTCTAAACAAAATGTTGCAAAGGAAATGTGGAATACTTACACTGTTATTAAAATATTCAGATATCTTATTTAGATTTTGCTTATAAAAGTAGCAGTACAGTACAGAAAAATGTGAAGTGCATTTGTTTCAATTGGGTGTAAAATTTTATAACATTTAACAATAATGTTAGATAAATACTTATTTACTTGAATGTAATAAAATAATAATATTTTTACCTTATGAAACAAACACATTTTGGGTAATAATTGGAAAACTAATTAAAATATCAATTAAATGATATTTGGTAAGTATGATGGTAAGCAAGTTTATCCTGCAATTTTAATTAATTTTCCTACACATTGGAATGATATAGATAATTATATCACATTTAAAATTTCAACTGTCAACAAGGATAAATGTGAATGGATAGTCAAACATTGGAATATTTGTGTATAAGAGGACTGGTGTTTAAGTAAGCTATAAAAATTAGTATAACTAGAGGTTTTAGATACCTAATTTTTATCTTTGACTGGTGGTGGATGTCTGATGAAGTAGTGGACAGCATTATAGGCAAGATGTGGTGCAACATTGTAGAGTGGGTGTATTCTGTTGAGTTCATTGCTGGGTCGCCCAACAATGAAGGGGTCTCCAGCCCCTGTACCATGCTGCGCCACTGACAGCCCACTCAGAGCATAACAAGTGTGATAAATATCTGGATGCCTAAAACAACAAGTTAAGATGAGTGAGCAAATTTAACATATGTATAAGGCTAAGCATAATATAAATAAGTATAGATATGGTATCAAAAAAAATACTGCATTAAATTTTGAAGCAAAAAGAAAATCTTATATATTTCGTTTCCTCTATTATTTAATTATAATTTAAATTTCAGTTCTTATTGTGTTCAGTGTGAATTATGAATTATTATAAATTCATATTCACGATTTATGATGATAACTGTTTTATTACACTCTGCCAAACAAGTGTCATGATATGTTACACAAATATTAATTAAATTGTCATACTAACTTGCCAGGTTTATCAATAAAGCCGCCCCGAGGCAAAGCTTGACAGCAGATAATTATATACTCTTGCAAGGCACCTTGATTGAAGAGAACTGTTTCTAGTAATTCTTTATTTTCTGAAAATAGAAAGAAAAATGTATTCATTTTATTTACAATTTAAAAAAATATCCTGATATATGTATATAATTGTTTGTAAGATTTTGAGAATGAATGGAGGTATATTTGCTATTCTTTGTTGGTTAAGATTTGGTTGTTATTCTGTAACACAGACTACTTTTTATCAACATACAATATGAGCGAAGCCACAGGTGGTAACTAGTACATACATATAGAGATTAAAATTGTTCACCATTTGTTTACATGGTGTTGCTTGTATTTTCTTTTACTGTTATTGACTCTCCATATAATACATATGTCCTATAACAAAATTAAATAAAAAATACTTCATGAAGTTACCTTGAGATAAGATAGCACTGATTATTGGAAATGCAGCTCCTTGCCAAAATGAGTAACACCCATCCACCAGTTTATTTGTTCTACCTTGAAATCCACCTTCTAAACGCATTTGACGATTCACACACCACCTTAATAATGCGTCTATGTCACATAGATGTGTTTTGTTTAACAATGCCAAAGAAGCAATGCCACAGAATGCATATCCACCATGTGCCTCCATGCCAGGACATCCAGCGAATCCACCTTCATATGTCTGACAGCCGACTATCCACTCAGCTGTTTTATCAAATAAGGCATCAGTGTATGTATTTGTAATTTTAGCAATACTGACTGCACAATAAGCTCCTCTTATATCTTGCTCTCCACCCTTGTGAAGAGCAAAAGACCCATCAACATCTCTTACAGTCCATAAAAACTTTTGTAAACTACTTCTGTCTAAAGAGTTGTATGCTTCTTCTGTTCCTATTATGCTAAGAGCATTAACAGCGGCATATGTGGTTCCAAGATGAGGGTATTGTCCTGGACCACCTCCATAACCACCTTCGTCATGCTGACACAGAGTTAGAAACTTTACTACATCAGATAAAGTCTCTGCATCAGGCATATCATTAAGTAACCACAATGAGTGTAAGACCCAGTAAACTATCCATGTTCTGCTTGCATCCAAGCATTCATATTTTTGAGGTAAAGTTCTGAGATAGTCCTTCAACAATTGACAATGAATTCTTTTTCTTACTACAGGGAACTCTGGTTCTATTTCTGCACTTTTCTCGAACTGTTTGTAGATTTTTAATATGACTGACTCCACATCAACCTAAAAACATAAACAAAGTTATTAATGAGAGTTAACATAATACTTTTTTTTGCATGAACTATAAACATATGCATGACTTTAATCTGGATTAAAGAGCAATAATTGTTCTTTAATATACATAAACAAATGGTATTTACCTGATCAGACGAAGAATCTGTGACCACATTTTCGGTATCAAAAGTTTCAGATGATATTTCTTCATAACATCTAATCCTATTCTCCATTTTTATAATCCGTTTTAATAATTATCTCGTGAGGACTGCTTAAATGCTGCTAATACCGTCCAAGCCCCGAAAATGATTACTTATAGATAGCACTTGCAACACAATAACAACAAGGTGAGCCAAGAACTATTGACATGATATGTAGCCAATTATATGTTAGCGAACAACAGCACGGTAAGACGACCGAATTAGGCTCAAATATGATGAATGTCAGGGTTACTTTAAATATTTCATTGTGATTATATTTAACCTCAATTTATTAAATATATCTAAATATTCTACGCCTGGCGAATATAAACCATAGAGTAAAATAATATTTGATAAAGACAGTAGAAATATAGAGGTGGGAGAACTAAACAGTGTTACAGTGAGTTCACAGATTTGTTCCATTTTATCACTATTAACATGGGACGAAAAAGCCACTCATGTAAAGGTAGATCTTTAATTCATTTCTGTTTAAATTTTTCCGCAAATGAAGCGAATCAAATTCACCAATACTTATCTTTATTAAACCTTAGTCATCGTGGTTCTACATCGTGGTGGTACGCTCTATGGTACAGCAAAAAGCAAATGTCAGTTATGACTGTCAATACTGTCATGTAATTGTTTTTAGTTTATACATTGGAGCTTGCAGTTTTTGTTTAAGATTATACTGAGTTTATGGGCTTGGTTTGTAGATTTATTTATAGTATCTGATTGATAATATTACTAAAATGATGCAAAATAGAATTGGTAATTTACCAATAGCAAACGAAAATCCTTTGGGTCTTTCGTGGCACGACAGTGCGTGGATACCTTTACTGAGTCCGTCTAACATCATGGACTATTTTTCTGAGAGATCCAATCCTTTCTTTGACCGTACTTGTAACAATGAAATCGTTAAGATGCAGCGTCTCAGTATGGATCAACTACAGTAAGTGTTAATCTATATAATCGCTTTCATTGCGTTTTGTGACAGTTTTCGACTTGGTACATATAATATAATGACTTTCCTTCACAGGAATATGACAGGACTGGAATACATATTGCTTCATGTGCAAGATCCGATCTTGTACGTAATTCGTAAACAACATAGACATAGTCCCACTCAGGCCATACCTCTAGCTGATTACTACATCATAGCTGGAATTGTGTACCAGGCACCTGATCTAGCGAGTGTTCTCAACTCCAGACTGGTAAGCTTTTTACATACTTTATGAATAAATAAATTTTTTGTACAATATAAGTGTCAACTATAGCTTTTATTTTAGCTGTCTGCTGTGCACCACCTGCAGTGCTCATTTGAAGAAACAATGTCTTATTCAAGGTATCATCCAAGCAAAGGATACTGGTGGGATTTCAAAGCAACTAAACCAGGTATAACTTATTATATACTTGAGTTTGCACCTAAAATGCATGCCTGTCTAATCAGTTCTAGTTGCAAAATTCATTTAAAATTTTAGGTCTCAGCCCATACAACAGCGGCCAGTCCTCATCAAAGGATGTGAGCAGCACTCCTAAAGAGGAACCATCTACACTGTTCCAACGCCAGAGGGTAGACATGTTGTTGGCAGAGCTTGTGAGACAGTTTCCATTACCCGTTACGCAAGCTCCTAGCCAAGTGAGTCACTTTAGAGTATTTATTATTATTTCACTTACATTAAAAAATGACAAGAATATTAGACGAAGTAGATACTCAATAGATCCTAATAGTTGGCAATAAATACAGTTTTTATTTTAGTCAGGATTAAAAATGAAATAAGTGGTTTTAAATATTTTTTGATTTTCAGACAAATGGTGTCACTGTAAAGTCAGAGAACTCAAATGAAAAGAATGGTGATAAAGCCCCAGATGGCAATGTCAACAATATCACTATAAAACAAGAACCTGCAGACCCAAGTAGCTCAGACATGACAAATGGAAGTCTTCAAGGACATGCTGAAATCAAAACTGAAATTAAACAAGAGAATATGAAACCACCACCAGAAAAGAAATTGAGATTATAAATCATAAGAATATAGTTAATTGAATGTAATATTTTCAGTTATTTATAACTTAATTAATTTTCTTTTAAAAAAAAGAAAATTAACTTTTTATGTGAACCAAACCATTATCTAAATGGAACCTGATCATCAAACTTGGAATGGCCATTTGTGTTGGCATTGGTTCTGGATCATTGAAAGAAGCTAGTTTTCGGTATATTTTCCTTGCCTGGCATACCATGTAATAAAACATAGAAGAGAACCTCTTCCAACATGAGAGACATTCTACTGTGAAATTGTAAACTAGATGTCAATAAATCACACAGTGCATGTAAATACACTGCTTTAGAGAATAAATAATATAACAAATTACACATTATTTTATAAATGATAATTTTATTACACACAACCCAATCATTCATTTGTATATTTCTCAATTAAGAACATGTAGGCATAATATATGGGGGACTGTTTTTGGGTGAAAGCATATCCAGCCACTAAAGATTTCACCAGTTTGGGTGGGTTTTTTAATGACTAAAGAAGTAAGTGCAGCTTTCCTATTCAAAGTAGTCAAATCAATTAAATTTATATCAGGGATGGTCAGTAACATTTAAGATGAAACTAAACCCAGAATGAATATAAAGTTGAGGAAAAGAGAAATAGAGGATAATACAAATATAAAAAAAATCATTTTAGATCACAATAAATATAATCACAGTTAAAACCTGCATGTATTGGGTAAACCTTGACATATTTTTAATTTATTACTACTTCTTCAAATTATTTGCTAATTTGTAATAAGTATTCTGTATTTTTCTCTTGCTGAATATTAAATAAATTTACTACATTATCTTGAGCACTTGCTATATTTGTGCAAATCTGGCAATTAATTCTGCGCTGGTCTACTAAATCCTGTGGTTTCTTCTCTGGGTTGAAACTGAAAAAGAATAGTTTTAGAAACATAAAAAAAATATTATACCTAGTATCCAGTCCTAAGTTTTTATTACCTCAAAATGGCTTCATTTGACCCTAATTGTAAACCGAATGTAAAGCCTTGCTCATAGCCGATATTAAAACTATTTTGAAATTCAGCAGTTTGACCATCTGATGCACCATCCATGTAACCAATCTGAAAGGTAAAAAATTTAGCTTTAATAACCTCCATATTTATAAAAAAAACCTAACATTCTGTTTCACAGTTATGGTTGCAATGTATAGCTTGATTTCTGCATAAAATTGTTAATACTAACCTTAGCCACTGGTTCTAAATTTCGAGATCTTGTTTTTCTTGATAAACTTTCATTATAATCCGACATGGTTTGAAAGTTTACTAATACGTTCTAATTGAAACTTGCGGATCACGTAGACATTACCCACATTTGTTCTAAGTAGATACTAATCCCAACGCAATAGTAAGTTATATAATTATAAGAGTTCTTTTTTATTATATTTTCGTTTTACGACCATGAAAACAATAAACTTTGCAAAGTTTGACAGCTGGTGACTTGCTGTGTCATAGACTATACAATATATACTGAGACTTGCTGTCTGTGCTTGCTGTGTTGATAAGTACCTACCTATATTACCTATAGAATCCATTGAGTTGAGATAGAATGAGTAAATTAAAAGACTTGGCTTAAAGGACTCGTATCCAGGCCATAAACTCCAAAAAAAAAAAAAAAAAAATGAGATAGAATGTCAATGATAGAATCTAAAATCATGTGTAACGTCGTCAAATGTCACGTCACTGTCAAACTCAATAGTAGAAGTACCTACCATTTGTAGGTTATGTTCTCGTGGTGTTTATGTTGTGTTGTTGTGAATCGATAACTTCAACAATAATTAACAGTGCAGTGTATTTACAAAATGAAAAAAGGCAAGAAGTTTTTTGGGAAAAAGAAAAACACATTTAAGTCAGCTACTAAAAAGAAAAAGGCTGCAGAAGACAGAATAGTAAACAAGAAAGCTTTATTTAACAGATATAAAAATGCACAAAAAGTTGAGGAGGAATTGGAGAAGAAAAGGAAATTGGAGGAGAAATTACAGCAGCAAATTCAATATTCTGAGAGTGAGGAAGAAGAAGACGCTTATGATCAGTTGTTGTCCTGTTTTAGTAGTAAGAAAAGGACTCCGGTAGCGGAAAGTGAAGAGGATAGTCGTAGCGCCAGTGACATGGATGATGATGACGAGGCTATGGAAACTACTGAGGGGAAACACGATGATGGTAACAATATTGATGAAGAAGATGAAGGAAGTGCAAGTGATGATGACAGTGGAGAAGATGAGGTAATTATACAAAGTGATTCCACAGATGTGCTAAATATTTATTGACAAACCATGTTATTTTTAATGCCTGAAACTAAAAATTGATTACATTATAATTTCAGATACAAATAGACAATGAAGAAGTAGATGAGCCTGATATGGTAGATGATCCATTCTCGAAACATCTACAGTATGATTTGGGAAATGAGTTACTAGTTTCTCTAACCAACACACCACCTACTATGGAAACTACAACTAAGATCTGGCCTGTCTTAGGACATCTATCCATTGTCATACCTAAACCTATAGAGACACTTTCTAAAAAAGTAAAACCAAAAGTTTCCATTTTGGAAGAAAGCACATATGCATCTATGGGAACAGTACCAACATTGGTAAACAAAATTGACTTTGAGCAGTTACATATAAAATCTCAGATACAAGGCAATATTGTGTCAGCAAATAAAACTAATTTAATAAAAAGGGACTTGGAACTTACAGAAGTGTTTACTCCTTTACAAAAGGAATTGTTTTGTATTTTAAATAACTACCAAGACTTGTATTACCCTGAGAGATCTTTCAGTAATGCAGATGAGATTAGATATACCTACTGCCTTCATGTTGTTAATCATATGTTGAAAACTAGAACCAAAATTCTACACCATAATGCTAAATTATCAAAGAAGAGTGACTTGTCTGATGAATATCGGGATCAGGGATTGGTGAGACCCAAGGTATGTGAGATTATTATACTTTCTATGCTGTTTTAAAATGTGTTATATTAAATTATCATTAATGATATTGTATCTTGTTATTATTTCCAAACCAGATGACAAAATATGAAAGAAAATTATACATATAATAATAAAGTTGTCCAATAATTAACCAAAAAGACCATTTACTTTTTGTACATTTTGGGTCATAGAGTTTTGTATAGGTCTAAAGAATGAGATGATAGATTATTCTTCCAATTACCAATTTTCTTCTATTCAGTTTTATTTACAAGTATGAACATTGAGAGATTTTTTTAAGTCATATAAACTAGTGTTTGACTGCAATCCTATGTGAGTGCAAGTTCCTCTCAGATGTAATTGTCATTTAATATGGTAATTCCAGGTTTTAATAATGGTGCCATTCAAAGATGCTGCCTACAGAGTTGTGAAGACTTTAATAGAAATCCTTGTACCAAAAGAAGCTGGGGAAGTGGTGAACAAGAAGCGGTTTGAAGAAGACTTTACAGGCGGTGAACTGATCATGCCCAGAAAGAACCCGAAACCAGAAGATTATGAGCTAATGTTTAGTGGCAACACTGAAGACACATTTAGACTTGGCATGTCAGTCACTAAGAAAACTCTTAAGGTTTGTTCTTAATCAAGTAATGATATTACAAATTTGTTTGCTGTGATATCTAATTGCCGCAAGTACAGCTTGCAAACTTAATGTTACAGTTGTTGTGTTGTGAATGGATATTTTTTAATATTCTAATATTAATTGTTATTTTTAAATTACAGCTCTATACAGATTTCTACTCATCAGACATAATAGTGACGTCACCATTGGGTTTGCGAATGATAGTGGGTGCAGAGGGCGAGGAAGATCGTGACTTCGACTTTCTGGCTTCCATAGAAGTGCTAATCATGGACCAAGCAGATGTCTTCCTCATGCAGAACTGGGATCATTTGCTTCACGTTTTAGATCATTTCCACTTGCAACCTAAGAAAACGCATGGAACTGACTTCTCCAGAGTTAGATCTTGGGCTGTCAACGGATGGGCGAAATACTACAGGTTTGTTTTTTTGTATATGACAGGTCGGCAAACGCGCATATGAATAACTTGACGGTAAGCAATCGGCGCCGCCTATGGACACCTGCAACACCAAAGGAGTTACGAGTGTGTTGCTGGCCTTTTGGGATAGGGGTTGGATTGAAAAGCGATTTGGCCTCCGGTAACCTCACTCATACGGCGAAACACAACGCTATGGCTGTTTCACGCCGTTATTCTGTAAGGCCATGGTATCACTTCGATCGAGCCGACCCATTCGTGCCGAAGCTTGTGTCCCCCACACTTAAAAACTAGGTTCAAATGTTTTTGGTGTAACTTGGGTGTAAAAGTTACTTAACTACTTTACCCTATCCTATGACCTTCTTCCTCTTTCTCGACCGGAAGATTCCCGCTTTAACACGTCATTGTAGGCCCACAGTTCTTAGCTAACTCCCTAGCAATTTTCAGCCAAATCGGTTTTACCCATTCTTGAATTATAAATATTGTAAATGACACGACTTTTTTATGTATACATGATAATAAAGTATGTCTATTACACTAATTTTGTTTTTCTCTTACAGACAAACTCTGATGTTCTCGTCGGTAGCATTGCCAGAGATAAAGTCTGTGATGAATAAGAAATGCCACAACTACGCTGGACGAATATTAGTCGAAAATCCCACAGACATTGGCAGCATACAGCAGGTTCTGGTGCAAGTGCCACAAGTTTTTCACAGGTAAATAATATTAGTAACCTTTTATTTGTTAAGAGGTCAGCTAACAATAAACCTAGTTACGGAGTTTCGGCGATCAAGGTAGCTTTGACAATGTAATATCCTAATTTTATATATGTAAGGGGTAGTATACCTAGTCTAGCCATAAATACTGTAACAAATAAAAAAATATTTTTTCTATTGCAAATAACATTTATTACTTTTACAGTATGTAAGTTTAATACATAAATATAAAACATTTTAAAACATAAAAAGCTTATTCGAAGTGGTCTCCATTGGCTGACATACAGTCCTTTAAACGTTGAGGCCAGTTATCAATAGAAGCACGCACTCTTTCCATGGAAAAATTCTTCACTGCCAATCGTATGGATTGTTTTAGGGAGTCCAAATTATCATGACGTTGAGAGCAAGCCCTACTCTCTAAAACTGACCATAAATCATAATCCAGCGGATTAAGATCGGGACTAGACGACGGCCAATCTTCAGCTCTGATGAAGTCGGAAACGTTCGTTTCCAACCAAGACTGCGTGGACCGAGCTTTATGCCCCGGCGCCGAGTCTTGCTGGAAGGACCATTGTTGGTTATTGAACATGGTGTTGTTAAGGGGCTTAACTACCTTCTCAAGAATGGTATTTTGATACACTTGTGCCGATGTTTTGATACCTTTTTCGCAAAAGTATGGCTCAGTCACTCCTTCATAGCTAACACCCCACCAAACCATCACTGAAGTCGGATAATGCCCACGTTGCACTCTGTCGATTAATTGAGAAGCTTCCTAAGAGCTTTGAGCATAAATACGGTCATTTTGTTTGTTAAAATGTTGCCCAAATGTAAAAATTTTCTCATCCGTAAACAAAATATTTCTGTGACCTCCCTTTGCGTACCGCTTCAGTAGTTGTTTTGTTGATTTTATCACCCTATTCTTTTTTAAATTATCATTAAAAAAATGTCCAGTGCGTCTTTTATGGCTGCAAGTCCTAAGTCGTCATTTAAAATACGCGACATGGTTCTAGGTGCTATCTTCATCTCCGGACATAAAATCTTTTGCTTTCGGACAGGATTTCTTCGAATTCTTTCCCTTACTGCTTTGACCACCCCACCTTTTTCGTACGAACACTACGTGGACGGCCAGATCTTTTTCTGTCACAAACAGAGGAGGTCTCATTGTACCTATTAATAGCCCGGTACACAAACATTTGACTAATGCCAAGTGTGTGGTGAATTAAAAAAATTGCATTTCGCTCCGTACCCACTATATGTAATGCAATCACCGCGATGTAATGCAATCACAGCGATTCGGTTCTCTTTATCACCCCACTCCATTTTAATATCGCAAAATATTGAACAATTTATTGGCGCCAAAATAAGAAAACACAATGAAAAATTATATAAAAATGACAGATTCCAAATTCAAATGTAATATTTTGTTTATTTTTAATTGTAACAGTATTTATGGCCAGACTATGTATAATGAATAGTTGCGCGATAAGCGATAACGAGCGTCGTGCCCTCAACTGGCTACTTTTAATGTCTATAGTACTTAATTTGTCTCACTATAGTTACTAAAATGTCTAAAGCGAAAAATACTGCCAAATTAAAAGATCATGATCAAGCTAAATAATAATGTAATGAAAATTAATGTTATACTCGTGTTACAGGTTTACAGCAGCGAATCCATTAGAATCAGTAGAGGCCAGGTTCCAATACTTCATTAAGGAGATTCTACCGAAACAGAGAGACACACTGATGAGCCACACACTCATCTATGTACCAAGTTACTTCGATTATGTACAGATTAGAAATTACTTCAAAAAAGAAGATATTGGTTTTGTACAGATTTGTGAATATTCTAAGGTAAGCTTGAAATGTCGTCATTACAAAGTAATGTATAAATATAACATCATGCTGAACTGAAGATTTCCACGTATTGCTATAAGATCTTTTCCATGCGTCGGCAGCAATACCAGGCATCTAAAACTCTTAGCTATACACTACCCGATGATATGCGTACCCGAGACCACTACAAGAATGAGAAAGTTTTTCATAAAAATGTAACTTGATTTAATTGAATTTCCAGGATGCCAAAATAGCTCGCGCAAGAGATATGTTCTTCCATACAGAAGCTCATTTCTTGCTGTACTCGGAAAGAGTACATTTCTTCAGAAGATTCAGAATAAAGGGCATACGCCACATAATATTTTACCAACCGCCTACATATCCTCATTTCTTTTCCGAAATGTGCAATTTAATGCAGGTGAGAACATTACATTTTTAAATCCTAACTGATATAAGACAAAAGATTGCGATTTAACTGAACGAAGCTATTGAATGAACATTGAATTCATTTATACAGGAGGAGGATCGATAGATTTGACATAAAGACATTAGACATGTTTTAAATTATAAGAATCAAAATCACCGGTTTGATAAGAAATGCTTTTTTGTGTGATTCCAGGAAGTGAACCAGAATAAATTTGGTGGTAGCGAGTGTAACATGACAGTGTCGGTGCTATACTGTCAGTATGACTTGCCTCGCCTCGCCGCGGTGCTCGGGGCCGCCCGCCTCGCGCGAGTCATGAGGTCTGATAATTCCGTGCACATGTTCGTCACGGGAGAAAAGTAGATAACATTTGTAAATAATAAATTGTACATATTATTGTATTTATGTCTTTCATTGCTTCAGTAAGGCACTCTTTATACAATACTTGTTGATTGCGTAGAGAAAAAAACTCAAATTATTATCAAAGATATATTTTTGAAATGAAACAGTTACTTAACAACACAAATAAATAATTATACTTAAAATTAAATTAAACTATAAGGTACATTTATAGTTTTGAAAGTCTATATTATGAAAAATAAGGCTAAGGCATTGTTCTAATATAATTATATTCATCTAATACACAGCTAAGCTACATAATACCTATTGTTTAAGTAAATACAAATCTCACTAAGCCACTAACAATAATATTTGGGAATAGTAGCAGTGTGCCTGAGTCCATCAGTATTACATACACATTGACCTTAGGCACACTAGAACTAAAAAAAAAAGTGTAAAACTAAATAAATGTAACTTGTAGCTGTGTGCTGCAATTACTATTTTGTTGTACCTTGCTTGTAAAACACGAACATAATCTAGATTTTTAAGATCGTTACGCAGCACGGGTGGGTACATTCTTTCACACATTATTTTTCATCTTTGAAGTTATTATGAATCTTAGTACTTAGCTATACGGAATAGTTCAGATTTTCTAAATAGAGTTTCCAAAGACAGAGACAGGTAGTTTCACAGTTTCTATTGTAGGTATAACTGTTCGTTTACCTACGACTTATTTTAAGTCCAAAATCATAGAAAATTAGTAGTATTTTGAACTTGAAAGAATGTATGGAAATCCGTGCTCAGTAAACGCTAAAAAAATAACGAACTAATATCTACATATTTCGGAGTGGTTATCACTGTATAGGTACATTTGTGTAGAGAAGTGTAGTAGCACACTATCCGCTTGCCTACAATATACCCTTACATCTAGACTAGACTATAAAATATAAAAATATTTCTCAAATTGGACTACCACCAGAGATCAGCGCGTTCAATCACAAAATCAAACAATCTCTTCAGCTTAATAATGTATAAATATATAAATGTAAATTTAGAATAACTTTAGTTAGTATACCTAGCTATAAAATATGTATGATGGGAAGGGCAATGATTCCGTGTTTACATTGCAGGGTGGAAGTGCAATTAGCATCTAGTTACATTGATAATAATACATGAGTTTCATCACTAATAGTTTAGGTGCCTTTTAGTCCATGAAGAGATTCAAATCATTTTGCAACAGTAAAAACATGGAACGGAAAATGTTCTTATTTGAAATATCTACAAAGACAGCACACATATCAATTCAAGAGACAAGTAGTTATGTAGGTATATCTTAAGCTTGTTTTGACTAATAATTAGTGCCTAGTTTCTACATTTTCATTGATGATCATAATAAATGGTCATAATCAACTGTGAGATCTAATTATATATTTTTAATACTTTTATGTTTAATTAAAAATTGGTATTTTTTCAGCCTATATTTTCCAGTACCAATTTATTCATGACAGACATTAGTTTTTTCACATTTAGATACTGCCTATAAATATTGAGACAGATACAAATATACTTCAGGCATGTAGCGTTAATAAATAGAGGATAGAAGTGTTCCAGTAGGTAACAAGACTCTCAGTAGACCTATAAAGTCTTTACTCGGCCAAAAACCGCCAAAATGTGCGAGAAGAGTGGGGGAAGGACGGGGTGCTGAGACTAGCACTGAAAGCTTCTCCCGCTTTATTAGTTAACTTGTACCTAGTCACTCATATCCTGTAGCTGCTAATGTATAAATAAATTGTCTCTGTCACACTGCGCTGAATGTCCGATTCCCAAACAAGAAAATGGTAAGTACATTTACTACTTATTAAACTAATTGGGATCTTTTGAATGATTAATATTGTACCTTGCCAATTGCTTGCAAATTATTTCATATGTTGCCAGTAGGTAAGACAACAAATAAAATATTTTTAAATTTTTGATTAAAATGTAAAATGATGTCACATGAGTCTCGAAAGTTTCGGTTACTGATACATTTTCAATGTAATATTCTTATAAGCGTAAGGTCGTTAAAAGCCACACGAGAGTCATTATATTATCACTCCATATTTAAAACTTTATCATCAGGAGTCGGACATAAAATGCCTGCCAGTAAAGGTACCTACTAAATACGTTACAAACTAGTGGTGTTACTTCGTTTATTGGCCATCAATAACTATTACCTAAAAAATACCTATCCTACGGCTTATAAAATGGCGTTCACTGTCACTGCACCAATAAATAATGAGGGGTCATAAATCGATGTAAGTATAAGTAACAGCGCGAGTTTTATCTGATAAAACCCCAAACGTTTACTTGACTAGAGTAACTAAGTAACTGGCTAGTAGGTTGCTGCCGCTGTTACATCTTCACAAGTCTATCTAATCTCCTCACGTTCTGAGTTCTTAAGTTTCTGACGGAGTGATCGTCATGTGATGCTGTCAGTGACATTCAATGTGCTCATCTCCGAAGTTCCATTGTGCAGTTCCGAAGTTGTGGTATCAGGTAAAGACGTCGTGTCAACGGTAGACCCCGAGCTGTCGGTGACAAAGTCCTCGGGAAAGCCACCGGTGTTGTTCTCCGGTGTCGATTGAATGATCTCGCCATTCACTGTGGTATTGCCTCCTCCTGAAAACATAATAAAACAGTAAATCCCCAAAAGGGTTCGCGTTGAGCTGTAGGTACCTACAACATTAGATTCACCTCGCAAGTTTCTTTTAACTTAGTTTAGGATAAGTTTAACGTATTGGGTAAATTCCTGGCTTCACACACAAAGTGTAGGTAAGTAGGTAGTGAGGAATAGATCCAATGTTTCAGATTAATTTTGTATTATGAATAGGATGGCGTTTGGCCTCCAAATTGTGGTGGTAGGTAAGCGAAGATATGGCCTACGATGGGGCATCCATCTATTCACATCCAACCTTCAAACTCGTAGGTATAGGTTTGTTATTAATTATTCCAATTCAAACAAATACATATAATTCCCAATATTAAGAAAATGTTCTCTTCAAACGCTCAGAGAATGCATTTTGTACACGGCACAATAAGTGGTTCTAAATTTAGACTCATGTTTATTTTATCAGAATTCATTTGAATCTACTGCAGTGTGCAAAGGCGGAAAACATTATTTGTAATATGCATACGTTTGGCTTTAGGTGCCTCACTAGTTAAGTTTTGTTAGTGTTAATACCTGAATCAGAATGTAGGTACCTAATGATTAAGGACAGTTGGTACATGGCACTATTTGTACCTACGAGGTCTTCGACCTGTAGAAAATCGACGGTAGCGAGTAGGTTGGCCTAAAATACCTACCTAAGTTACCTACAATTTAGATTTCTTTTGTGTGCATATCTGAATAACTTAATGACCGAGACATGTCTATATAAGAAGGTACTATAAGTAGGGTACACTACATGAACAGGGTGTGAGAAAATATTTCGTTCTACGCCCAAGCTGATGCACACTGTAGTACCTACGCTATTCTGGGCAATTCGACAGAAACCGTTTGTGATTTATATGTTATAAACATGATCAGTGAATAACCGAGAGCGAGTTATTGTGACTACAAACAGCCAACAGCTATATTTAGAGTTACTGCTGGAGGCGCTTGCATGAACACTCAAACATTGCCGGTACGTCGAACGATGGTTGAACGTCTTGAAATAACATTTGAGTCTGTTGATGATGATAAAAACGTAAGTCTCTTCCTACTTACAATGAGATCATCTTTGTTTACTTTATCGACTTATGATGCCGTTATAAAATATCACATAAAGAGATCAAAAGTAGAAAATTAGTAGTTTAAATTACCTACAACTAACGGAGATACATTATTACTAACAAGAGGAAATTATCTCCTACTCGTCTCTTTCTATACCTACTAATTAAATACCTCTGTATAATCTTGTAAATTGTCCGGTACCTATAATATAAATTATATAAGTAGGTAAAAATAATATAAGTATATATATAACACTGTGGCAGTAAAAAACCCATTAATAAATGAGTATTTATCTAGATCTTAATTTGAACTACCATGATCTAGTAACAGATGGTAGGTCTCAGATAATGTTACCTAAACAAGCTGCTTTCGCGCGGTTTCTCTCGCTGCTCGGCTCCTACAGAACTTTGCGTGATATTTTGTAGTCTTCCTCAATAAGTGGACTTACGAACTCAAAAAGAATGGTTTATTTCAAACCAGTAGTTCCGGAGATTAGCGCGTTCAAACGAACAGACGCTTCAGCTTTATAATATTTGTATAGATTGCACTATTCTAAAGTAAGTAGGTATATATTAATCAAATTATATTTAAATGAGTATGAGTATTAAACTATTAAGCAACACCTACCTACATAATTGTAACACTAATGTTAATTTGTGTAGTTAATTAGTGACCATTTGTGATAGACACTTAGAAATAATAAGTAGAGTGCGTGTATGTGCACGCAATAATGAATTATCTATGGTAGGTAAGTTTTATAGGTGTAATACTTTTTTTACAAATGAGTTGGCAGGCCGATAGTTTAAAGTCTATTATTGCGTTTATTTACGACGTAATTAAAACATCGTTAATTTTACGAACATTGTCGTTACAAAAAATGTAGCTACATAATATCTACCTATCTATCTAGATATCTACGTGATGTCTGTTGAGACTGCGAAATTAAAACATAGACATACCTACATAGATAGAACGTATCCATCTACCAAAACATTTTTTTTAATTTGATAGCCTTGTCTATTTAATTTCATTTACTTTACTATTAAAAACTTTTTTGTTGTCCAAATAAAATTTAAAGGGGACTCTGGACACAATTAATATTTTATTACTTACGAAGGTACCAATGTAACGTGTAGTTTAGTACCCATTTACAAATGGAACGGCTTTACTGTACCCTTTGGACTCGTCAGTGACCAGGTCAAAGAAGAGCGTATTATTAGAGTTATGTATCGTGACAGTTTTAATTTGACTGACAAAGGTAAACTAAGTGAGCTTATTAATCTTGCCTTGATAAGTGGCTTTAACGTTTCATTAGAGTTACAGTACAATTTTATAGAAATTGCCCGCTTTAAGAATACACAAAACAGGCTGAGTGGCCACGTATCGTAAAGCTTGCCAATACCGCTACAACTGATCTGACGACCACAATCTCTTTGCCAAGTGTGGCTAATAGAGAGAAAAAGAAGTAGCTGTTACAATTAAGAAATAAATACCGTATACGATACTTCTTCCTACATACGCCGCCGTTTGCAGTCTACTCAAAATAGATTAATCGTTAAATTTATTAATAAAAATGTCTAAAAGTTCCCATGTCTAAAAGAGCCATGCAAAAATGTCTAAAAGAGCCATGTTTCGCACGAATGGGTCGTCTCGACCGGAGTGATACCACCTCACAGAAGACCGACGTGAAACAACCACAGCGTTGTGTTTCGCCGTGTGAGTGAGGTTACCGGAAGCCCAATCCTTCCCCGCCCCCAATCCCTCCTCAATCCCTAAATATCCAAATCCCTAATCCCTAAAAGGTCGGCAACGCACTCGTAACTCCTCCGTTGTGGGTGTCCATGGGCGGCGCTGATTGCATACCATTAGGTAATCCGTCTGCTCGTTTGCCGACCAATTACATAAAAAAAAGTTACATATTGTAGTTAAATATTAAAAATCATTGCCAAGTCTCTGAGACAAGTATTGAACTGAATAATTAACAATGAAAACAAAGGACAAAATAAACAAGTTGTAACTACCCAGATAGGTACATTTCAACCTGCTAGTGTGTTCAACGGATTCTGGTTAATTAAGTAATGTGCGAATTGTTCACATTCAAAGTGTCGAGAGCTGCTGAAAGCAAAAGGTCTGAATTGAGGTCAAAGCTGCACTGCAGTGGTATCGGAAATACCCGCAACTTAAAGTAGGTTGGTAGTTACTAAGTACCTACTTACATAATCATAACTTCCAATTTTCTACTACTTCTTCCTTCCTTTAAAGTTGTTTCTTCCAATAATTGCCTAAAACTAAAATCCAGCAGAACAAATGGAAGGTAAAATAAATATTTCATTTGCGTATCAAAGCGCATACAAAAAGTATATCGTAATAATTAAGATATGTTTCAATTAAATGTAAACAATTGAAAACTATGTATTAATTAGATTATTTCTGACGATTAGTTGTTTAGTGTAACATTAACAAAAACGTTATTTTATCTGAATGCAACTGTGAAAGGTATGGGTCGTTAACGTTTATCTGTTAAATCAGCGTTATCAATCGATACACCTATAAGCAAACACAAATTTAAAGATATAGTACCTCTCATTACAATTGATTGATACGACGTTTAGCCAATACAACAAACAGTATCAGTTGTGAGTGATGATCTGCTAACGACCTGGCAAGTAATGATACTTAGTGTGCACCTACAGCCTAACATAGCCTGCAATAACAATAACTGTTGATGATGTAATAGTTAGTCTTGTAAAGTATTGTTCAGTTATAAAAGTAATAAAAAGCTGAGGAATGCACTACCACACGGGATTCATGGTTCGTCGTCATATGTAGTATAGATACAACGGCCTCGGTGTGTGGAACATCTCGTATGGTATCCGTACGAGTCGACGTGTACACAAACACGACAGTGGAGGAGTAAGGGGAAGCGTGTCGGTGGTGTGACGTACCGGTGAGGGGCATAAAGCATGTGGGCATTGGTGTGGTGCTGGTTTGCTTCTCTACTGTGTGAAACACCTTGCGTTGCGCATACTGCGCGTCCTTGGGCTCCCAGAAGAACACGTAGTAGAGCGAGAGCATGATGGCAGCCAGTGACACGCAGAACACGTACACGATGACCGTGAGCACGCGCACGCTCTTCTTGTCGCGCTTGCGCTCGTACAGCGCGTCCAGCACGACCTCGTGCCCGCCCGCCGTGCCCAGCCGCACGGACCCGCCGCACGAGCGCACGCTGCCCGACGTGCAAGACTTGCCCGACATCGCCGGCGTCGCCACTACCCACTGCCGCAGCGCTCGCCGTCGCCGCCAATCCAGGTAACTGGGACACGCTTATTGATATGGCCCAGTTCTTCTGATGCGCCGCGGCCGATTTACTGTGCCGGGTCACGCCGACCGTGTCTGCCGCTTGACACCTCCTGATGCAGACTGCTGTTTCATTATTATGGCGCCCGCTTCGGAATTCATTTGTTTATCCTTTAATTTCACGCTCGATATACGTAAATCTATTCCAGTTCCTCTGACGTAGTCATACGATCGCAAATCGTCTGTCATAGAAACGTCCCTGAACTTTCATTGTTTTTGCATTTTATAAACATTGTTCATGTTCTTAAGTTTTATTTTACTACCTGATTATGATAATAGGCACAACTTGTTGAAAACTAGCTGTCACATTGTTATTGAAAATACATCGTTAGAGGCGAGTCACACACGATGTCACGAATGGCGACGCCGGAGACAGCACACTCATTATTTGTTTCGCACGAGAGCGAGGATAATGGAAAGGTAACGAAGTTAATTTACGAGAATGGTGGCACGTTATATTGTGACAGCGCGTCAAGTGTCGCGGCGCGGGGCGGGCGGCCCGGCGGCGGCGGGTCCGCGTGTGCCGAGCGCGGCGGGCGCGCGCCGCTCC